GTGGGCAAAAGCGACGCTTCCCGTTCTTGTCCGGTCAGGTTTTTCGTTGGCGGATTTCAGAAATGAGCATTTCGCTCGAGACATCCTCACAAAAGTAAGATGTTCGCAACATCATCTTGAAACCGAGAGGAGCACGGCAGACCAAGACGAGGAGCACGGCAGACCAGGCACCAAGAGCGCCCTCAAGACGACGGAAAGGATGACCAAGACGAGGAGCACGGCAGACCAAGACGAGGAGCACGGCAGACTATGCCCTAAGAGTGCCCTCAAGACGGCCGAACAATCATCAAACAAACAATGAGTCTAACGTCGTCTTGGAATCGTTTTTGAGGGCATCAGTACGGCCCCCCAAAAACAAAATCGGCCCAAAGATGACCCGCAGAGTGCCCTCAATACGGCCGACCATGACGATTTCGCTGGGGACGTGTTCAATAAATTAAGAGTGTATCAGCACCGTCTGCTGCAACAACGCTGTGCTGGTCTGCCGTTCTCCTGTGGTCAGCTGTGCTGCTCTGCCGTGCTCCTGCGGTCTGCCGTTCTGGTCTGCCGTTCTGGTCTGCCGTGCTCCTGTGGTCTGCCTTCCTGGTCTGCCGTGCTGCTGCCGTCTGTCGTGTTGCTGCGCTGTGCCGTGTAAGCTGATAAACCGGTCAGACCGATGAAGAAAACGAGAGTCGGGTTACAACGGCTACGCAGATTTAAACTGCTAGTCCAAAGGCTCTCCAGAGGACCCCAACATCTCCCAAGCACACCCCGAGAAGTCCATCATCATCATCATCCTCATCATCATCATCATCATCATCATCATCATCATCATCATCCATACTCATACTCATACTCATCATCATCATCCTCCTCCTCCTCATCATCATCATTATCATCATCGTACGCATCACCATCACCATCAGCAGCAACATGATCATCACCAACAACAGCAGCGTCAATGACATGATCTGGTCTGCTATGTTCCTATGGGCTGCCGTGCTGGTCTGCCGTGCTGGTCTGCCGTGCCGGACTGCCGTGCTCGTCTGCCGTGTCGGTGTGTTGTGCTGGTCTGCCGTGCGGGTCTGCTGTTCTGGTCTGCCGTGCTGAAGCTGAAGCTTTCGGGGCTTAAAGCCAGAGAAAGAGAGAGACATAGAGAGATAGAGAGGGAGAGAGAAAAAACAACAATTAAAAACAGGGGCAGGCCATCTTGGGCTACACCCCAGGGCCCTCCAGGCCGCCGTGCTGCTGCGGCCTGCTGTGCTCCTGTGCTCCTGTTACCTTGCCTCTGTGTGGTCTCCCGTCGAGAGCACACAGAGGCGGCAAGATGCGTTCACGCCTCGTCTCGGTTCAAGGCCGTCGATCGCCAGGCCATTACAATTCGAACAATCATGCCTCGCGCCCTGGTTCAAACGGCCGCGACGTGTGGCGAGGCTCGGTTCAAACGGCCACACCTCGGTTCAGCCCGCCACGCCCGGATCAAACGACCACGCCGCTACGATTCGAACGGCCATGTCGCGCCCCGCCCCGTCTCGCCCGCCCAGCACACACCCTGCACACACGCTCGCACACATGCACAGAGCTGCACACAGCCGCACACACAGGCACACGCCCACAGGCACACGCACACACACGCACACGCTCACTTTCGCTCTCTCTCACACACACACACACGCACAGGCAACATACGTTCACGCTGACCGCAGGAGCACGGTAGACCAGCACGGCATAAAAGAGCATTGCTGCGGACCACCTCGCACGGACGCACATGCACATACTCCACGCACGCGCACGCGCAAGCGCAAACGCACGCACGCCACGACAGACCTGCGGGGCAGACCAACACAACAGAGCACATTTCGCACACCTAGTGGGCAAAAGCGACGCTTCCCGTTCTTGTCCGGTCAGGTTCCGGAAAAATGGCCGTTTCGCTCGAGACATCCTCGAAAAATCGGCTCCGGAGGGGACTCCGAACCGGCATTATCTTGGAGTCGCTCCCAAGAGGCGCCCAATCAGGCCCCCAAGAGGCGCCCAGAGGCCCCCCCGAGCACGCGAAGAGGCCCCAGGACTGGCCAAGAGAGCCCCAAGACGCTCCAAGATAACGCCAAGACAGCCCAAGAGAGCCCCCACAGACCCTCGAGAGACGCCTGGACAGTCCAAGAGGGTCACAGAAGCCTCCAAGAGGCTCCCAAAATGCTCCCCACGGGCCCCAATCAGGCCCCCAGAGCCCCACGACAGTCCAAGATAACGCCAAGACAACCCAAGAGACCCCCACAGACCCTCGAGAGACGCCTGGACAGTCCAAGAGGGTCACAGAAGCCTCCAAGAGGCTCCCAAAATGCTCCCCACGGCCCCAATCAGGCCCCCAGAGCCCCACGACAGTCCAAGATAACGCCAAGACAGCCCAAGAGACCCCCACAGACCCTCGAGAGACGCCTGGACAGTCCAAGAGGGTCACAGAAGCCTCCAAGAGGCTCCCAAAATGCTCCCCACGAGCCCCAATCAGGCCCCCACGCGGGCCCCAAAGAACCATTCACAGCTCACGAGGTCCGTCATATGCACAGGACGGCAGACTACCTCGACAGACCAGCGAGGCAGACCAGCACGGCAGAGTTCTACCTCGAAGTTGAGCGGGGGACCAGCACAATGACCCGATAGCGCGCGTGTTGGTCTGCTGTGGTACTACTCTGACTTGTTTTGACGTTCTCCAGCAAACGTTCTCTGACAAGCGCGTTGGACAAAGCGGCTACGGATCGCCTCGAGAAACTGGCTGGCGGATGACGGGCAGCGCCTCTGGCGTGCACCGTTGGCTGGCGGACTCTGCGCGGTCGTGCCCCATGCGGCGATGCTGGGCTCCTGACGTTTCCCAGAGGCCTTGCGACAGCACGCATCGAGATCAAGCGGGCTCTTCGAGCTCGTTTTTTTTTTTTTTTTTTTTTTTTTTTGAAAAATGGCCGTGCCGCTCGAGACATCCACCAAAAATCGGCCCAAGAGGGGACTCCGCATCGACGTCGTGTTCGAATCGCTCTTGGAGGGCTTTCCAACGGCCCACGGGAGGCCCAAAAGACACCCTGGAGAGCCCCAGGAGCCCCCAGGGGCGCCCCAAGAAGACCCCACGAGACCCCCAAGAGCGCTCTAGGAGCCACCCAGATAGCTCACCAGAACCCCAAGACGGCCCGAGAAGGGCCAAGAAGGCCCCAAGAGACTCCCGGGAGCGCCCCAGGAGGCCTCCAGCGCCGAGACGGCCTAAGGAAGCTCCCACAGAACCCCACGACGCGCCCAGACAGCCCAAGAAGACCCCAGAAGCCCATAAGAGGACCCAAGGGGCCCCCAAGAAGCCCCCAACAGGCCCCTTTCTCCAATTGCCTCGTACTGTCCTCTGTCGTCGTCGTCGCCGTCGTCATCATCGCCCTCCTCATTCCTCCTCGTACTCGGCCTCGTTCTCTTCGTCCTCGTCCTTGTGCTTCTCTTCTTCCTTGTTGTCCTCATGCTCCTCCTCGCTATCCTCACGTTCGCCGTCCTCGTCATCGACTCCTCGTTGTCCTCGCCTTCCTTTTTTTCTTCGCCCAATACGCCCATTAGACTACAGCGGTGCTTCCCGTTCTTGTCCGATCAGGTTTCGGATGGACGATTGAGCAGAATCGCATGTACATTGCAATGCGCAAGAGGGGGCGGTGAAATCCCGGGAGGGGTAGCTCCTATCATTTCTTCAGAGAAGGGCGGATTTCGGATGGACGATTGAGCAGAGTCGCATGTACATTGCAATGCGCAAAAGGGGGAGGTGAAATCCCTGGAGGGGTAGATCCGATCAGCTCTTTAGAGAAGGAGGATCATAATGAGGATGAGGATGAGGATGAGGATGAGGATGAGGATGAGGATGAGGATGAGGATGAGGATGAGGATGAGGATGATGATGATGATGATGATGATGATGACGATGATGATGATGATGACGATGATGATGATGATGATGATGATGATGATGATGATGATGATGATGACGATGATGAGGGGACGAGGGGCCGGCGACAGCGACAACGTGGCCGCGAGACCGGCAGACCGGCCGGGCCGACGGGCGGAGACGATAGGCGGCGAGGGGGCGCCGACGGCCACAGCACAGAGCCGCCAGAGTGACGGGCGGGCCCACGGCAGGGCGGCGACGGGGCGGCGACGGCCACGATGCAGCCGCCAGGCCGACGGGCGGGCATTATTCAGGAGGGGGAACAACATTTCTTCTCGCGGGCGCGAACGGACGCGCAGGCGCCGAGTCGAAAGGTCCGGGCCACGGGCCGCTCTAATTGGCAACGCGCAAGCCGAGAAGCACAGCGGCCGAGCCCGAAGTCAGAACCTACCGCCGGTGGGGCAGCTGGCTGAGGCTGAGCTGGCTGAGCTGACTGCAAACGGCCAGGGTAGCAGATGCAAACGTGCGGGTGAATTAGGTCCTGCACGCCAGGAGATGTCGTGACCTGTTCTGTATCGACAGACCAGATGTCGGCCAAGCGAGGCAGTGCCACCATACGGCAGGAGGGGAAAAAAACACACAGTCACAATGAATCGTCGATTCCCCAGAAAATAATGGGAAATATGGGAAGTGTGGGGGGGAGACAAAAGCCCAGAAAATATGAGAGAATATGGGGAATCATGTTATTTGTGTGTATTTATTTGTGTGTCCTTGGGCCCCTTCAATTACTGTGGGGGCGCGCATCAAGAAGCCATCTGCTTCTCGTCAGGGTATCCCTGACTTCCCGCAGCCGTTGAAGGAGCTGCTACGTTCAGGGTGCTCCAGGTTGCCCCTCGTGTGCACCCTTCGCACGGGTTCTCAGGGTTTGGTTTCTTGCGATGGTTTCTTGCGGCCGCTCCCGCACTGTAGAAAAGAAGTCGGACCCCATAGTGCAGGCACTGCTCGGGGAATCTCAGTGCCAATTTCTCCTTGGCGTCCTGGGACGTCGGTGCTCCGGACGGTGGATCGATGCATGCTTTTCCCAGAACGGTTCTGCCTCTCTCTCGGCCCTGCCTCCGAGGAGATTGTTGTCCCCTCGATCGACTCCGTTCGGCTGGTGTATGCATTCCAGCTGCTGGTCCGCAATGACAAGCACGTGCTCTGCCCGGGCCCCACGGGCACGGGGAAGAGCGTGAACATCACCCTGTGGCTTCAGAAGCAGGCCCCGGAGAACTTCCAGGCGATCTTCGTGAACTTCTCCGCCCAGACGCACGTGAACCAGTTCCAGGACCTCATCGACTCCAAGCTGGAGAAGCGCCGCAGGGACGTGTTTGGGCCGCCCGCGGGGAAGAAGATGGTGCTCTTCGTGGACGACCTGAACATGCCGCAGAAGGAGTACTACGGGGCCCAGCCGCCCATCGAGCTGCTGAGGCAGTGGCACGACCACAAGGGGTGGTACAACCGGAAGGAGCTGAAGAAGTTCGAGATCACAGACTTCATCATGGTGTCCGGCATGGGGCCACCGGGGGGCGGCAGGACCTCCACGCTGCACCCTTGCTGTTTTACCCACTGCCTCCTAATTCAAGCAGTCGTCCCGTCGGAGGTCGCCCCATCCTCACCCCCGTCTTCCACCACATCATACAATTCTTCGTCGCTTTTCAAACTGAGGTCGTGACGCGCAGAAACTACCGAGACACGCGCACACGCACCATATGTTGCGGCTCTGGTTCTAGCCACGGCGACTGATCTATGGAACGCCGCACCTGGAGTCATGATTTTGCCGTTCGTTGTGCTGCGAAGGCAAAGTGTGCAGGGGCATTGCGTTTGGTTTGCGCATACATTTTTCTCTATTACAGATTCGGGGGCGATGCGTTTCCCATGCGAATGCGTTTACTTGTCATTTGATGTATCTCGCGTTGCTCCTACTCCTCCTCCCTCTTCCTTCTCTCTGCTACCTTTCCTGCACCGGTTCTGTGACACATGCATTTGCTTTTGTTGCCTGGGCCCAGGATGTTTGCATGAGGCCTGGCAGGTTTTGGGCGGCTGCGTGTGCTCGGCAGCGTTGGAGCAATGCGTTGGATTGCGTGTTCCTTAGCCTTCTCTTTCTTGCCTTTTCCGAACTATTGCGCTGTGATAAATGGCACGTTTGCGATGTGTCCTGGCGTTGATGGTTTTTGACAATATATGTGACGCACGCGATTGAAATATTTGGTGAAGTGTGAAACGACGTGCACCGTTCTAAGGCGCTTTCCTTGTCGATTTGACATGGCCTGTTCTAAAACATGATGGTAGGCAAGTGGAAGAATGGGTACACGAGAGCTCGCAAGGACAAACCAACGTCACTGCCACTTTTAGGACGCCGACAAGGGAAAACAGGAAGTCATCACTTGAGGAATACGTTTGAGTCCCTGCTATTGTCAATTGTATGACATCCTGGTTCCTCCACAGTCATGCAATATTTTCTTGCGGGCCGCGTATCTATGAAACGCAGGTTCCAATTCCCGAAGGACGTTCATCACGGAGCGCCTCAAGAGGCATTACAGCTTGTTGGCTTATGACGAGTTCCAGGACGAGTCGATCACGCAGATATTCCAGACGATCTCTTCATACTTCTTCCAGAACTTCAGCGAGTCGGTCCAAAACTTGATCCCAACTTTGATCTCGGGCACGGTGAGCATCTTCAAGGATGCCCTCTCAGAGTTGCTGCCGACGCCAGCGAAATGCCACTACCTGTTCAACCTGCGCGACATTTGGAGAGTCTTCCTGGGCTTGTGCACGCTTAGCGCTAAAAAGTCGAATGACCCGCAAATTGTGGTCCGATGCTGGTGCCACGAAATTCAACGGGTCTTCGGTGACAGGCTTACCGACAGGCAGGACTTATCGTGGATGAAGAAGCAGTTGGACAGCAACCTCACTGAAAAATTCCAGATGGAGCCAGCGAGTATATTTGTAAACGAGAGGTTGGTGTTCGCCTCTTTCATGTCCGGAACTGACGCGGATAGTAGGGTATACGAGGAAGTGTCTGACGTGAGCGCTCTGAAAGAGACGATCGAGGAGTCGCTGGAAGATTACAACCAGGTCAACAGCATTACAATGCCTCTAGTAATGTTCCTGGATGCGTGTGAGCATGTCTCACGTGTTGCGCGTGTGCTCACCCAGCCGTCCGGTAACGTCCTGCTGCTCGGTGTCGGTGGTAGCGGTCGCCAGAGCTTGACAAGGCTCTCCTCGCACATATGCGAGAACGAGTGCTTTCAGATAGAGGTCGCGAAAGGTTATGGCATGAACGAGTTCAAGGATGACGTGAAGAGATGCTTGATGAAGTGCGGTGTCGATGACAAGGTTCAGAACTTCCTGTTCTGTGACACCCAGATCGTGAAGGAGGACTTCGTGGAGGCCATCAACAACATTCTGAACAGCGGGGATGTCCCCAACCTGTACGCAGTCGAGGATATGGGGTTTATCGCTACCCTCTCGCCCCCTCGTTTGCCCTCCTTCTCGTCTTCCTCCTCCTGTCCTCCTCATCGGCATTAATTTCCCCCCTCGTCCTCCTCGTCCTCGTCTTCCTCCTCCTCGGTCTTCTCATTCAGCTCCCTTCTTTCCCGCCTCGTCCTCGTCATCGTCCTCTTCTTGCGCCTCCTCATCATCCTCATCCCTGCGTTTCGCTTCCTCCACCTTCACCTGCTCCTCCGTCCTCATCCCTCCCTCCACTCCCTTGTCCTGCCCCTCCTCCTCCTCCTCCTCCTCCTCCTCCTCCTCCTCCTCCTCCTCCTCCTCCTCCTCCTCCTCCTCCCCCGTCCGTCGCCGTCCTGGCTCGAGCCCTTCGGCCAGGACCTGGCTCGGTTGTCTCGGCGGTTCTGACCTAGGCGTGCCCCAGAATGCATCCGAAAAGGCAACACAAACACACATGTTCGTGTTCGAGTGCTCGCAAACGGTTCATCACCGGTTCGGAACAATTCGTTCGCGAACCCCACGGCCCCCAGGGACCTCGTCCACGGGCTCCCGGTCGAGGGGACACGGGGATGTTCAGAACGAGCGGTTCGCAAATGGTTCGGGAGCACATGTTCGCGAACGATGTGCAGGTCAGCCCGAGTCTCTGACCCCAATTTGTAATGGAGGATGACGGTTAATAAATGACCGGGGGTCGTGTTCACGCGGCGGCGCCCGGGATGACGATTAGAAAAAAACCGGCCGCGTGCTGGAAAACTATTTTTTAACCGTTCTCCACCAATCAGAAAGTTGCGCCGAAATAGCAGACAACTATTTGTTTAATCGTTCTCTCCAATTTTTTATTAATCGTCATCCCGCACTACCTGCACGTATAGCGATCCGCCCCTCGCTCGGATCCACGGCTTGCCGCCAGCGGCGTTGGCTGTGGCGGGCCTTGCGTGCGGCGGCACAGCTGCGGGATGATCGCCCAGGGTGCTGCTGGTGATCGTGGCGGCCGCGGCGCACGCTGCTGCCTCGGCGCCGCAGCCCTGCGTGCCCAGTGGAGTGTTTTTGTTTCTCCTCTGGGCCATGGCGCTCCTCGTGTACCCCCACCTCTCCCCCCAGAACGTAACGCTCCCCCCCCCTCCCCCGCCTGCGCCCTGCTCTGCCGCAGTGCGCCCGGCACCCCAGTCCTGCGCGACGCAAGCTCCTGGCTCGCCGGGTTCTGCGTCGCCGCGCGCTGGGCGAGAGTCAGACGGCGCGCGCCCCGAGCTTGCGGCGCTAACGCCGATGGGGCGTTGTCCGAGGCCGCCCGCGCGACGGCCGACGGCTGGCTATCGGGCTCTCGACGCAGCGGGGCACGGTGGAAGCGGCCCGCGCGGTTCGGGGCCCCTCGCGCCAGCGGAGGCGATGGAGCGATCGAGGAGCATCTTGGGGAGAGAGGCCCTCACGACCACTGCGCGGCCTGGGGACTCTTGCGAGGGGGAAAAGGGTTGCCCCCGGCGGCTTGGCGGGCGCGCGCGCGCCCGTCCGCCCCTGGGCAGCGCCCTTCCGCGCCTGGGCCCTCGAGGGCCGCTCCGCTGCGCGCGGGCCGCCGCGCCGATCGCGATTGGCCGCCTCATGCCGCGCGCCGGAGGGGGCGACGGCAGGGCCGGCGCCCCTCCGGGGACTCAGCCATGGCCCGCTGACCTCGGCGCCTTCGCCGACGGAGGGCGAGCCCCTGCGGCCCTGGAGGGGGCCCCTCGTGCTGCTGAGCGCTGACCGCGAGCCGCGGGGGGTCCGCGCTTGCAGAGCGCTCGCGCACGCGCCCGGCGCGGGTCTGCCCAGGCGCAGTGAGGCTCCGCGCGAGGGCGCCCCGCCCTGGACAAGCGGCCGGCCCCGGCCGCGTCGCCCGAGCGATCGGGCGCCAGGCGCCGACTGAACCGAGCTACCCTGACCTCGTCGCGCGCGACATCAAGCGCGCCCCCCCGTCGAGCAATCGGCAACGAGGGTACGCGGGTGCCCCGCAAATGCGGGCCGTGCCCGCTCGCGCCAGCGCCGAATCGGGCGCCGCGCGGTGACCTCGCCCCGCGGCGGGGGCGGGATGATTCGACGCGCGGCGCCTTCGAGGTCGCGGCCGGGGCGGCGCGAGGCCGCCCCGTCAATGGCAGCGCCTGGGCCCTAACCTCCTTGCCCTTTCCGGATCGCGCCCCGCTCTGGGCGCCGCTGAACGACGACGCGATGGCCGAGCCAAAGTTGCCCCCGCGCAGCTCAGCGCACAGCTGGACAGGGATGAAGATCGCGCTTCTCTGCAAGCACTTGGGGCGCGGCTTCGGCGTCAGCGGGGCGCCCCCGTCGCGAAGTGGGCGAGGCGGGCTCGCGGCGCGGCGCAAAGCTGCGCTGGCTCGGAGATGGCGGCGCAGTCGCGGCAAGGACATGAGAAGGGTTGTTGCGCGCGGCGCGGCGATTTCCCTTGCTAGTCTGCGCGGGCGCTGAAGCGCCAGGCGCCCCGCGCGAGCTCCCCCGCGCGCCGCCGCAGCCCATGGCCAATCAGAATGCCTTGGTGGCGATCGGCAACTGGAGTGATCTCAGCGCGCCCTTCTCACCGGCGGCCCCGGCGGCATCTGCCCGCGCTCGTCTCGGTCGCCGAGCGGGGCAGCGCCGGCGCAGGGGGCCTCGCGCAGGACCCGCCAGCGCCCTGCCAGCGGAAGGGCCGACGACCGGTCGCGCGGCACATCTTTGACCCTTTCGGCGCGAAGATTTCAGAGTCGCGCTCTCGTCAGTGCACTTCGCTGGAGAGGCGCCTGGGGGGGGGGGCGCCATCCAACGCGTCCGGGCACCCGAGCGGCCGCGCGAGGGGAAGCGCGCGCGCCCGAGGAGGCGATGTGAGCCTGCGAAGAGGATGGAGTTTCCTCCCAAGCCTGCGGCCACTCCCGTCAGTCCTATCGAGGACGAGCATCCCGGTGAGCCAGCGTTGTTCGTCTTCCCGGGGGCTCCAGGTTCCATGGGGAAGAGTTTTGTGGAGCAGGTGGCATGGCCAGCGGCCGCCCCCAGGCATTCGGGGGCGGGGGCGAGGTGGGCGGCGGTCAAAGCTCTCGCGGGCCCACGGCCCACAGCGGCCCACCTGCGCCAGTGGGCGGACGAGCTTCGGTGTTCTATGTCGTGTAGCCACGTGCGGTGGGCAAAGTGTATTCTCTGGTCGTTCGCCCCCGCCTCCTCTTGCGCTGCGCCCTTAGCATCGTCTCTGGTTGCGCTCGCTCTTCCAACCCTGGTGAGAGTTTGGAGCCGTCAATGCCCGCGTGAATCCTGATGCGTCACCTGCGAGGTCTAGTCCAGCATTGCAGAGGGTCAGGCACTCAGCGCCTGCTGCGCTGCCCCTCGCCCCCTCGCTGTCGCGGTGTGGGGCGAGGTGATCGGCAAGCGCGTCTCGTTGTGCGCTGTCGCTCCCCGTTGCGCCTCCTTCCTTCACGTCAATCCCCCCCTCCCCCGCTATCCGTTTCCTTTTTCTGCCTGACGCGTAATTACTTTGCTTGATGCGTCGTGTCCCACCTCGGCCATTATCCGTTGTACTTGTCCCCTGCATTCTAAATTCCTGGTTTTCCTCCTCCTCCTCCTCTTCCCTTGCCCTTCCTCCCTCCAGCCTCCTCCTCGTCCCCTTTTCCCTCCCTCCCCACCCCTCCCCATGCCCATCATTCCCGTGTCATGCGCGAATGATGAAAGGACCGAGAGAAAGAGACGAGGATGAGGGAGGGGGTGGACATGATGGAAAGGATGGAGATGGAGGAAGTGGGCGGACGGAGTTACACGAGTACGTCGGGCGGACATCAAGGGAAGAGGCGTCCATAATTTTTTTCAATCGTCCAGGGGGGGGGGCTAGGTGGGCGTGCTGGTCCCTCCATCCCCCCACTGGCACATTCAGGTGGGTGGGGCTGAACCGCCTCCTTCCGGCGCCTGCAAACGACGACGACAACGAACTCGGCGACATCGACGACGACGACGACGACGACGACGACGACGACGACGACGACGGTGATGGTGACGACGACGACAACGACGACGACGACGACGACGACGACCACGACGACGACGGCGACGGCGACGGCGACGGCGACGGCGACGACGACGACGGTGACGACGACGACAACGACCACGACGACGACGCCAACGACGTCCCACCCGCCCGTCCGAGCGCTGGTAAACGACGACGACAACGAATTCGGCGACATCAACGACGACGATGACGACGACAACGACCACGACGACGACAACGTCCCACCCGCCTGTCCGAGCGCTGGCAAACGACGACGACGTGGAGGACGACGACGACGACGACGACGACGACGACGACGACGACGACGACGACGACGACGACGACGACGACGACGACGACGACGACGACTACGAAGACGACGACGATGACGACGTCGACGACGATGACGATGACGATGACGACGTCGTCGTTTGCGGGCGCAGAGAGACGAGAGGGGGTCGAACCTGCCAATGACTTTCGGGAGGGGGGCAGTAATGGGAGAGGGTGCTCTCTCGGGGGAGGGGGACGGGCCCCGAATCCAGGAAAGAGGGTGGAGATTTTCAGAGACGGGCGGGGGGGTCGTTTCCAGGGTGAAGGGGGGATTTTGCCACCAATGCAGCGTACGTGTGACCTTGTCCTGGGTTGCGGATCCAGACGTGGCGACGTAGAGGTTTTGTTAATGCCCCCCCAAAAAAGGGTGGATAGCGAACAATAAACTCAGACGTCGCACCTCGATCCTCTTACCTTATGGAGCTCTCATTGGGTCCATGCTGGTTTGTTCTGTCCGGGTAGACTTCTGACGGCCCCGGGGTCCGATACGATCCCCCCAAAGGCCAGAGCTGAGGGGAAAGAGCATCCAGCGAAATGTCTGAGACCAGACGTTAAGAGAGAATGCTTCACCACGACTAGGCACAACCAGAGCCACTGATCCCATCTTCCTGCCACATTTCTTGAGCTGGATCGACCCGCGGGGGCCCCAGTGGCTTGACACCTGACGACAAGGCACGGTGCGACAGCATTGCTCAGGCGATCGCAAACATGGATCAAGGGGGCGTGCATTAGCGACGGGTCCCGCTTGCATGGGAAATCGCGGATTCCCGCCGCCGAGCGAGGCGGCACCGGCCGCAGTTTGGGGAGGGCACCTCCCCGATCCATGGATTTGGCGACCGCGCGCCAAATCCATGGATCGCTGATCCATGTTTGCGCGCCCCCGAAGTGCGAGGCCCGCTTGTCAGGGCCCCGCGTCCGCCAGGGTCCCCTGCCCGTGCGGCAGCCGAACGGGCACCTGAATGGGCTCGGTTCCGACAGGGCCGTAGCAATCAAGCCCCCTCGGGCGCCGACTGGAGGAGGTGGAGGAGGAGGAGGAGGAGGAGGAGGAGGAGGGAGGAGGAGGAGGAGGGAGGAGGAGGAGGGAAATGCGAGACGGGGCTTCGTCCATGAAGCCACCACCTGGAGGACTGATGTTCGGGGCCTCGATCCCCCGCTCGTCAGGCGGCCGCACGGACCCAGACGCCGAGCGGGCTCGGAAGGGAACCCTTTGGGCTCGAGGAGATCGGCGTCACCCGAGCCTGCTCAGACTATGTGCGCGTCGCCCCCCCGCCCCACCTCCAGGGGCGACGCGCGCGCCGAGGAGTCTTGTACTATAAGCTCCGTGGCGGGCGCTTTCTGGCCACACCGCTCCGGAAGCGGCACACGACAGTGTGATTCTACTACATGTTCGGGTCGGACTCACGCCTCAGAGGAGGTAGCCTTGTACTAGTAGTTATGTCCCTCTGCGTTCGAAGAAGGAAAACGGCATACACATAAACTTTTGGCGCTCCGCGCGAATTTCTTGGATTCGTGTTTGGGCCCCCCATGGCGGCGCCTCCAGCGCCGTTCCTGGCGCGTGCCGCGCGCCTCCAGGAAGGGGGCTCCGGCACAGATCCGAGCATCCCGCGCGGACCTCCCGAAGGGTATGTTCATGCCGTCTTTTGCCCCTCGACGCGTCCCCGAGGACATGGAGTCCATCGCAACCGCGTGCCGCGCGCTGTGCCAGTCCATGGGCATGCAGCCCACCAAGGCCAACCTCTTCAGCGCCTACCTGCCCCGCGCTCGGCGCCAGCTCTCCGGCCGGCCGCGCCGCACGTAGGCTTGTCCAGGCAGGGGGGGGACAGTCGAAGATGCTTCCAAAATCGGAGGAAGGGAGGAGGAGGAAGAGGAGGGGGAGGAGGAGGAGGAGGAGGAGGAGGAGGAGGAGGAGGAGAGGAGGAGGAGGAGGAGGAGGAGGAGGAGGGGGGGAGATGAGGGGAGAGAGGAGGAGGAGGAGGAGGAGGAGAAGGAGGAGGAGGGGGGGGGAGGGGAGGGAGGAGGAGGAGGAGGAGGAGGAGGAGGAGAGGAGGAGGAGGAGGAGGAGGACGAGGAGGAGGGTGAGGGGAGAGGAGGAGGAGGAGGAGGAGGAGGAGGAGGAGGAGAGGAGGAGGAGGAGGAGGAGGGGAGGAGGAGGGGATGAGGAGGGGAGAGGAGAGGAGAGGAGAGGAGAGGAGAGGAGAGGAGAGGAGGAGAAGAGAAGGAGGAGGAGAAGGAGGAGGAGGAGGAGGAGGAGAAAAACAGGACCGTCCAGGCTCCGATGCCGGGGGGAATGCATCGATCCCCAATGGGCCTGATAGCCCCACCCCTCCCAGGAATCGGTATCGGGGGCCTATCGCTGATCTATCGGCGATGTACGGTAGGTTAGCGCGGCGTTGGCGCGCCGGCGACGCCAGCGAAGGCGTTCAAGGTTGAGTTCTGCGACGCGGATGCACCGAGGGACACGATTACGCCATTGGGCCCGACGGAATTCAGCCTTTAGCGATCGGGGTCAAGATCGATTCAAGGTTGAACGATCGACGCGGTGTCAAAAACCTTTTGCGCGCGCCGACGCCGCGTTACCGTTGCGGGTCGATGCTTTCCCCGCCTATGCCAGTCCGCCCCCCTACCGTTGCCCCTCAGGAGGGGGGGGGGGTGAGAGTCGAGGATGCAGGAACGCAGGCGTGAAAGGTCGAAGGATCACAGGGAGGAACTTCCTGGGAGGGTCCGGGGATGTGCGGTTGACCTCTCTGGGGGCGCTTCGGCGCCACGGCCGGGCTCGCCTCGAGAGCCTGGTCGAGGCGCACCCATCGGAGGAGCCACGTGTGTGTGTGTGTGTGTGTGTGTGTTCCGAGGGGAGGTCGAGTAGGGGACCACATGCGAACCCTACCCCTACCCTCCACGATTTCTGAGGGGGAGGGTGGGGTTCACTTCGCTCTGTAGCTCCTGGACAGAGGGAACCCCGCCCTCCCCCTCAGAAATCGTGGGGGGTAGGGGTAGGGTTCGCACGTGGCCACCTATCGAGTGCCCAGACCTCCAGGCAGGGCTGGACCTCAACGGTGTTTCTGGTGATTTCGTGGGCCGTGTTCGCTTCGACTTCGCTTTGCGGTAGAGGGGCGGATGCGAGGCAAAAGCGAAGGAGAACGAAACCAAAACGAAAACGAAACACACCGTTGAGGTGCAGCCCTGCCTACAGGGTCGAATGGATCGAGGATCGGAGCTGGACGCCTCGGGTTTCTCTGTGGGGGCCTACGGGAGGCGTCTCTTCTCGCACGGCCAAGATTCTGGCCGCGGCGCGCTAGAGGGGGACCAAGGAGGAGGCCACGCCGCGCCGGTCGCAGGATGCTGCATTGAGGCGATCGAGGATCCAGGACACAGGACCTCCAGGACTGAGGGATCGAGGCTCGAGGACCGAATCGGCGTCACCGCGACACATACGAATACTACGTGCGACAGGAGAACTCTTATCGTGCATACATCGTGGCGGGCGCTCTCTGGCCGCACCGCTCGGGGAAGCGGCTCATCCTTGGCCGCTTTCGCTGGCCGCGCCCCGCTCGCAAAGTGTCGACACGGTCTTCCGAGGCCCTTGCATCCTGATCGCGCATCCTTGTGATACGGGTGGACTGTACATGAAGCGATCGAGCACCCGGGACACAGGACCTGCAGGACAGAGAGATCAATGTTCGAGGATAGAAGTTCGAAGATGCTTGACGGTTTTGTCTTGCTTTGGGATTTTGGGAGGATTCTCGCCGCTGCGGCCAGATTTCCCACGATATCTTGGACATAACACATTCCTGGAGGTGCGCGGGAGTCCACTCTTTCGGTGGCGGGAAACATTGGAGCCTTTAGTTGCACCAAACATTTTCCGTTGCCAATTGATGTTGATTGATTTAGTCTGCTTTCTGTTTGCTTTAGTCCGGATCCGCCGTCCAGCTTAGCCATGCTTAATCAGATATATAGTGTTTTGAACTCGGCCCATCTCGTTCTTTCTAGTCAGGATTCGTTTGGCCCATTCGGACTTCGTCAGATTCAGACTGGCCTCGTCGAATCTAGCCAGAGTTGGTCCGCCTCAGTTCTACTTCAGCCCCATCCCAAACGCTTGAAAGCGTAGAGGAAAAACATGGTCGGTCCCAGACCTCGGATCTTTTGAGTTGTTCCAAGACGCTGTTCCAACATCCCAGCCGAACTTCCCCGGGGTAGAGAGACAGCCTCCAGACGTCAAATCAAAACGAATAGGTTCCATCTTGATCTGTTTCGCTATGGAAGTCTGGGATCGGCGGTCCTTCCCCTCAGGAGGCGGCGATCCCCCCCAGCGGTGGCGTTTGCAGCACTGCCTGAAGACTGAACAGGAAAACGTTGCGGCGGTGATCTGCGACCGCACGTCACAACGTGCCATGGGCGGAGGAGGGCGTCGATCGATGCCGACGACGACGACGACGACGACGACGACGACGACGACGACGACCTCGACGACGGCGGCGACGGTGACGACGACGGCGCGCGGAGGTCCCGCGTGAAGAAGAACGTTCACGTGGTGCTGGCGTTTTCACCGGTCGGCGACGGGCTGCTCGGGGGACAACCACAGCCGTGCACCGAAGCCGACCGCCCAGACCTGGCAAGTCCTTGAGATCCGGGCATCACATTTTTGTTCACCTCGTTTTTCGTTCCCCTTCGGGGCCCGGGACCCTTACGAACCAATCCGGGTCGAGAGGTGCTGCTTGACGATGGGGTCGAGGGTTTCAACCGTGCCTGTCTAGACAAATTGCCTTCGGCCCATCCCGCCTCCGTGTCTGGCTGGTGGGTCAGAGTTCTCAGGGATGCTGGGGTCTCTTCGGGGCGCTCTCGGCCTCTCGGGGGCAGCTTGGGGGCAGCTTTGGCCTCTTGTGGGCCTCTTGTAGGCGTCTTTGGGCCTCTTGGGGACCTCTTGGGGGCCTCGTTGGGTCCTCGTCGGGGCCTCTTGGGGCCTGCTGTGGGCCTCTCCGGGGTCGAGGGCTCGAAGCGTCCGTGCGGGCGCCTCCCGTCGGGGCCCCCTCTCGGAGCCGTCTTGAGGCCCGGGGGGTTCTTCCCCCAGGAAAGCACGATAAAATTAAAAAAAACAACGCCAGGTTTGGGGACTGTTCGGGGTGTTTTCCTTCCCGAGAAACACCGGGCATACCCTCGAAGACCTTAAAAAAAACCCTCGAGTTTGAGTATTTTCCAACCCTCCTTGGTGGGGTATTCGTTCTGAATAGAGCACTGCGATTCCCAGTCCTCCTCCTGCTCCTCCTCCCGCCTCCCGTCTCCCGCTTCCGTCTTGCCTCTTCTTGTCTTGTGCATATTGTGCATACCTCGTGTGTGTGTGTGTGTTTGTGTGTATGTGTGTGTGTGTGTGTGTGTGCGTGTGCGTGTGTGTGTGTGTGTGTGTGTGTGTGTGTGTGCGTGTGCGTGTGTGCGTGTGTGTGTGTGTGTGTTCGCCGTCCCTGGGGGGCTGCGATCTGCGACACTGGTGTGTGTGTGTGTGTGTGTGAGTGTGTGTGTGTGTGTGCCGTCCCTGGGGGTCTGCGATCTGCGACACTGTCACCACTTTCGATGGCTGCTGGTGGGTCCTGCGGACTGAGGCGCGGGGATCTGAGTGGGACCTCGCCGTCCCTTGGAGGCTGCGATCTGCGACAGTGTCGCCACTTTCGATGGCTGCTGGCGGGTCCTGCGGACTGAGGCACCGCGGGGATCCGAGCGGGACTTCGCCGTCCCTGGGGGGCTGCGATTTGCGACACCGTCGCCACTTTCGAGGGCTGCTTGTGGGCCCTGCGGACTAAGGCACCGCGGGGATCTGAGCGGGACCTCGCCGTCCCTGGGGGGCTGCGATCTGCGGAGCCGTCGCCATTTTCGATGGTTGCTGGTGGGTCCTGCGGACTGAGGCACCGCGCGGATCTGCGCGGGACCTCGCCGTCCCTGGGGGGCTGCGATCTGCGAAACTGTCGCCACTTTCGATGGTTGCTGGCGGGTCCTGCGGACTAAGGCACCGCAGGGAGATGAGCAGGACCTCGCCGTCCCTGGGGGGCTGCGATCTGCGACGCCGTCGCCACTTTCGAGGGCTGCTGGCGGGTCCTGCGGACTGAGCCGCGGGGACCTGAGCGGGACCTCGCCGTCCCTGGGGGTTTGCGATCTGCAACAGTGTCGCCACTTTCGAGGGCGGCTGGTGGGTCCTGCGGGCTGAGGCACCGCGGGGATCTGAGCGGGACCTCGCCGTCCCTGGGGGCTTGCGATCTTCGACGCCATCACGAATGTCGAGGGCTGCTGGTGGGTCCTGCGGGCTGAGGCACCGCGGGGATCTGAGCGGGACCTCGTCGTCCCTGGGGGGCTGCGATCTGCGACACCGTCGCCACTTTCGAGGGCTGCTGGTGGGTCCTGCGGACTGAGGCACCGCGGGGATCTGAGCGGGACCTCGCCGTCCCTGGGGGGCTGCGATCTGCGACGCCGTCGCCACTATCGAGGGCTGCTGGTGGGTCCTGCGGACTGAGGCACCGCGCGGATCTGCGCGGAACCTCGCCGTCCCTGGGGGGCTGCGATCTGCGTCATTGTCGCCACTGTCGAGGGCTGCTGGCAGGTCCTGCGGACTGAGGCACCGCGGGGATCTGAGCAGGACCTCCCCGTTCTGGTGGGCTGCGATCTGCGACAGTGTCGCCACTTTCGATGGCTGCTGGTGGGTCCTGCGGACTGAGGCACCGCGGGGATCTGAGCGGGACCTCGCCGTCCCTGGGGGGCTGCGATCTGCGGAGCCGTCGCCATGTTCGATGGTTGCTGGTGGGTCCTGCGGACTGAGGCACCGCGCGGATCTGAGCGGGGGCCCGCCGTCCCTGGGGAGGTGCGATCTACGACACCGTCGCCACTTTCGAGGGCTGCTGGTGGATCCTGCCGACTGGACGCCGCGGGGATCTGAGCGGGACCTCGCCGTCCTTGGGGGATCTGCGACATTGCCGCCACTTTCAAGGGCTGCTGGCGGGTCCCGCGGATTGAGGCACCGCGGGGATCTGAGCGGGACCTCGCCGTCCCTGGGGGGTTGCGATCTGCGACGCTGTCGCCACTTTCGAGGGCGGCTGGTGGGTCTTGCGGAAGGGGGCACCGCGGGGATCTGAGCGGGACCTCGCCGTCCCTGGGGGTTGCGATCTGCGACATTGCAGCCACTTTCGATGGCTGCTGGCGGGTCCTGCGGGCTGAGGCACCGCGGGGATCTGAGCGGGACCTCTCCGTCCCTGTGGGGCTGCGATCTGCGGAGCCGTCGCCACTTTCGAGGGCTGCTGGTGGGTCCTGCGGACTGAGGCACCGCGGGGATCTGAGCGGGACCTCGCCGTCCCTGGGGGGCTGCGATCTGCGACGCTGTCGCCACTATCGAGGCCTGCTGGTGGGTCCTGCGGACTGAGGCACCGCGCGGATCTGAGCGGAACCTCGCAGTCCCTGGGGGGCTGCGATCTGCGTCATTGTCGCCACTGTCGAGGGCTGCTGGCGGGTCCTGCGGACTGAGGCACCGCGGGGATCTGAGCAGGACCTCCCCGTTCTGGTGGGCTGCGATCTGCGACACCGTCGCCACTTTCGATGGCTGCTGGTGGGTCCTGCGGACTGAGGCACGGCGGGGATCCGAGCGGGACCTCGCCGTCCCTGGGGGGCTGCGATCTGCGACACCGTCGCCACTTTCGAGGGCTGCTGGTGGGTCCTGCGGACTGAGGCACCGCGGGGATCTGAGCGGGACCTCGCCGTCCCTGGGGGGCTGCGATCTGCGGAGTCGTCGCCATTTTCGATGGTTGCTGGTGGGTCCTGCGGACTGAGGCACCGCGCGGATCTGAGCGGGGGAGCTGCGATCTGCGACACTGTCGCCACTTTCGAGGGCTTATGGTGGATCCTGCGGACTGGACGCCGCGGGGATCTGAGCGGGACCTCGCCGTCCCTGGGGGATCTGCGACATTGCCGCCACTTTCAAGGGCTGCTGGCGGGTCCTGCGGATTGAGGCACCGCGGGGATCTGAGCGGGACCTCGCCGTCTCTGGGGGGTTGCGATCTGCGACGCTGTCGCCACTTTCGAGGGCGGCTGGTGGGTCCTGCGGACTGAGGCACCGCGGGGATCTGAGCGGGACCTCGCCGTCCCTGGGGGTTGCGATCTGCGACATTGCCGCCACTTTCGATGGCTGCTGGCGGGTCCTGCGGACTGAGGCACCGCGGGGATCCGAGCGGGACTTCGCCGTCCCTGGGGGGCTGCGATCTGCGACACCGTCGCCACTTTCGAGGGCTGCTGGTGGGTCCTGCGGACTGAGGCACCGCGGGGATCTGAGCGGGACCTCGCCGTCCCTTGGGGGCTGCGATCTGCGACGCCGTCGCCACTTTCGAGGGCTGCTGGTGGGTCTTGCGGACTGAGGCACCGCGCGGATCTGAGCGGGACCTCGCCGTCCCTGGGGGGCTGCGATCTGCGACAGTGTCGCCACGTTCGAGGGCTGCTGGCGGGTCCTGCGGACTGAGGCGCCGCGGGGATCTGAGCGGGACCTCGCCGTCCCTGGGGGCTGCGATCTGCGACACGGTCGCCACTTTCGAGGGCTGCTGGTGGGTCCTGCGGACTGAGGCACCGCGGGGATCTGAGCGGGACCTCGCCGTCCCTGGGGGGCTGCGCTGCGACACTGTCGCCACTTTCGAGGGCTGCTGGTGGGTCCTGCGGACTGAGGCACCGCGGGGATCTGAGCAGGACCCCCCTGTCCCTGGGGGGCTGCGATCTGCGACAGTGCCGCCTCTTTCGAGGGCTGGTGGGTCCTGCGGGCTGAGGCAGCGCGGGGATCTGAGCGGGACCTCGCCGTCCCTGGGGGGCTGCGATCTGCGACACCGTCGCCACTTTCGAGGCCTGCTGGTGGGTCCTGTGGACTGAGGCACCGCCGGGATCTGAGCGGGACCTCGCCGTCCCTGGGGGCTGCGATCTGCGACACCTTCGCCATTTTCGAGTGCTGCTGGTGGGTCCAGTGGAGTGAGGCACCGCGCGGATCTGAGCGGGACCTCTCCGTCCCTGTGGGGCTGCGATCTGCGGAGCCGTCGCCATATTCGATGGTTGTTGGTGGGTCCTGCGGACTGAGGCACCGCTGGGATCTGAGCGGGACCTCGCCGTCCCTGGGGGGCTGCGATCTGCGACACTGTCGTTACTTTTGAGGGCTGCTGGTGGGTCCTGCGGACTGAGGCACCGCGGGGATCTTAGGGGGACCTCGCCGTCCCTGGGGGGCTGCGCTGCGACACTGTCGCCACTTTCGAGGGCTGCTGGTGGGCTCGCCACTGTTGAAGGCTGTTGGTGGCTCCGGCGGAGTGAGGCACTGCGCAGACCTGAGCGTGGCCTCGCCGTCCTTGGGGGGACACGTCATGTTGTTGCTGCCCCGCCGACGTTTCAAGCCCCTTTCCCACCGTCTCCTTTTAGACCTTGCGTCTTCCTTAGTGACTCAGGGGTTCACTTAGTTACTCATCGTGTTTCCCTTGATTGGGGACCTGCGAACCTTTCGAATGCCGCTCGCAGAAACATCTGCGCCCATGTCACGTCGCCGCATTCTCGTCAAATCTCCCAAGCCACTCTTGCCCCGTATTGCGCAGGGGTGGGGTACGTCGCCCGGGTAATTTTCAGGGGGGTCCTGGGGGGGTTCGGCCTTTTGAGCCGTCTTTGGGCCTTCTTGGACTGTTTGGGGGGCCCTCGTGGAAGCCTCTGGGGTCTGAGAGCGACCCCGGGGGCCTCTTTGCCTTTGAGCGTCGGGAAGCCGAACAGGCGAGAGCTCAAAACTCCGTCGAAACCCGAATGAAAAACAATCAGTCGTCCTTGCTGGAGCCCTTGGAGGCCTCGTAGGGCGCCTCGGAGGCCTTTTTGGGCAATCTTCAGGCCATCCTTGGCGTCTCGGGGCGATCTCTCTGCGCCGCGCGGCCCCCTTTCGGTCGTCTCGCAGGCCTCGTGGCGCCCTCCCTGGGCCTGTCTTGGCGCCCTCCTTAGGGCCCGGAGAGGTCACGCGGGGAGACGGCCCGAGGCCCAGGGGAGGCGAGCCAGGCCCCAGGGGGAGGGCTCAGGGCCCCTAAAGGCTCCTCCTCCCTCCTCCTCCTCCTCCCCCTCCTCCTCCTCCTCCTCCTCCTCCTCCTCCTCCTCCTCCTCCTCCTCCTCCTCCTGCTGGCTCCTCCTCCACCCTCCTCCTCGTTCACCTCCCTCTTCTTCCTCCTCCTCCTCCTCCTCCTCCTCCTCCTCCTTCTCCTTCTCCTCCTCCGCCTCCTGATTGGGCGGAGCATGCAGAAGGGGGCTCGGGGCCCCGAAGGGGCGCCTCAGGACGGATGGGCTGAGGCCCGAAGGAGTCGGCAGAGGACCTGAGGGCACGCCCACGCCGTGCCCCAGAGGCACGGTGGCGGATCACGATGCTGTTTGTTTTTGTTGTTTTTCCAGTGATGTAGAATCTCTCACGGAGTGTACAGCCCAGACTTCTTTCGTCATCAAGGAGTGGAAACATATTTTCATCTCATCGCTTCGCTCATTCCGCCGGCCTTGGAGCGCTATTTGAGGCCTCTTAGGGCCGTCTTGGGGGCTTCTTAGGGGGCTTCCTGGGAGCATATTGGGGCTCCTTGGCGGCGTATTGGGCTCCCCTGGGGCCTCTTGAGGGCTCTTGGGGGGCCCTTGGGGCGGGAGGGGGGGTAGTCGATTGCAGCCCCCCCCTCGGAGGCCACGATGCTCGTGAGGGGTGGCGAAAAATAGCCTCCCCCCGGGGATCGCCCAGGGATCAGCCGGGGATCGGCCGGGGTACTTTTCGGCCGGGGCACCCCAGGGGCCGCCCCGCGCGCGCGAACTAGAAATATTGTTAAGCAGTTACCGGGGATCTTAGCACGCCTCTGGCCCGTTGGGCCGGCGAATTCCCTGTAGTCGATCATGGTGCGTTTCATGATGAAATCCTCAGGGCTGTAGTTGCAGCACAGCTCTCGAAGATTAGAAGGAACCGTCGGCCGTCTGGATGCATTTTTCCAGATGATCCTGGCTTCGTGAACTTAACTCAAGCAGGAAGCAAGCTACACAGCTCCAGTATTTTCTGTACCTGTAGTAGGTTATGACGCGTCGGCCTGTCGAATTGTCAGGTCCGTAGCTGTAGTATTACTATCAAAACACTTGGCGGAACCAACTTCGTGTAAAACCTAGAAAATAGATGATTCGAGTTTTGAATCTGACATTTAAGGAAGCTTTCTCGTCGTATTCTGAGAATTATACTTCGCGTGTCAAGAGCTCTACGAGGGTCCCGGCGGTAACCTGGTTGACGGTTTACCGCCGGCTCCCAGTCAAGGAGTGGAAACAGCCGTTTGTTTGACGCAGCTCTGCCATCGGAGGCCTCTTCTGGGCCCAAAGTCAAGCAGACTGCCTCTGAGAGGGAGTCGCAAGGTTCGGTGGCCACGCGCTGAATAAGACGCGCCGTGCGAGGCCTGGCTACGCACGTCTTCCAGGCCCTCGGCATCGCTCGGGCGTGTGGATTCTTTCTTCGGCGAGGGCCATGGAGGAGCATCTCTATTCACCTTGCGAAAAGATATGCGCACGAAGCCGAAAGCCGCACAGGAAGTGGACGTCCGAGCGATGGCGAGGGCCTGGTCAAGGAGGCGAATGCCCTCGACCTTCACCTCCCGAGCATCTCTCGCGCAGAAGTGGCCGCCCCCCGGCGGCGGCTTCCACACAACAACAACGGCGGAGACGCCGCTTGTTTGCCGCGCGGACGGCTCGAAAGGTTGACCCCAGGGTTGGCATCGCTCGGACGGGTGCGTTATTTCTCGGCGAGATCCATCAGGGAGCACACTTGGGTCAAACGTCATAAAGATACACGCGCGGAGCTGAAAAAACACACGGGGAACGGACATCCGAGCGATGGCGAGCTGCGTGCGCCGATGCTTGGCGGGGCCTGTAACGGTCGATCGGATTCCACATTGATTCTGAACGGTCCGGTCTGGTTCGATTCGATATTCCGGCAATCCGGTGTGGCCCGATGCTCGCGGGGCGTTGCTGCGCATCTCGACTCTCGACTCTCGACGAAGCCGATCCGATTCGATCTCGAAGATGTGCCGATGCATCCCGACCCGACGAACCTTCCGAGTCGATCCGACTCCCCGGTTCGATGTTGATTGCATTGTTTTGCCTGGAGCCCACGTCCTGCTCTTGGGAGGCCACATGCGAACCCTACCCCTACCCCCCACGATTTCTGAGGGGGGGGCGGGGTTCACTTCGCGATCGGCGTCGGCGCACGGCTGGCGTCCCGGCCCAGGTTCCGCAATCGGCTGCGCATGTTCCCCTCGCTCGTCAACTGCTGCACGATCGACTGGTTCCACGAGTGGCCCGCCGAGGCGGCGACCCGCTCGGTCGTCGTCGTCCTGCCCGTCCTCCTCCTCCTCGCCCTCCCTTGTCTCAAGTCGGGCACGTTGCTCTACAGGAGGAAGAATGGAAAAATAGTTAAGAAATGGTCAGGGGACGATTTTTCGAGTATTGTTTGACGATTTTGGAGTTTTGGTCGGGCTATTCGTTCATTTTTCGCCCAAGATCCGCCTGTAGGGGGCCATCCCCGACCTAAAACCTTGTACTCTTTTCCCTCTCACCCCCCTCCTCACCGCCCACGTCCTCCTCGTGCGCATCACTGCTCTTGCTTGTCCTCCGGGTCCTTCTCTTTTTGCTTCCACTGTCCTTACAATACTCCTCGCCGCCGTCGTGTGCGCCGCATAGGCGCAAGCAACTATGGGCTATAGGCTGTAGCGTCCGCGGCCATCCTCGTCTCCATCCTCGTCAACGTTATCCCCCCTCCTTCCTCACTTCCTGGCCCTCCTCGCCTTCTCATCTTCTCCTCCCTGCCTCCGCCTCCATGCCTGCCCCATCCCCTGTTCCGCTTCTACTTCTTAACACTTCGCGTTTCCCTACCAGCCCAGCCAATTGTGATCCTTATCCGAGGGAAACTGATCCTTGTGCAGTCCTCCTGTGTTGTACTATGCGGTGGGTTGATCGGCTTCCCGTAGGAGCTCCCCGACGGACTATAGCATTCACTCCCGCATTCCGCTGACCGGGGGGATGTGCCCAGGAGAACAAGTGGAGCACCGAAGCACGCGGCAGTCGAAAGAGCCCGTACAGTTGAGCATCCATGTCGTCCAGAGCCGATGCCCTGGCATGTTGCGTTAGAGATACCGCTGGTGCGTCACTGAGCAGCTAGCAAGCCATCCAGGAACAATGATCAGGCGGTTTGTCATGCTCAATGGCGTGTGGTAGTATGCAGTGGAACAGCCGCTCAGACGACCATGTGGAGCACAGCCTTCTATCGCCCACGGAAGAGCCCATTCATGACAGTATATATCATATATAGAAACGATGTCCAGGCACGTTGTTTCAAGAGCTTCTTGAAGGCATCCTGGAATCATCTTCGGAGCAGGGGGAGGAAGAGGAATCATAACATGAGGAGGAGGAATAGGAAGATGAGGACACGGATGATGATTCCGATGCCCAGGCAAGTTGTCGTTGGAGCCTCGTAGGTAATTCCTGGAGTCCCCTCCGGAGGAGGGTCGGAGAAGGAGGAGGACTAGGAATAGGAGGAGGAGGAACAGGAGGATACGAAGGATGCGTAAACCAAAGGGAAGGAAGATGAGCCCATGCAGCAGCGCAATAAGTTCATTCAAAGCTGGTGGCCGTGCGAATTTGACCCGTAGTCTCATAGAGGTTTCGTGGAGCCATGTTGGGAGGAGGGGGAGGATGATGATGATGAGGAGGAGGAGGAGGAGGAGGAGGAGGAGGAGGAAGAGTAGGAGGAGGAGGACGAGGATGATGACGAACATGAGCAGGAGGAGGAACATGAAACTGCTGATAAGGAGGTAGGATGCCTTCGCTGACCTTCTGCTATGAGAACCCGTTGAGGGACTCTATGAGCCATCTTGGGGCCCACTTTGGACCTCTTGGGCCCCCTTCAGGGCTCGTTTGGGAGGTCATGGGGCCCTCTTAGGGCCCTTTGAGTTGGTGGGTGAGGGGGGGGGGACATTGAGGCCCTCTCGGGGGCCATCCTGTGCCCCATGGCTACTAGGGGGATCCTCAATTCGCCCCCCCCGAACCCCCTCCCCTCTTCGAAGGCAGAATATTTGTATACTCTTGCCCCTTTGGGCCCTCTTGAGGCGCCACTGAGGTGTTCTTAGCGTCCTTGTGGGCCCCTCTTGGGGTCCTCCTGGGGCTCGCTTAGGCCATCTTGGAGCCGTCTTGAGACCTCAGAGGGCCGTCGGAAGCGGACAGGAGGAGAGGACAGCGTGTGCCAGCGTGGACTCCAATCAGTATATGTTATTGCAAGTAAGTTATTGCACTGCGTATATGTACTCAATGTGGTGCAAGCGATGCGGCGCAATCCACCTTGCCAAACTTGAAGTCGTCAACTCCACTACTCGCGCTAACATCCCACCCTCGCACCCACAACTTCTTTTGAACAACCCAAGCGGCCGTGATTGCGGTGACTACTTGTGATTGCGGTGGCTACTTGGAATTGGCTGGCGCATCTCTGTGGCTGCGCTGGCGCGCGCAAGCTCGCATCCAGAACGGCCAGCTGATTTGGCACATCCAGCGCGGCCGCGATGGCGCTAACCGATTGGAATTTCCCAGCTCGTCTCAATGGCCGCGCTGGCCCGCGGGCACTCCAGCGTGGGTCGGTGACTCGAGCGGGCGCTGTATGATATGATGACGCCGGCAACGGCGGCAACTTTGATGATAGTAGCGATGGTGGGGGCGATGATGACGATGACGACGGCGAGGCCAATGCTGGCGCCGATGCTGGTGACGAGAATGACGATCCTGATGTTCATGTGTCGATGGTGAAGTTGATTAATTGATGATGGCTTTAACCCTTTGTGTTGACGGTTACGGTAACGGCGGTGATGCGGTGGCGCTGATGCGGGTGACGGCGAAGAAGTGCGTGCGCGCGGAAATGCCAGACATTCTGCATGTACCCAGACTTGTATGGTTTTGCCGAAAATCTTTATTTCGAAGTGCTTCGAAAACCAGTGGTTCCGGAAGGGTTTCGACGCGCGCGTGGCTGCGCGAGCGCGTGTGCCCCTCATTGTGTTTGTTGATGGGCATTCGCGCACTGGGTGCATGCTAGATCAACGCGGGTGCACCGCGTGGTGAGAGGAGGGTGTCGTCATGTTGGTGCTCGAGGGATTTCAGCAGATGCGCGTGGGTGCAGCATGTGCAAGAGCTGCGATGGGAACCCTGGTGGTTGGTTATGCTTCCATGTCGGGAATGTGTTCTGCAGTGCGCGCGCAAGTGAGCTTTGCACACGTTTTGCAAAGAGGTGATTGAGCAGCGGATATTTGAAATCAACGGGTGCGCGCGCATAGTGTCATTTGATTTGGATGACGGGGGGGGGGCGGGGGGGTGGACGATACTGGGTCGCCTAGGACGGTATGAGTTCATATGGGAAATTCACGATGGGGCAGTATCACAATCACATGTCTTTTGCAGGTTCCCAGGGGCGGGGGCCGATAGCCCCAGCGGACGGAGGGGGGGGGGGCGGTCATTTCTGAACATGCTTGCGTTTCGGGATTCTGAGTTCTCTTCTAGGGACCTGGGCCTGCGGGCCGCTCCGGTCGCCACGTGGCCGCCTCGTCGCCGCCTCGTCGCCGCCGCGTCGCCGCCCGTCGCCGCCCCGTCGCCTGGGCCTGCGGGCCGCTCTGGCCGCCGCCGTCGTCGCCTCGTCGCCGCCCGCCGCCTCATCGCCGCCCTCTTTGCGCTGCTCTGCAGGTCTTGCAATTGCATAGGTCACCACAAAAAAAACGCATATGACATCACATAGATTGCACCACATCAAGTGTACCATACATCTATTATATACATATATATATATATGTATGTATTGCACCATCTTCTATGCTAGAGCAATATCTTTGTGGTCCACGCCAGCAAGCGTTTTTTGGAGGCGGAGAATGCGTGCACATGATTCTATATGTTCAGAGTTGTAGTTCACATAAATCTACATAAGTCTACACTTGTATGCAGATTCATATATGCACATATGTTTGTATGCCTATGTGTGTGGTGCAAGTTTTGTGTTGTGAGCAGTGTTGTGCGGGCAAGGGGTACAATCTAGGTTGGGCAAGCTATGTGGTGCAAGCTAGGTTGTGTAATACATGTGATGAGTGTACGTTATGTGGTCCCGCTTGTGTGGTGCAAGACCTGTGGTGCAAGCTATGCGGTCTAAACAATGGCAGAGGATAACAAATACCGAGCGCTCCCGCCGCCCCCCCCCAGCTTCAAAGTTGGCACGCGCGGAGGAGATTGCGGTCCAAGTGCAATTTATCGGACCCACCGCCAACTTTTAACATTTGGGGGAGAGGGAGGCGTTGACAGATGAACGTGGCATGAGTGTTCGCTATTTTTTCCGAGGCCTGTAGTCTGCAATCTATGTGTTACGAGTTGTGTCGTACCAGCCGTGCGGCCGCCTAGCGCACGAGGCGACCGCGAGGCGCCCACGGTGAGGGGATATGAGAGGTGGAGGAGGACGAGGTGAGGAGGAGGAAGAGGAGCAGGGTGAGAAGCGGAGGGAGACTGAGGGGGAGGATCAGGGGGAGGATGGAGGAGGCGGTGGAGGAGGAAGAAATGAATGCCACCCAGGGGTGGGAGTATCACGGAAGAGGAGGAGGAGGAGGAGGAGGAGGAGGAGGAGGAGGAGAAGGATGAGAAATGAGGGAAGAAGGGAGGTTAAAGGAGAAGGAGGCAGGAGGAAGAGGCAGACGAGGGTGTCAGGAGGAGGAGGAGGAGGAGGCGGAGGGGGAGACAATTTGCTTCTCGTTCCCCCCTCGCTCACCTCTCCTCCCCAGCTTCCATTGGGCCGTCCTCTTCATAGCTCCAATCTGCTACCAGGGGTTGTTTCAGACTCGGAGCCCGAATCCCTCTCGTGTGCGAGCCTGGCCGATGGTTCGGGCGGAGCCCTGCCGAGGGGGCGAGAGCCCTCAGGAACGCTCGCACGAAGCCCCGAGGCGACGAAGTCTCCGTCGTTCCGTCTGTCCTTCCCTTTCTTTGCTCCATTCCTTTCCCTTCCTCCCTCTCCGTTTCTTTCCTGTTCTTGCCCTCTCTATTTCTTTATTTGGTTTATGTTTCTCTCTTGCTTCCTCCTGTCGCTTGTTGCTGGCCTGTTCAGCAGGCCTCAGCAGCAGCTGTTGGAGGCTCCACACCTGCGATGCCCCTTTTCTGCCCCAGTGTGAGCCCACGGAGGTATGGAACCCTCCCCCCTGGGCCAGTGCTTCATCACGAGTCGTTTCCTGACGTTTGGCAGCCCCAGGGCACAGTGAGGGCGCCTCCAGGGGTGCATCCTTGCCCGACGACCCTCTGGTCGCGAGTCCTGCACTGCGCAAGGGGTGTCCAAGTTTCGGGCCTCAGCAGTCGACCTCTGGACCCGTCCAGGAGTGAGTTATGCCCAGAGTTTCTATGCGGACCCAGCAGTGGCGACGAGATGCAGGCCTCCCAGAACCGCGAAAAACACCAACATTATCATCGTCGACCCTCTATCGTCGATCAGCGTCGGCGATGAGGCGCTCTACTCAGTGGCCAAGCAGCAGATGACCACCGCCGGCGTGGAGCTGCCCAACTTTGAGGGCTCACTGACACTGTTCCAGAACATGCATCTGAGCGCCGACTCCGCCTCTGCCCAGTTTCTGAGGCCCAGACCCCCCCACCAACAAAAATCCAGCAGGGAGGAGGAGACAGAAATGGTGTTTTGTTTGACGTATCTGCGGACTTGATCGCTCGACATGTGCCGTTTCCACCAACACTTCCTTGCGACTTGGGTGCTTTCCCTTTCAGAATTTTGTATTTCCATCTCTCAGGGTAATTACTGCACTCTTCCTTGGGAAGAGCTAAAGGCCCAAGGGTGGAGCAGGCCTTGCAGCAGACGCACACGAACAAGGGGCTCCGACGAGGAGGAGGAGGAGGACGACGACGACGAGGACGAGGAGGAGGAGGAGGAGGAGCAGGAGGAGGAAGGTGTTATCTGAAGGTTTCGAAGCGTTTGCTGACTTTCGCCGTTCTTCGCAGCAGAACAAGCGGCATGAAGTAGGCGCATCAGAGCCAGCAGGTGCACCGCTGAACTGTCTTAGCCCACCGTGGCCCGGGCGACCCACAGAAGCTCTGGGGCACCCTGAGCCTGAGTACCCTCGGAGTTCGACGAAGAATGTGTCCAAAGATTCCTTTCAGCAGGATCTCTTACCGTATGTGTTTCATATGAGCATCGGCTGTCGAAGCGGCGCCAGCAGTGGGAGGCCCAGCGCCGATTCACGAAAGCCGCGCGGATCTCCGAAGAGTTGTCTTCATGCTATCGTTCGGTCCTCCAGCGTGAAGGGGGAGATGCCGTCCAGGGACGCGACGACATACCACGGCGCCTGAACAGACGACGGGGGACATCACCGCACAGCGATGCAAGTGGCTCCGAAGACTCGTCCGCCCTCCCTGGCCCCCACTCGCTCCATGGGGGCCGCCATCCTTCGCGCAAGCGAGGGGACCTCAGGAGCTTTCGAAAGCTGGGTCGGGACTGTGCTGGTCCGACAGAGCCTGGCACGAGACACAAGCTGAGATGACGGGGGTCGAGGAGGTTCCTAGATAGTACGTAGCAGTTTCCGCCGTTTTCGGGGACTCGTCGCCTCGGCTGGGCGCGGCTCGGCAAACGGATCAGGATGGGGTTCATGGGACGGTCGTGGGAGCGGTGCAGGGCTTTCTGGAGCCCAGAGCGAGGTCCCACAAGCGCAACGTGTACGTCACGCCAACCTCTTACCTGGAGCTGCTCAGCAGTTACATCAACGTGCTGGCCACCAAGCGGAAAGAGGTTGGCACGTCGCAGCACCGCTACAAGACGGGCCTCCAGAAAATCGGCGACGCCGAGGAGCAGGTTGCCGGTCTGCAGCAGATGTTGACGGAGAAAAAGCCGGTGCTCGAGCAGACGCAGAAGGACGTTGCTGAGATGATGGAGGTTATCAAGGTGGACAAGGCCGAGGCGGAAGAGGTCAGCAAAGCCGTTGCGAAGGAAGAAGAGGAGGCGCAGATAAAGGCAGAGAAGACGCAGGCGATCAAGGACGACGCGCAGCGTGACCTGGACGAGGCGCTGCCAGCGCTGGAGGTAGCCACACAGTGCCTCAAGAAGCTCAAGGTCGAACACATCCGCGAGGTGAAGAACTTGCAGAAGCCGCCAGCAGGCGTGGTCCTTGCCTGCGAGGCTGTTTGTATTATGTTCAATTTGAAGCCAGTCAAGAAAAACGACCCGAACACACCGGGTAAGAAGATTGACGACTGGTGGGAGACGTCTCAGAAGGAGGTGCTCACGGACGCAAAGAAGCTCCTGGACAGCCTGATGAACTTCGACAAGGACAACATCCCCGATAAGGTCGTCGCACACCTCCGCGTGCGGAGGGGGACGTGTCGCCCTCCTGCCGAGCGCTCTTCCTCGGGCAACGGAGCGTAGGCATGTGTCTGTTAGTACCCCGCAGGTGCGGTTACGAGGGCGGGGGCGGCGGCGGGGGCGACAGTGTTGTCCCGACGCGTTACCCCCGAGCGTCATCCCAACGGAATGCCCCCAGGTATCGCCCCCCCGCACTGCTCTCAAGCAGTCGCCCCCAGGTCTAGCCCCCCATGCATTGCCCCCAGGTGTCTCCCCCACGTACTGCCCACAAGTATCGCCCCCTTGAAACAGAGCCCTCCGTCGAGCCACTCGCGCGCAGGGAAGGCGTAAGACCGTTCAAACCGCCTCACTTCAATACATATAGATATGTATGTGTATCTATGCACACCTATACACATACATATTCAATACCTCTTCTGCGAGGCCGTCTTTGCCGCGCCCCTGAGCTCACTAAGAGCATAACACAGCCTGCCGTCACCCCTCCCTCCTCGATAAGGTCATCGCGTCTGTCACCCCCTACATGGAGCGAGAGGATTTCGACCCCGCGATGATCAAGAAGGCGTCGGTGGCCTGCGAGGCCATCTGCCTCTGGGTCAGGGCCATGTACAAGTACCACTTCGTCGCGAAGGCCGTGGAGCCCAAGCGGCAGGAGCTGCGGCAGGCGGAGGCGGACCTGGAGGAGCCCGGCAGGCAAGGGCGGCACGGGCGCAGCAGCACGCGGTGGGCGTTCCGGAGTGGGCCTCGCATTCGGCGCATCGTGGCTGCGGCGGGAAGGTCTGCGGAAGGCGGCGTAGACAAAAGTGAGAGGGGAATATTGTTGGGCGCGCGGGTTTCGGAGCCGTTCGGCCTGGAAGGCCAGAGCGACACGCGGAGAAGAGCAAGAAACCTGTCCTGTCGAAAGACCAAACCAGATGCAGGTGTGGCCGATGCAGCCGTGAGCATCGTCTTCGGTGGAGCTCCCTGTGGGGCCACGAAGCGTGGGAGGGGTGTGCCGGGACACATGCGATCACCGCCACTGGGGCCTTTGTGCCGACATGTGTGTGTGTGTGTGTGTTTTGTGTCTGTGTCTGTGTCAGTGTCTGTGTCAATGTGTCTGTGTGTCTGTGCGTCTGTGTGTCTGTGCGTCTGTGTGTCTGTGAGTCTGTGTGTCTGTGTGTCTGTGTGTCTGTGTGTGTGTGTGCGTGTGTGTGCGCGTGTGTGCGCGTGTGTGTGCGTGTGTGTGCGCGTGTGTGCGCGTGTGTGCGTGTGCGTGTGCGTGTGCGTGTGCGGGTGCGTGTGCGGGTGCGTGTGGTTGTGCGTGTGCGTGTGCGAGTGCGAGTGCGTGTGCGTCTGCGTCTGCGTGTGCGCGTGCGCGTGCGCGTGCGCGTGCGCGTGCGCGTGCGCGTGCGTGCGTGCGTGCGAGTGCGAGTGCGAGTGCGAGTGCGAGGGCGAGTGCGAGTGCGAGTGCGAGTGCGTGTGCGTGTGTGTGTGTGTGTGTGTGCGTGTGTGTGTGTGTGTGCGTGTGTGTGTGTATGTGTGTGTGTTGGGAGGGGGGAGGGTAGGGGCGCATGCGAACACCGCCACTGGGGCCTTCGATAGAGCTTCCTATGGGGCCACGAAAGGTGTGAGGGGTGTGTGCCGACATGGGCGGGGGTGACACATGCGATCACCGCCACTGGAGCCTGAGGGGGAGCTCCCTATGAGGCCACGAAGCGTGTGAGGGGTGTGCCGCAACGGGTAGGGGGTCGGGTCGCATGGAAACACCGCGACTGGGGCCGTCGGTGGAGCTCCCTATGATGCCACGAAGCGCCTGAGGGGTGTGCCGAAATGGGCGGGGGGGACGCATGCGAACACCGCCACTGGGGCCTTCGGTGGAGCTCCCTTTGGGGCCACGGAGCGTGTGAGGGGTGTGTGTGCCGAAATGGGCGGGGGAGACGCGAACACCGCCACAGGAGCCTTCGGTGGAGCTCCCTATGGGGCCACGAAATGTGTGAGGGGTGGTCCGAATTGGGCGGGGGGGGCGCATGCGAACACCGCCATTGGGGCCTTCGGTGGAGCTCACTACGGGGCCACGAAACGTGTGATGGGGTGTGCTGGCATGGGTGAGGGGGGGCGCATGCGAATACCGCCACTGGGGCCTTCGGTGGAGCTCCTTATGGGGCCACGAAGCGTCAGAGGAGTGCACCGAAACGGAGATGCGGAGGGCAGATGCAAGGATGGGAGGAAGGAGGGGGGCAGCGGGTGGGAAGGAGTCTCGGGGCGCTGTCTCTTCAAAACGCGGACCCAACACCACAGGATGGTTCGGGACAACATGCACGTCAATGTTCGGAGATCCGTCCGGATTTCGTTGGCCGGCGCTGGACCCCCACCCCAGGAGCGCGCCAGGGGCGGCGCCGGAGGCGTCGCCAAGGGAGTCCAGCGCCTTCCCAGTAAATCCGCGCGGACCTCCCAGCGGTTATGTTGATGCAGTTTTTTGTCTTCCAGACACAAGCACGGCGTTACGACACAGGTGCATCCCCGCGTGTGGCGTTCGATGCTGTTGGGCTCTAGGTCTGGAGGAAGCGGCATGCATCGAATATCGCACTGGCATGCGTTAAGCTTAGCTTCCAGCACGCGCCATCCGACGATAAGCATACCAAATCGTAGATCGATGGTCGCACCAAGACACAGACACGCTGCATCGAAGACGCTCCCTTCCTTCATCTCATTATGATGCCTGTGTTCGCTAGCATGGGTTGTAGCATGCAGGTCGTGGCGCCAGGGGCCAGACTTCAGCCGCATGACTTGTCCTGGGGCGCGTCCAGTCCAGGGTTTCGATGTCGATCCGTTCGTTGTGATGGAAGCCCCCTCGGGCGCAAAAAGAACAGCGTGTGTCGACGAAGAACACAGCCATATGCCGCTGCGAATACCGCAAGCCAGATGATGAGAACGGGAGCGACGAGCAAGAGGACTGGAACTTGGATGAGAAGGACGAGGATGAATTGTAGCAAGGGTGTCTGGAACGATAGGTGAGGTAGAGGAACGAGAAGCTCCCTATGGGGCCACGAAGCGTGCGACGGGTGTGCCGAAATGGGCGCGGCAGCATTCAAACCCTGCCACTGGAGCCTTCGGTGAAGCCCCATATCGAAACGTGTGAGGCGTGCGGCCGAGTTGGGCACGGCAGCATGCTAACACCGTCACTGGGGACTTCGGTGGAGCTCCTTGTGAGACGACGACACTTGTGAGGGGCGTGCCGTCATGGGAGCGGCAGCGTGCGAAACTTCTCACTAGCGTTTTCGGTGAAGCTCCTTGTGGGACACGAAGCGTGTGGGGGGGGGGCAGAAATGGGAGCTGCAGCATGCAAACCCTGTCTCTGAGGCTCGCACACAGGTCGGCAGCATACGAACCTTGCCATTGGGGCCTCCGGCGGAGCTCCCGATAGGGACACGAAATGCGTGAGCGTTATGCCGAAATGGGCGCGGGAGCATGCGAATTCTTCACGCTTCGCGTATTCCCACCAGTTGCGCCACAATGGCGACTCACTTCGTTGGCCTTCCCATTTTCACTGGGCGCAGAGACCTGCCCACTGTGGTAAGGTGCTTGCGCCCGTCATGCGTTGGCCACTCGAATTTGGTCATTTTGTCCAGTGCACGTGCCCGTGCTAACTGTATGTCTAGCCAATTCGCCTAGTTCGCGTCCCGGACTTTGCTCTCGCCGCCTGACCGTCGTCTCGTGGCCGCGACCGAAAAAAGTATTCCCACCAGTCTGGTCAATTCGCTGCAGTTCAATTCACACCTGGTGGCTTGCTCTCAGGCTGTCGCACGCTTGCAGCCCCTGGCAGCCCCGGCAGCCCGCAGCCCCTCCCCCGGCTTCTTGCTCTGAGGCGTCGGCGGTAGGTCCTGCCCTGCTCTGCGCTGGTAATTAGGCAGTCGCGCGGCCCGCTCGGACCCTACTCGCCGTCGGCGCGCTCGCCTTCGGCTGCTAACGAAAAAAGTTGTCCCACCTGTCCATATAGAAACCCTGCCCATGAAAGCTAACAGGAAAAGGGACGAATAGACACGTGTAGCGAAACAAAGCGGGCAACCAGGGTGAACAGAGAGACCTTTTGGAGCAAGGGGGTTGCGTTAGAGGGCCTCTTCGGGGCCGCGTGGGGGCGAGAGAAAGAGGAAGAAGAGGAGGAGGAGGAGGAGGAAGACGATGACGACGACGACCACGACGAGGAAGAGGACATCGAATGAAGAGAATGAAGGCAAGGACGAGGACGAGGACGAGGAGGAGGACAACCAGGACAGCGCCAGAGCCTTTAGCATCGTCTCTTGCAGCGTTCTTGGGACTCTTTGGGGGTATCCTAGGGTGCTCTTGGGACTCTTTTGAGGGTCTTGGGGCCCTCTTGGGACCCTCTTGAGGGCCCTGCAGGGCCTCTTGGGGCCATTTTGGGGCCATCAAAATCGCCTCTTGGGGCCCTCTAGGGGCGCTCTTGGGCCGCTCTTGTGTGCTCTTGGGACTGTCTGGGGCGCCTCTTAGACCCCTCTTGGGTCTCTGTTGGGCCATCTCAGGGCCATCTTTTAAGCATCAAAACGCATCGGAAGCGAAAAGGCGAGAAGTTACACATCATTTGATTGTCCTAGGTGCTTGAAGGATTTTGGCCTCCGGGGAGGCGGGTCCTGTGGGGGCTCCGGGAGCACTAAGAACCGTCGTGTGGCTCTCGTCGGGCCTCTTGGAGGTATGTCGGAAGGCAATTTGAACCATCGCTGGCTATTTTAAGGAATGTTGAGCCATTTGGGAGGCGATCTTTTGGAGTTTCGGGCGCCCTCTTGGAGCCTTCTTGGGCCATCTTGGGCGCTCTAACGATTCGCGGCCCGCCCCGAAAACCTCAAGGACGGGGGAGGTAACCCCCCCGGAAAGGAAGAGGCTCGTTGGTAGAGGAAAAAGATATCGCTCGACCAGTTTAACCCAAAGGGCTGGCGGGATTTGCCATAGGAGCCTTCAGCGGGATTTCCCATGAGGCCACGAAGCGCGAGAGCGGTGTACCGAAACGCTGCTGCCATGCGATCTGCCCTCCCGGAAATCAGTGTGGAGGTTTTTTATGGAGACCATGAAACGTGCGGGAGGGGTGTGCGTAAGCGGGTGGCCTGGCGCCATGCGATCTGTCCCACTGAGACCCTCGGTGAAGCTCCCTAGGGGGGCCACGAAACGTGTGAGGGGTGCCGATCTGGCCAGGGGGGAAGCATGCGATTTGCCCAATCGTGGCCCTCGGTAGAGCTCTGGGCCACGACGCGCGCGAGGAGTGAGCCGATTTGGGCGGGGCAGCATGCGAATTTTCCACTTGGAGCCTTCGGTTCGTATTGGGCAGCGCAGCGCGAGAGTGGCGTGTGCCGCCATCCGATCTGTCCCGCCGAAAAACTTGTGTTGAGTTTCTTATGGGGACCACGTAACGTGCGATGGGCGTGCCGAAGCGGGCGGCCTTGCGCCATGCGATGTGTCCCACTGAGACGCTCGGCTCCTACTGGGCAGCGCAGCGCGAGAGTGGCGCGTGCCGCCATGCGATCCGTCCCGTCGAAAAACTTGCGTGGAGGTTCTTACGGAGACCACGAAACGTGTGATGAGTGTGCCGAAACAGGCGGCTTGGCGCCATGCGATCTGTCCCACGGAGACGTTCGGTGAAGCTCCCTAGCCAAGACGCTGAATTAAGGAACAGTTTGGATTCGGAAGGGGCTCGATGTTCCTTACTTCCTTCCGTTGTTGTTTCTCTAGTCCTTCTCGTGCACCCTGGCTTTTTTGAAGCCACAGAGGGGCATCGTTCCTTATTTAGCGTTCCTTACTTCAGCAGCCCAAGTGCAGAAGGGGCACGAACCGTGTGAGGGGTGCTGATATAGCCAGTTGCCCAATCGGGGCCCTCGGTAGAGCTCTCTATGGGGCCACGACGCGCGCGAGGAGTGAGCCGAATTGGACGGGGCATCATGCGCATCTTGCAATTGGAGCCTTCGGTTCCTATTGTGCAGCGCAGCGCGAGAGTGGTGCGTGCCGCCATGCGATCCGTCCCGTCGAAAAACTTGCGTGGAGGCTCGTATGGAGACCACGAGTGATGGGTGTGCCGAGACGGGCGGCCTGGCACCATGCGATCCGTCCCACGGAGACGTTCGGTGAAGCTCCCTGGGGGGGCCACCAAGCGTGTGAGAGGTGCCGAAATGGACGGGGGGGAAGCCATGCGATCTGCCCCCTTTGGGTCCCTTGGTAGAGCTCCCATGGAGCCACGCCGCGTGCCGAACGGAGCGCGGCATCCTGCGAGCGTTGCCCTTGGAGCCTTCGGTGGAGTTCCCCATAAGCTGTGGGGTCGCGAAACGTGCGAGGGGTGTGCCGACATGGGTGCGGGCTCGCCATGCGGACCATGCCGTTTGGGCCTTCGGTGGAGCTCCCTCTGGGGCCGCGAAACGTATGGGGGGCCCAGGAGGCAGGGATGGGGGGATGAGGGGGGAGGGGGATAGGGCAGCGGGAGGAGGTGAGCCGCGGGGCGCTGTCTCTTCAAAGCGAGGACCCAACACCACAGGATGGTTGGGGAAAGAAAGGGTCCTCGAACTTCAAGTTGACGTGCGTCTGCTGCGGCGGCACTCCGCCCTCGCCCGCGAGGAGTGCATGCAGAAGCTTGCCTCGGCACAGGCCCAGGTTCGGGAGCTGCAGGCGCGTGGGCTGCTCGCCCCTGCTGTCCTCCGGAGTCGTCTTGTGCCCCCCTTTGCACCTTGCCGCAGCAGGCGTCTGCACACCACCTGCTGCACGCCTGGCCGGGGCCATGCGGGGCCGCAGGGTGGTGCCCAGACCCTCCTGGCCTCGGCCAGCAGGGCGCGCAGACCACGCCAGGGCCCGGGAAGGCTGCGGCCAGGCATGGCGGCGGTGTGCAGGAGCCTTCTGCGTCTCCGCCCTGTCCGCCTGCGTACCCAGAGGTTCCGACGCCGTTTTTGGTCTCGAGGCCGGTGTTTCTCCCTCCAGGCTCGGCCGCGACGGGTCCGCTTCGGGCGTTGGGGCCGTCAAGCAGGCAATCCAGGATGACACGCTGGCCCAGGCCAAGGGGTCGGGACTCTGTGGATCGCATGCCCAGGTATCCCATGCCTTCTGCGTTCAGCACGGGTCTGCCTTGCTGTTGGCGCCAGGGAGACCGATTCTCGCCCCTCCTGCTCCACATTCTCCTTCCTCCTCCTCCTCCTCCTCCTCCTCCCCCTCTTCCTCCTCCTCCTCCTCCTCCTCCTCCTCCTCCACCTGCCTCTTCCTGGGGACATGGACCTCTTCCGCGACGGAAGCGCCGTCGAGACTGCGTGCTTCATGTCGGGGCTTGGGCTCTGGAGGTCCCGGGCTCGGGCCCACAGGACCACCAAGTGACGGCCCAGCATGACACACTGGTCCCTCGGAGAGGCCCCAGGGGTTGGAGGAGGGCCTGACGGGGCAGGGGGGGAGCCCAGCCTCTTCGCGCCGAGAAAATACACGCCACGGACGTCCTCTCTCTCGTTCTCGGCACCAGGGGGCCTTTACCACGCCCCGGGGCTATCAATAGACGACTCGGGGGGAAGAGTCCACCCGGGGGAAGCGGTCGAAAGGTCTCAGCGCCTGCGTGTGGGGGGGGGGGGGGAAAGAGAGGAGAAGGAGGAGGAGGAGGAGGCGGAGGAGGAGGAGGAGGAGGAGGAGGAGGAGGAGCAGGAGGAGGCTGTTTGATAGGGCTGCGCGGCACTGCGGATTGAGGGGGCTGGCGAGCGAGAGAGGGTCGAGGGGGGCATCGTGCAGGCGAAGATCGAGCGGCTCGAGAACGAGTTCAACGCTGCGGTCTCCAAGCAGGAGGGCCTGCAGGCCGACATGACCCTCTGCGAGGCGACGGGGGGCAGACCGCATCCACGACAGTCCAGCCCCCTCTCTTCCGCCGCTCCTCCTCCATTTCCGTGGTCGTCGAGCTTCATGTTCGGCCTCGGTGGCGGGTGCACTTCGCTTCGAAGCGTCTCCTGGCCGGCCTACCCGAGACCTCGTCTCGACCTCCGCCAGCCCTCCCTCCCTCCCTCTTGGGCTGGCGTCTCTCCGGCCCCGCATCGGCCGCCCGACCGGCCGGCGAGAGGTGAAGCTCGAGCGGGCGCACAAGCTGATCGGCGGCCTGGGCGGCGAGAAGGCCCGCTGGGGCGAGATCGTCGAGCACCTGACGGCGCAGCTGTCCGTGCTGCCGGGCGACTGCCTCATCGCCGCGGGCATGGTGTCCTACGCCCGGCGCCCGGTCCGCCCGCCGGATCCTCGCGGGCGCCCCGACCCGCCGCCCGCCTCTCTCGGGTCGGACGGGCAGTGGCCCCCGATCCTCGAATATCTTCGTCGACGGCCGCGCGCAACTCCACGTCGGACCTTCGAGTGCTCCACTCTCTGCGTCTTCGGATCCTCGCCGAAGGATGGCCGCGTTGGCCCAGGGCCGAGCCCTGCTCGCAGTGCGAGCCGAGCTCGGCCCTGGACCGCTGCAGCCGCCTCGGCGCAGGCGCGTGGGGCTCTTGGCGCGGGGGGGGGGGGGGGGGCAGGGCGCGCTCGGCTGCATGCGGCAGTTGGACTGGGCCTCGCCGCCGGGCGCACTCTTCTCGGGCGGGGCGAAAAGGGGGGGATTGGGCAAGGGGGGGTTACGAAATTTGCCGCATGCAGCTGGTTTCGGCCTCACCGAAGGGGCCCATTCCTCCGATACGTAGCCGCCTCCGGCGCCGGGAGGCGCCGGGAAAATCAGCTGCGTGAGCTGATTCTCAACCCCCCCCTTTTGCTATCCCCCCCTTTCGCCCGACCCGATCTTTGATGCGTGGCTGCCCCTGGCGCTGGGAGGCGCTGGGAGAACCGGCTGCACGCAGATGCTTCGTTGAGGCTCGGTGCAGATCGACATGGGTCAGGAAAGCATGGGCAACATGAAGTCGGGCGTGTCCCTCTCCAGGAGGAGTATTCAGAGATAGTCAAAACATAGTCTGGGGACGATGTTTTGATTATTTGTAGACAGGTTTGTTGGAATCTTTTCTCTGACGACTATAACTTTTCGTCCAAAATGCCCCTGTAGGGGGACAGGCCCGACCTAAGGGTACGGAAAGAATGGGTAGTACACAAACCGACAGCACTTCCTGTTCACACTTCACAGGGCTCTCCGTCGGCGAGGCCGCGGCCGTGGTCCACTGGAGACGGAAGGCCGCCTGCCCAACTCCAGACTTCCCAGATGGGGTCGGAGTAGACGGTGTCGGAGGGTCGCGCCGCATCGACGACGCGGCTCGATGCGGAGCCCGATCTTCTCCGCGCCGACGTCGCCGATACGTCGCCGAGGTCGGCGCCTCATCGGCGATGCATCGGCGATGCGGCGCGGTCCTCCGGCCTCCGACCCCCATCTGGGAGGCCTCGGCCAAACAGCGGCTGGTGTTTGACTCGGACAACAGCCGTACCCAGTTGTTCCGTACCCGTTGCGGGCGTCCAAATGGGAAGCGCCCGGAGATCTGGTTGTGCGCAGATCTTTCGAGGAGGTGGTTGGAGGGAGAGGCGCGGCGGTCGACACTGTGGCTAGTAAGGCTGGGCCTTTCACGTCGGAGGTCCGCGGGGAGTTCGAGAAGAACTGGATCGCCGAGCTGGACAAGGCAACGCAATGTGGAGGAGGAGGAGGAGGCGGAGGAGGAGGAGGGTCTGAAAAAGAAAAAGGCACCGATACCGATACCCTTGCCTCGTTTCCCTCTTTTGGGACCTCCTGGGGGGCCCTCGTCGCCACCGCTGAATTCACATCGAAATTCTGATTTGAACGCACCCCAAACGGAGTCTGGGGAGTAGCGGTGTCGGTACCTTCCATGGCCAGATTCGCTTCAAAGTGTGGGCCACACATCGCCATTTGGGACAGGTTTGGGGATTACTGGTGGGGGGGGACCCCGCTGTCTTGGGCGAGCGGGTGAAGACGGCGATCAACCCGTTTCGAGCACACGAGCCCTCACGAATGGACCTGGTTGGAGAATCCACGCACGTTTGGGGAGCTGGTTGAGAGTTCCAGGCGTTGTTTCCCTCGCTGAAGGTCCTTCTTTTGAGCCGCCCCTTGTCTGCCGAGAAAGGTGCAGATCTCGCACAACCCAGAGTGCTCCATGCGCAGCGTGCTGGGTGAGCCCGTCAAGATCCAGCAGTGGGTCGTCGACGACGGCGACGATGCACGACGATCGACGGCAACGATCGACGACGACAAAAGCGACGACGACGAAAACGGTGACGACGACGACCACGACCACGACGGATAGCGACGACTACAACGGCGACGGCGGCGGCGGCGGCGACGACGACGACGGACTGCACCGGCGACAACGACAAGGGACGACGCCGACGACGGTGGACGACGACGACAAAGAAGAAGGACGAGCCTCGAGGTCGTGGCTGCGCTTCCCAACGACGCCCTGTCCATCGAAAACGGCATCATCATCGACCGCTCGAGGCGGTGGCCGCTGATGATCGACCCGCAGCGACAGGCGAACAAGTACATCAAGAACATGGGCAGGGAGGCTGACGCTGGATGCGAATGATGCCCGCCCTCTCTTACTCCTATCTGCCTGCCTCTTCTCGACGCACTTCCTCCCCCTCCTCCTCCCCTCCCTCTCTGTTATCCTCCTTGCCTTTCCCTTCCTCCCTCCTCCCCCTCCTCCTCCTCCCCTCTTCCAGCCGGGACGAACATGCCCTGCCCTCATCAGCGGGGGTCATCTCTGATGTGTGTGTGTGCGTGTGTGTGTGTGTGTGTGTGTGTGTCGTCGTCGTCGCCATCGGAAGACGAGAAGAGGGAGGACGAGGCAGAGGACGAGGACGAGGTCCTTGTCGCCGTCGTCGTCGGAGGGGGACTACACGAAACCTACGGCCAAGCCCTGTTGTTTGCTTGCGGCCACCTGTGACCGAGAGCAATCGGATGCGATGTACAGATAGTCAAGTGATGATTATGCTGCTGCTGCTGATGATGATGCTGCTGATGCTGCTGCTGCTGATGATGATGATGCTGCTGCTGCTGCTGATGATGATGATGATGATGATGATGCTGCTGCTGCTGATGCTGCTGATGCTGCTGCTGCTGATGATGATGATTATGATGATGATGATGATGATGATGATGATGATGATGATGACGATGATGATGACGGTGGTGGTGGTGGTGATGGTGATCATGGTGATTGGTGGCCATGATGCATTGTGGCGTGGTCTCACTGCCACGGTTGCGCCCGTTCCCCGCGCGGCCGCAGCGCTCGCCCCCCCTCCCCGCCCTCCGCCACGAGGCCTCTGGGCCGCCTCAGCGGGGGGGCGCGCGAGGCCCCGCGCCACGACGCGCCGGGCCAGACCACAGGGCCCCACGGGCCCGAGAGGGCGCCGCCTCGGCCCGAGGAGTGCGCGAGGGGGCAGGGGCAGCGCAGGGGCGCACCGCCCCCCCCCCCCCCCCCTCCCCGCACGTGCTCCGGCAGGGCGCCCGAGGCGCCGACGCGCCGGGCCCCCCCCCCGCCGAGAGAGGCCCACCCCCCCCCGGCCAACAGAAAAAGAAAGAGGCCCCAGAGGCCAAAACCCCTCGGACGGGGCCAGGGCGAGGAGATACCTCCCTTCCAGGGCGCCTCGGGACGCTCTCGGAGCGTGCCGGAGGGCTCTGATCAGAGGCCGCGGCGCCCGAGACGGCCTCCAGATCCGCCGGGTCTCAGAGATTCTCGAGCCATCCTCCCCGAACCTAGGCTCGCCCTGGCTTCGTCTCGTCTCTCGAGGGAGCTCCATACTTTGGGCTCCGGGGCAGCCCCGCAGGCAACAACAGCCCCTCTGGCCCGCGGAGGCCCGTGGGACGCGCGAGAGCCGTGGAGCAGGGGAGCACCGCCCGCCCCGCGCGCTGCTGCTGGCAGGCCCCTCTCCCGAGCATCGCCCAGGGAGGTCGCTCGGGGGGAGAAAGGCGATGACGATGGCGATGACGATGGCGATGGCGACGGCGATGGCGATGGCGATGGCGACGGCGACGACGATGACGATGCCTGTTGAATGCTGACCGCGCTGGCAGGCCCTTCTCCCAAGCATCGCCCAGGGAGATCGCTCCGGGGGGGGGTGGCCACTGTCGATCGCTCAGGGAGGTGAATCAGAGCTGGATCGAGCCCCAGTAGGACTGCTTCAGAGCTGGACCGGACCCAAGAGGGGTTTCTATTAGAGCCTGATTCAGCGCAAGTAGGATGATTGCAGATTTGGATCGAGTTCGAGCAGGATGCGATCAGAGCTGGTTGAGTGGATTTCATTGGAGCTGGATGGAGCCCTCGTAGGAATGAACTTGAGCTGGGTCGACCCCTCGTAGATCCTACTGGGGATGGACCAAGCCCTAGCAAGGTGGGCCGGGTCGAGCGCTACCAGGATCGTATCCGGGCTGACTCGAGCACCGCTGGGCTCCGCGTAGAACCGGATGGGTCGGTTGCAGGGTGCTACGAGAGGTGGCTTGGCACTGAGCAGGTTTGCAGTAGCGCTTGATCGAGCCCGAGTAGAGACGTCTGAGATGTAGTTCGAGCCCTCGTAGGACCGTAGGATTCCATCAGAGCTTTTTCGCCCGTATCGATTCTATCAGACCGTGAACCGGCCCTAGTAGGGATCAGTTGGAGCTAGAAAGATCCCTAGTCGGATTCTAGTTTGGCTAGATCCAACCCCAGTAGGACTGCATCAGAGCTGGATCGAGCCCGGGTAGGATTAGATCATACCTGCTTGATCGGATTATATTGGAGCTGGTCGAGTTCACGTACGATTGGATTAGAGCCTGACAAAGCCTTGGGAGGATTGCTTCGGGCCCGGATAAATTCTTCGCAGGATTAAATTCGAGTTGGGTCGAGCCCTGCCAAGGTTCTAGTAGAGCTGGATCGATCCCTGATTGGATTTTAGTGGAGGTGGACCGAATCCGAATATGTTCGTGTTAGCTTTAAGGTATACAGCTGGATTGAGTCCCAGCAGGATTCGATTCGAACTGGATCGAACCCTAACGACATTCCGTTATGATGATGATTATGATGATGATGGTTTGCTTGTGGTGGGTGGGGGGGAAGGCCGATCCTTCCCCCCCCTCGCCGTCGTGGGGCGCGGGCGACGTCGCCACGTGCACCGCCGCCGCCGCTGATGTTGCCGTCGTCGTCGTCGACGTAGGCGTCGTCGTCGACGTAAGCGTTCTGTGCCAACGGCGAGGGGGGCAGGTGGTCGGACCCCCCCTCCTCGTCCTCGGCAGGGGGGCGGGGTGGCGGGGGGGCCGTTCGAACCGCATGTCGGACCAATCCCCACCGATTGGTACCAACTGGATTTTTTCTCGACGGGCTCAAACACCAACATGTGCCGTTCACAACCAGCGATTTTGAGCCGACGACAAGACTCTAGGTGAAAGCATGTTTGAGACAATGCAGAAATCACATGCGTGTGTGAAGTGTATACCTTCACTCTGGCAAACAACGTGGATGCCACGGTTGGAAGTGGTACTCGCTTACTTTCGGACATCTCGGAGATGAGTTGTTTTGAATTTGACTCTCAGGAGCCGTTCCGAGAACCGTGCAGCGTTTCAGGAGCCGTGAAAACGCTTTTCACGAACTCCGCATGCGCCTTTGGGGGGCCCCGCAGGCGCCTTTCCAGAGCAGTGGGGGCCTGAAAACGAGTCTGTGGGGACCTAGTAGACATGCTGGAGGCTTCCTGGGCAGCTTCCGGAAGGAAATGGGATCCCCCCGGGATCCTTCAAGGATCCCTCGGGAAGGACATCGTTTAAGGATCTCTTGTGAATCCTGTAAGGTAAGGATCTCTCGGACATCTGGGAAGGCTCTTACCAGAAACGTGCAAGGCCCTCCCAGGGACCCTGGAAGTATACTCCTTCGGGGATCCTGCAAGGGACTTTCGAAGACCCACTGCAGATCTTTCAGGGATCCTGGAAGGATCTCTCAGGGATCCTGGAAGAATCTTTCAGGTGTCCTTGAAGGCTGTCCTTTGGATCCCGGGACGATCTCTCAAGGATCCCGCAAGGGTCTTTCAGGGATCCTGTAAGGATCCCCCAGGGGTCCTGCACGGATATTTTAAGGGATGGATCTGTCGGGGGTCTTAGGAGGGATCCCGAAGAGATCCTGCAAGATACGCCTGGCATCTGAGTAGGATATGTAAGGAATCTTGTACGGACCTCCGAGAAATCTTCGAGGATCTGCGAGGATTCCTGCAAGGCTCTCCGGGAAATCTTGGAACAATCTCCGATGGATCGTGAATGTAGTGTCGCGGGAATCACACACAAATCCTGAACGGAATGCCAAACTAATCCCATACATAAGGGCACGTGAGTCCCGCAAAAATCGGGGAAAGTATGTCTACGAAATCCGGAAAATTGCCCTAGGAATTTGGGAGGGATGTCTCAGGAACCCACAAGGAGTCCCTCCAGGAATTCCTCAGAATTCCTTTTTAGGAATCCGGGGGGGATCATCCATCAGGAATCCTTCAAGATCAGGAATTCCGGAAGAATGTTGACAGGAATCCCTGAAGAATTTTGATAGAATCCCGAGGAATCTCGGTGGAATTCCGAAGTAACGTCGAGGAGGCATCTTAGAACAATCATGAGGAGTCCCGAGGAAACTTTAAATAATCACACGAAATCCGTTTGGATCGTCGCGAGGCATCCTGGAAGGAGTTTCTGAGGAACCTCGAAAGAGTCCAAAGGAATGTCTGAGTAGTCTCGGAGGAATATTTAAGGAATCCTTGCGGAGTCCCGAGGAATATTTGAAGAAGCGCGACGAATTCTCAGGAATCCCGTGGGAATCCGACGGGATCAAAGAAGAAAAAGGAGGAATCCCTGACGAACCATGAGGGATCTTAGGGGATGCCTGAAGAACCACAGGGGTGCACTGAAGAAGTCGAGGAACCAGAGGGAACCTTTGAAGAATCGCGAGGACTGTGGCGAACCACGAGGCGTCTCGAGAAATCTTTGAAGCATCCGTGAGATTCCGAAGGCAACTCTGCGGAAACCAGAGGAATCGCTTAAGAATTCCGGGGAACCGACGAAGAATCACAAAGAATATGTGGATAATCGTTCCGGACCTTTGACACATCGCAGGGAAATTCTGAGGAACCATGTCTTTTAACAGCTGCGACGGCCCTTGAGAAAAGCCAGAAGGATGCGAAGGAATCGCGGGGAAACCAGAAAGAGTCCTTGAATCATCACGGGGAAACCTAAGACATGTGCTGTGGAGTCCTGAGGAATCCCGGAGGAATCCTGGAGGAATCCTTAGCAATTTGGGGAATCCTGAAGAATCCTTGAGGAGTCGGGAGAATCCCTGCAGGAACCCGTAAGGAATCTGGAACATTCTGTGAGGAGTCCCTGAGGAATCCGGAGGGATCTTTGATCCCTGAAGAACACGGAGGGTCCACGAGGAATTCCAAAGGAATTTTTGCGGAGTGTCGGAGGAGGGTCTAATATCTCAGGAACCCTTGAGGCAGTTTGAAGAATTCCGAAGGAATTCTCAAGGAATCTCAGAAAGAACTTTCAAGGAATCTCTAAAGAGCTTCCAAAGCAGTTGGAATTGGTGCATGCTCGGTTGGAATTGGCACCGAAGTGGCTGGAGTCCGCCCCAATAGGTCGTGATCTGATCCAGTTTCGCTTCGAGCCACCCTCTTTGGAAAAGGGGGGGTGGGGGGAGGGGGTCTGGGCTGGAGGGTGGGGCCCCCCGGCGGCGCCCGGCGTGCCACGGGGGGTTTTCCGAGCGAGCGCCTGTGAAACGCATTTCCCCTGGCTTCTCGACCCGCTCCGTGGGGCCAGCCCGGGGTCACTTTGGGATTGCCCCCGGGGCCTGGCAAGGGCCTGGTATAATTGCAGAAGAAACGCTGCGATCCCGCCGTCGCGATTGTTCAGCCACGCGAGGAGGCACTGGTCCCCTCCGCAGCCCTTGTGGCACGAGCCTGCGGCGCGTCGCCGTCGCCCCCCCGGCGGTCCCGCCCGGCGTCGGGGGCACCACAGCGCGGAAGGTTGCCTCAGCAGGCGCGCCGCGGTCGTTTCGCACCTCCCCGGAGCCTGCGGCCTCCCGGCCCCGTCGCCGGCGGAGTCGGCGGCGGCACGGCCTGGGGGCTCCGAGGCGCCGCCGCGGTCACGAGGACGCCCCCGGGGAGGGTCGCGCGCCAGCGGCGCGGCGATGGCGCCTGGCTGGCAGGGCCTCACGGGCGGTGAGCAGCTGCTGCTGCAGCTCCTGGCGAGCCTGTCCTCGGTCCTGTCCTGCGTCGGCTGCGTGGCCATTCTCAGGCCAGTGCTGCGGGAGCACAAGGAGTCGGTGTCGGCGGACAGGCTCGTGAAGAAGCTGCTGGCGGTCCTGTGCGTGCTGTACCTCGGGTGCGGCTTCTTCATGGCTGGGGGCTGTCTGGTCTCCAACAGCCCGATCCTGTGCAAGATCCAGGGCTTTGGTATCCAGTGGTTCTCGTTGGCGAGCGTGCTGTGGAACTCCTGCATGGCCTTCAACATGTTTTTATGGGTAGTGTTAAAGAAGCCCGTCCGTGTGCTCAAACAGATGATCAAGTTCTACCTGGCTGCATGTGTGGTTGCCCCGTTTATCCGAAGGCCTTCGGACATTGCCGCCAGCCCACCTGCCGCAGGCCTCGGGGGGTCCCTCGCCGCCATCCTCGTCGTCGCCATAACCTCATGTTCATTACGTTCCGTATCCCCATGGCCAGCGAAGGGATCTCCCCTTCTGAGGAGGAGGAGGAGCAGGAGGAGGAGGAGGAGGAGGAGGAGGAAGAGGAGGAGGAGGAGGAAGAGGAGGAGGAGGAGGAGGAGGAAGAGGAGGAGGAGGAAGACTCCTAGTGAGCCGTGTTCTGTCCTGTGTGGCTCTATTCGGTTTACCTCGGGCCCTCAGAGGCCAACGTTTGCGCCTGGGCCTGCCTCCGTGAGTTCCCATCGGGGCGCGCTTGGACTGGTATCTGGCTTTCCTTTGAGGGCTCTCTCGATCTCGAGGAAGCCTCTTGGGGCCTGTTTTGCGTAGTGTCGCAGATGGTTCGCGCCCCAGGAGCATAGAGCCGTCGCAATTTGCGAGAGATCATGGCCCTGGAAGCGCAGGGACCCCGCGTAACCTTCCTCGGATCGGGGCCTTGGGAGCATCGATGCAGCTTGATTTACGAGAGATTGTGGCCTTAGGAGTGCGGTTCCAATGTTACGTGCTAGGATTTGCGGCCCTGGAAGCCCAGGTCAAGCGAAGCTAACTCGAGCACGGATGCAACGTCTTTTAGACTCGGTCGTGGCCTTGGGTGCCCAGACCCAGCACGAGGGATAGTGGCCCTCGGAGCGAGGACCCTGAGTAGTTTGGAAAAGATAGTGACCTGTGAGAGCGCGGATGTAGTGTGATTTGAGCTGAGCACGGCAGTGGCCTCGAGAGCGCGGGTCGTGGCCCTCGGAGCGCGAACACACTCCCAGTTCCGAGGGATCGTGGCCGTCGGAGCTTGGACCCCTCGCCACTTCCAGGGAATCTCGGCCCTGGGATTATGATGTTCCAGCCGCCTTGACCACCAGACAGAATTTCGAGCACCAGGAGGAAGTGCCGAAAAACTCAAGGGCTTTCACGCGTCGGGCCCTGGGGGGGCACTCGTCCGACACTGCTTCGACACCTCTTCGACACCTTTCCCTGGTGCTCGGAGCCCAGTTTCGGGATGTGGTCCTTAAGTGCCACGGGAGCAACATAACCCTGGGAGCGCGGGACGAGGCAGCTCATTAAGGATCGTGGTTCTGAAAGTGCGGATCCAGCGGGACTTACAAGGGGTCGTGGCCTTGGGAGCACGGACGTGGTCCGTTTTACAAGGGGTCGTGGCCCCGGGAGCGCGGCTCTGGTGCAATCGTCTAGCAATCGTTGCCCTGTGACACAGAGCCGGCGTGATTTACTATCGGCGGCGAGCCCGGGGGGGAACCGAGAAGAGGCGGGCCTTCTCAGAAGGATCGGAAGTCCCCACGCCTTCTGAGAGGTTTTTTCTAAGCCTTCCCTGAAAAGAAAGAATACTTTTCAGAAGGCCGGAGAGCTTCTGAAAAGCCCTGCCGCCTTCTGAGAAGGCTTCTCCTTCTCACCTCCCCTCCTTGCTCGCCGCCGATACCAGGATCGTGGCCCTGGGAGCATCGATCCAGCGTAGTGTTTGGAGGGGACGTCGGGGTCAAGACCAGCTTAAGTTCCCCACCCGCTACGGGGTCCCATGTTTGGGGCCGGGGGGGTTTTACAGAGTGGGGGGCAGGTGCAGTCAGTTCAGAGAAGGAAAGGGTACACGCGGTGCGAATGTTATGGGACACGCCATTGAGTGAGAGCAGCAAGTGCTGGCCGACAGGGGGGTAAACATTAGTTCTTCCCCACACGTGGAGATCCGATGTCGTTTGACACGGTTCCCTCTTCGCGACTCGCGCTGCAACAGGCATGTACCACACCCTCGACGACTCCTGCCCCCTGTGTTTGTGGACGAAGCCCTGTGGGGTTTTGCTTCGTGCCGGCTCTGGGTCGAGCCCTGCCGGGCAGCACACTGCGCACCGCCGCCGGGTCTGGCGGGCAGACCCCGCTGGGCAGGCCGGCGGGCAGGCCCCCGACCGGCGGGACGGGCGGGCGGGACATCGGTCGGGGGTGAGCAGGGCCCCCACCCTGACACGTCGATTAGTGAATTGTCCGTTTTCGGTCCTCAAGATCTGGACGCCTGAAATGGGTACGGAAATAATGGGTACAATGCCCAACAGCAGTTCCTGTTCATTTTGCACAGGACTCGCTGTCCACGCCGCCGCGTGCCCATTCGCGACAGAAGGCCGCCCGCCCAACAGCGGCCGCTGTTGGTTTGGGACAACATTTGTTGTTGGGCACTGTGCCCATTCTTCCCGTGCACATTTCGGGCGTCCAAACAAGAGGGCGCCGGGGCCGTCATTCTCCAGGCCTGCGCCCGCCAGGCTTTTGGCCCGAGATCGTTCTCACGAGACCACGTTCTGCCAAAGGGGGTCCATCCCCGAAGCAGGGCGGGAACCGGCGGGCCTTGCTGGGCGGGCGGGGCGGGCGGAAGCGTAAGCGAAAGTCGGGCGTGTCCCTCTGCAGGAGGAATCTTCAAAACTAGTGAGAAATGGTCTGGGGATGGCTTGTTGACTATGTTTTAAGATTTGTGGAGTCTGTTTGGAGTGTTTTCTTTTTCGTTCAACGTCCGCCTGTAGGTGGACACGCCCGACCTAACCTGAAGCGGGCGGGTCGGGGTCGGGCGAGCGGACCTCACTGGCGGGTCGGGCTGGGCGGACCCTGCGGGCGAGTCGTGCGGGCCGGTAGTCCCCAATGGCGGTTCGGGCGAGCTGGCCCCCATGAGCGGGTCAGGCGTGCGGAATACAAGACACAGTTCCTGGACAATCTTGTGCGACGTATGAGGCGAGAGCGCGGTTCCTGGGCGATTTGTAAGGATGTCCTGGGCGAGAGTGCAAGTCCAAAGTGGCGCGAGAGCGATTCTTCATGAAATGGCCACACCTTTTGAAAGAGCGCGATTCCTGAGCAGAGAAAGGGCGACCCTTTTTGCAAATTCTAGACGCTTCGCGTATCCCCACCAGCCCGTTTCTGGGTTGCCGCCCCCTCGCCGCCTGATCCGCGGCTCCCGTGCGCGCCCGGGAATTTAGTCGCGGCCGCAGCCCGACCGTGACTGCTCGCCGCTGGCGCTTCCGCCTGCGGCTGTAAAAAAAAAGTATCCCCACCAGCCCGTCCAGAAACGACGCCCAGGCGAGTAGAGGGTCGGCCTGAGGGGCTTTTCGGCGTCTTGGGTGCCTCGGGGGGGCCTCTTTGGGCCGTTTGGGATCCTCTTGGGGGCCTCCTGGGGGCCTCTTGGGGCCATCTTGGGGCCATCTTGGGGCCTCTTGGTGCCTCCTGAGCGCTTCTTGGGGCCATCTAGGAGGAAATCGATCAAAGAAGAGGGGAGCTTCAATTAGCGCTGCCCCCTCAGAAGGCCAAAATGGGGCCGAAACCTTAGTAAAATCAATGATTCTGGCTTCAAATAAGAGGGGAGCTTTAATTAGCGCTGCCCCCTCAGAAGGCCAAAATGGGGCCAAAACCTTGGTAAAATCAATGATTTTGGCTTCAAAGAAAAGGGGAGCTTTAATTAGCCCTGCCCCCTCAAAAGGCCAAAATGGGGCCAAAACCATAGTAAAATCAATGATTTTGGCTTCCTCGCCGAGGCCGTTTTGGACGCTCTGACCGCTCCCCGCCCCTCCTGTCCAGGTCAGTGGGGAGGGGGCAGGGGGAGGGGTAAACCCCTTCCCGAAGGGGAAGAGGGAGAGGTGGAAGAGGAAACGCTCTAAACCACCGACGCCCAGAGGGCTGGTGGGATTCAGAGGACGTCGCAGGCGGCAGCGCGATTCTTGAGTACATTGTCAGGAAGCGAGGGCGCGATTCGTGCATGGATAGTGGAGAGGTCTCAAGCAGCAGCCGTTGTTCTCGCAGTAGCTGGGGACCCAGCAGGGGCATGGCGTGAGCGGGAAGGCTTTCCCTGATAAGAAACAGGGTGCGAGAGCCGAGGGGGACCCTTCCATTTAGAAAACGTGCGCACCGAACGAGGGGGACCAACAATAGCTGATTTTCCGATGTAAGAAGAATGCAACGACTGTGAGGCCAATGCGCTTTGATGGCCCCACAGGAAGGCCGTCGGATTTTGGCCGTCTTGCTGCTGAATGGCGGAGTCATGGGCCCTGGGCCGATCTGGTGCTGGATCTCGGAGGAGCACAGCGGCCTCAGGTTCGCTTGCTTCTACCTGGTCCTCGGCCTGGCGTGGCTGTTCAACGCTCCAGTGATCGTGGCCGTGTCCTTCCATACCGTGTGCCGGCAGCAGACGAGGCTGGGCCAGGAGGCCGCAAGGTTCCTCTGCGTACAGCAGACGCTGCTGATGGTGGTGTTTGTTCTCTGCTGGATGTTCGGCCTGGTCTACGAGATCTGCGAGTGGACCGGCCGCCGGGGCCCTCTCTGGACCCTGTGCTTGCACGCGGCCTTCGCGCCCCTTCACGGCGGCTGCACTGCGCTCGTGTACGTGGGCCTGCGTTGCCTGCTCCGCGTGCACACGGCCCAGGTGGCCCAGGCGATCGAGGATCGCAAGATGCAGTTCAGCGGGGGCGCGAACGAGTCGAGGCGCGCCTCCATCTACGCCGTGACGTACAACCTTGGCGAGACCAGCCTGAGGGCTGCCCGGCCACTAGGCTGCTGGATACCCCCCGGCCACGACATATACATACTGGCGCTGCAGGAGTGCCAGATCCCCCTTGAGGAGCTGGAGGTTCACATCAAGAATCACTTGCGCTCTGGCGGCACCGAGTACGTGGCGTACCACGAAGCCATCGGCCACTCCCACATGGGTTTCCATGGGCTCATCGCCGTGCTCGTCTTCGTGCCGAAAGCGGAAGCGGAGAAAGGAGCATTTGCCGTGATGCGAAGCATGCACAACCACGTCAAAGGCGGCGTGAAGTTCGGACCTTACGTCGCCAGCAACAAAGGTATGGTCGGCTTCGCCCTGCGCTTCTACGGTGTCACTCTGGCGGTGCTTGGAGGACATCTTGCCTCAGATAGCAAGGGCCACCACCGATTGGAAAAGCGTCACAGCTTGATCCGGGATGCTTTGCATAGGAGCGTGCTCACCGACGTCGACGTCAGCATGGACGTGAACTTGCTTTTCCACCACACGATCCTGTTGGGGGACCTGAACTACCGTGTCCACGCGAGCCCGGAGGAGATCCTCGAGATCGTAGCGAAGGCCTCGCTCGAGGAGCGCATGCACCTCTTCAATTCCCCCGACTGGACGCGCAAGCGCTATATGCGCATGGTCCCAGATGCCATGCGGCTCCGTAGCGGCCGGTCCGGGAGGCCTGGCGACCGCTACAAGTTCTCCAGCCACCCTGACGCGATAGAGTTCGACCTCACCTCCGACGAGCTGCACCGGATGAGCAACTCCACCAGCAGGGAGGCCACCAGTCAGTGGGACCTCCTGATGGAGAGCGAGGAGCTCACCATGGCCATGAGAGATCAGGTGAGCGACGCAAGAGATGGGCGTCGATGGTGCTGACATTCGTGCGCTGTCCGCGTAAGGTCGCGCGCGCGTAAGGGCTCTCTCTCTCTCTCTCACGCGGTGTGTCGCGCCGGCGGTCTTCGTAAGCCACCGCGCAAGGTCGCCACGCCGTCGAGCGTAAAACCCCATGTCCCTTTTTAGGGGAACAAAAAGTGGCATAAACATAAAAACTCGGAGGTCCGCGCGGATTTCTCGGATCGGCGCTGGGGCCCCCCGGCGGCGCCTCCGGCGCCGCTCCTGGCGCGCTCCGCGCGCCAGGGAGGGGGCCCCAGCGCCGATCCGAGAAATCCGCGCGGACCTCCGAGTTGTTATGTTTATGCCCCTTTTTGCTCCCCTGCTTCTCTTCTCGTCGCCCAGGTGGTGCTGCACAACTTCCAGGAGCATCCCATCCGGTTCCCGCCCTCCTTCCGCCGGGCGAGGGGCGAGGACGCAGGAGACTGCGGCGACTACTGCGACGTGGGCCGGCTGCGGTCGGCGTACACCACGAGGGTCAGGGACGGCGGCGCGAGGCGGAAGAGCAAGGACCGGGCAGTGCTCAAGGAGGGCTCCCCTGGAGGCGCGCTCATTCACACCAGCAGCGGCTCTGACATCATGCCCACGGACACCAGGGAGAGCCCCGCGAGCACCGAGGACGCCTCGCTGCGTCCGCCGAGCTACACGGACCGCATCCTGGCCCACAGCCTCCCGGACTGCAGGAAGGCCCTGGTCTGCCGCGCCTACGAGTTGTGCGACGCCGCCATGGGCAGCGACCACAGGCCCGTGGCCGCGGTGTACCACCTCAGGTACCAGGCCGGGCGAAAGGGGGGGATGGGGAAAGGGGGGGTTACGAAATTTGCTGCATGCAGCTGGTTTCGGCCTCACCGAGGGGCCCATTACTCGATACATGACCGCCTCCGGCGCCGGGAGGCGCCGGGAAAATCAGCTACTTGAGCTGATTCTCAACCCCCCCCTTGGCTATCCCCCCCTCTCGCCCGACCCGCAGGTACCAGGCCGACGAGAGGATGAAGTTCAACAACATGCATCTGATGGAGACCCGTATCCGCAGCGCTTCGCGGCGTCGCGTCCAGTCTGGCTGGGTTTTCACGGAGCGGCCGTCGAAGCAAGGTGGGTGGGTTCTCGTGGTCCGACGGGGTGCCGCGCCGGGGCCGGCCTGCTGGCCCTTTGGTGCTCTCTGGGGCGCCGTTAGACTAGACGTCCCCTGGACCCTCGCAGCTGTGCAAACGACGCGAAGATCGGGGCAACATCGGATCGGGATAACTCGAGATATCTGAGAGTCGGCGGGTTTGGAGGATGTATTGGGCGCCGCGGCCGCTCCAGAGCGTTCCGGAACGCTCTGAGAGCGCTCCGGAACGCTCTGGAGCGATTTATCCTGATCCTAGCCCTGTTTTAGCTGTTTGGTGGCGCCCCCTTGGGGGTACTCGGACAGCCTCGAGCGGCTTGGGCGTGAGGCCCGTTGTCTGCAGTTGGTGATCCTTTGCGCTGCGGCTCTGGCCAGTACACAGTACAAGGGTGATTGGATTGTGTATACCCATATACACATGTACCGAGAGAGAGGGAACCAAAGAAATAGAGAGGAAACATAAGTAAAGAGAGAGAGAGAGGGAGAGATAGAGAGAAAGAGAGAAAGAGAACACGACGACGAATAGGACAGGGCACGGCATCGGGGGCATATTGGGGCCTCTTGGTCAATCTTGCGGCTACGTGAAGTTTCTGGGGCCCATAGTGGTGACATCTTGGGGCATCTCGGGGCCTTCTCGAGCACACCTGTGTGATGTCGGATGCATCTTGGAGCGTCGGGGGGGCACCTGGGGGGGCCGTCTTGGGTAACTTAGGGGGCTCGTTGGGGGGACCTCTTGAAACGGTATCTGCACACCGTGGCAGCAACATCTGGGACAGGCAGGCCACATGGAAAGCCCTCCATGGCTTTAAGAGTATTCTGCATTCGGGGGCGTCTTGAGGCCCTCCTCGGACATCCCGGAGGCAGTTTGGGGCAGTCTTCGGGCGTCTTGTGCCCTTGAGGCCCTCTTCGGAGGGAGCCTCATGGCCTCATAGGGGTCTTTTTCTGGACCTCTCTGGCACTCCAGACCGTGTGGTGGCGTCTCTTTGTGGATTGTGGCGCAACCAAGTGGTGCGGCCAGTGGGGTACCCCCATGTGTTTTTGTTGCGGTGTGCCCCCCCCGCCCCCCTGCCCCCCCCCCAGTAGCAGCACAGTGGAGACGGGGCAGGAGAGAAACAAGAAAAGAACGACAGCCATAGACAACGCAAGACAACAGTGCAGCAGGCGACTTCACAGCATCGTGCCCCCAAGGGGGCTGGCGGATCTTCACTGTCAGCGTCGAGAATGTCGACGTCCACCTGAGGACCGAAGCGCCATGTCGACTGTCGGACGGCTCAGACTCCCCCCATCGCAGCAGAAGCAGGGAACAGGTGGTGCCCGAGCCCCTGGACGGCTTCGGTACCCTGGGTATCAAGTCGGGCACCCTGGGCGCCAGGTCCTCCGCGTTCGGCCCCAGCGCCAGCCTGGACGGCGGCATCGCCGGCGCCAGGTCAAGCGTGGTTGGGCACTGGACAGGGCTGCTGCCGCAGGTGAGCAGGATCAACTCCGGGAGCCTGGCGCTCACCAGGAGCAACTCGAAGAACCTCGAAGACGTGAGGTCGCCGGTGCAGCGCGGCAGCAGGTACTCGCTTCTCTACCAGAGGTCGAGGTCGAGGTCCTTCTCGGGCATGCTGGGCATGGCCAGTAAAGACTCCGCGCTGGACATCGAGGTGCTGCTGGACCACGCCGCGCTCACGCTGACGTTCCCCATCCCTCCAGAGGACCCCCTCGGCAGCGCCGAGCGGCACAAGCTCATCGCGGAGGAGTCCATCAGCCTCGACTACAACGAGCGCGGCAGCGTAGAGGCCGCCGAGGGCGGCATCGTCTGCCAGGGGACAAGGCCGCTGAAGGAGCTGCGGAGCGTGGAGGAGGGCGGATCCAGCGCGAGCGGCTGCCTGAGGCTCTCTTCGAGGGCCTGCCGGGAGATGGGCATGCACGCCGGCATCAGCCTGACGGGCCCCCATGGGTGCGCCGTGGGGCAGGCCGTTCTTTGCCTGGCCGAAGCCCTCGACAGCAAGGTCAGCGGGCCGAGGCGCATGTCCGTGCCCCTCGTCCTCGGTGGGCGCTGCGTGGGGCAGCTGGAGGCGGACGTCTCCGTGTGGGAGGGCGCGGGGGCGCAGCCGCGGGTGCAGGGCAGCGCAGCCGCAGACGGCGCGCAACGGGCGGAGGACGGCGCCTCCGGTGCGGCCCCGGCGGCGGCGCCAGAGGGCCCCAGCTGCCAGGAGGCGGCGGCCGCGCCCCCGCGCGAGCCTCCTGGCGGCCGCGGCGGCGCTCGCAGGAGCTGCAGCGCCCCCGCGGGCCCCTGCGCGGGGCGCGTGCAGCCCGCGGCGCCCGCCGAGGCCCGCGCCGCGCACGGCGCGCCGCCGCAGTGCGCGCCCCGGCCGGCGAGGGAGCCGCGGCTGCTCCCGGGCGGCGCGCGGCTGGCCGGCGGCTGCGCCCCGCTGGCGGAGCTGCTGCAGCCGTGCTGCTCGGCCGTGCGGGGCTGGCGGGGCCGCTCGGAGCAGCGCCGCGGGTGAGCCCGGCGGGGCGTGAGGCGCCTCTGGGAGGCCCCCGGGGCGGGCCGATCGAGGGCCGTCCGGCGCTGGGCTCCGGGCCTCTCTCTCTCTGCGTGTATAGGCGTGCGCGGCCCTGTGCAGAGCTTCGGCCGCACGGCTCGTGGCCGGGTGGCATCGTTCTGCCCTCGCTTCCCTCGCTCGCTTGCTCCTCCGTCCTCCCGCCTGCTTGTCTCTTCCTGCGGGATGGGTGGAACCACGGCCGCCGCGCCGCGACGGCATCCCGGCGCCTTGTCGACCCGATGCTCTCCTCCTCTTCCGAAAGAGAAGGCGTCGCGGGGGTGGGGGGCGGGGGGGAGATTTTGATGGTTTTCGCTTTTGATCAGAGGCACAGCGGGTGACGCATCGATCCCCAATCGCCCCCTAACGATTTTGTCTTGGCGCAGCCCCGAAGATTCGTGTCGGACGACAAGCGGGGGGGATTGGGAAGGGGGGGGGGCGACACATGCTGCATGCAGCTGGTTTCGGCCCTGTCGCCGTGCGCTTTCCTCGATACACTGGCGCCTCCCAACGCCGGGAGGCGCCAGCGAAATCAGCTACGCAAGAAGGTAGCAAGTCTCTTGGCCCCATCATGGGGATTGGATTTTCATCCTGAGTCGTGTCTTGACGTGTGCGCACGGCGTTCGAGAAGGTTGGAAGGAGGGAGCCGGGACGATGTAGGAGGGATTTGCGAGAATGGAGAGGGGAGGATTTAGAAGGGCGGATGGAAAAACGGCAGGAGGGGGGAGGAAGAAGGAGACTGATGGCGGGCGCGGAGGGGGATGGGGGCGACGGAGGGTGGATCTGTAGACAAACTTATCGTGTAGTCCCGTATCTACTAGCACTGGTTACAGCGCGCTCGATCCTCATCCGTAGCTATTTGGACTCCATTCACGATTCCAAACAGTCCGTTCGGGTTCCATTTTACTCCGCTTGTTTTTCCCGCCAACACAGACGACTCCTGCGATTTAAGGGCTAGTTCAGGAGCCACGTGATGAGTCCACCAATTCTTGCGTTGAGTCTGTTCCTCCATCTCTGCGCCGGTCTTCGCGTCAACGGGAGTGCAGATGGCAGGGTAGCTCCAGCGCCCAAGTGGTTCACCTTGTATGATACATGTGCATCGTTGAAAGACATTTGGCACGAGAATTCACACACGCATGGGGGGTATGATCATCAACAAAAACATTCAGTGAACTGGTCAAAGGGAAGAGGACGAATGCCAATCTAGTAGGGTTGCCGAAGAGCTTCGGGAATCTGCACTTTCCCACTTTGGTGGTGTACATATCAAAGGCCAAAGCTTCCTCGCATCAGCAGTTGAACAGGTCATGCCTTGGCCCTGCGCACCTCAGGCCATGTGGTGGCACCCCCGCCGTCCCTTCCCCAAACATTTCAAATAGCTCCCGGGCCCCACGATCATGACTCAATATTTGGCGCAGCGTGCACTTTCCATGCTGAAGGCAGCTAAATTGCAGATGACTGCAAAATTTGTACATGTCTCATGTTTTGCTCCCGCGACAGTTCCCTAAACACCGACTGTTGCAAGGGCTCTGGTCTGCATTTAAGCAGCAATATCTTAGTCACTGGGACGCTGCCAGCTTGGCGTGCTGTGCCGCGCCATGCCCGCGTGCAGTGCCCCTCTGTGCCGCGCACTGGTTCTGAAAGGCGAACACGTGCCGTTCCCCTGTGCCGTGCCGTGCCTGGGTTCCAGATGCGAATGCTGCTGCCGTGCCGTGCCGTGCTGACGTTCGAGCGTGCAGAAAGTGTGCCGTGCCGCGGCGTGCCGGCAGGTGGCATCGTGCCGCGTAGTGCCCGCGAGCCGCGTGCCGTGCCGTGCACTGCCGGGGTGTCAGGAACGCAGAAGTGCCCGCGCGCCGTGCCTTGCCGCGTCTGCCATCGTGAGGAGTGCGGTCTGCGTGCCGTGCCGCGGCCAGGCTTCGAAGTGCGGGGATCCCGGCGTGCCGTGCCGTGCGGTGCTCTGCCGTGCTCGTTTTGTGTGTCGAGCGTCGGGGCCGTGCCGTGCCGTGCCGCGCGTGGCGTGGCGTGCCGTGCCGCGCGGAAGCTGCCGAGTGCGACGGGGGTGCCGCAGCGTGCCCGCGCTCCAGGCCGTGGCCCGTGCCGTGCCGTGGCGTCTTGCGGCACGGAGACCCCGCACCATGTTTTGTTTTAATGTTGGCCCACGGCCCACCGCTGTTGCTTGCAGGGGAGACCCATGCCAAGAAGCACCCTACTTGCCTCCAGGGTGCCCTGGGTGTCTTGGGCTTCGGGGTTCTGCCGCTGACGGCGTCGCGCTCCCACAGCAAGCGGCAATGGGCGTCCTGGGGTCTCCGGGATGGGTTTCTTGTGGAAGGTCTCTTGTGGTCGGGCCCCTATTGTAATGTGGACCCACCATGCTACATATCACACAGCTTTGCTGCTCACCTGCACTCGATAAGCTTACGTTAACCTTCACCCAAGGCGCAGAGTTCGACGCATCTGCCGTTGGGGCTCCGCGCTGGGCGTTGCCGCATGCCGTGCTGCGCCGTGCCTGGATTGTAGAGTTCATGGCGCCAACATCGCAGAGCTGATTTCGTTCGCAAAACGATACGATGGGCCCGGAGTGCCCTGGAGAATTGTGTTCCAGATTTCGAGGTGAATTTCGTGCGGGTTTTTGTTTGGCCAGGAATGTAGAGTAACAAAAATCCATGCGAAATTCACTCCGTTGTTCACTCGCCGTTTCGGGCTTCAGCATTGGCAGAAACCCACGCGCCAGTCCGCTGCAGCGCGTCTGCGAGGTCGGGGCAGCGATAGAGTGCAAGAGCATGTGCCGCTTGGTACCGCTCGGACGTGTGCAGGTTTTCTGGGCGGGGATCCTTGCGGAGCATCCTGGATCCTCCTGCGAAGGAAGCCGCGCACGGAACCGAACAAAAAGCACAGGGAACGGACGTCCGAGCGATGGCCAGGGCGTGCCGTGCCCGCGTGCCTCGCCCTGCCGCGCCCAGTGGCAGCCATGCGCTGAGGGTGCCGCGCCGTGCCCAGAGGTGCGGCGCCGTGCTCTGCCGTGCCCTGCGCGCGGTGCCGCGGCGTCGTGCCTAATGGGACTTCCACGCGAACGTCCGCCAGACCGCGGCAGGCATCTGGGCACCGTGTCATTCATCAGGTTTCGCTGCGTGGCTGCGCGCTACAGCGCTTCCACCAGGTGGATTGGACCACCGAGAGGTTGCACCACATGTACTGCATGACCCAGATTGCACGCCGCAGGTTGAAAGGCCTCGCTGTTTTAAGGTCCACGCTGGCTCACATGTCTCAGGGTTCCGCCAGTGCCACCTGGCACTCCTGCGAGGCCCCGCCAGACCGCCGCAGGCATCCACTGGTTGCCGTGTTGTTTCTCATGCTTCGTGCCCTCTCTACTGCACCAGGCCTCAGAAGGCGAAACATGCAGCGTGTCGAGCTGTGCCCGCGCACCGTGCCGTGCCGTACCTAGCTGCAGAAGCGCGACGACACATGTGCCGTGCCGTGTCGTGCCCGCCTGCCGTGCCGCGCAGTGCTCTCAGGTTGTTGCGGCACTGGCCACCCACACCAAGAAGCGCCTCCCCGGATGTCGACTCACTGTGTGTGTGTTCTTCTGCAGCGCTGTTTTTTTGCGTTTTTCTGCAAACTCTAGGTCATGCCCCTGCCCACGGGAAAGCTACTGCGGCACCGCCAAGACCTGCCAGGAACGTGGAACGTCATACATGCCAAGTCACGGGGGCTTGCACACGCAGTATACCCACGTTGAGCGGTCACGGCCGTGGCGTAGGCTGCATCGCCGAGCACCAGAGCGTGCGACATTGTGAATTTCAGTATGCGGGTTGCCAAATCCTGGGCAACAGCAGCGGGACGCGCTCATATGTTTTGGCCAACGTGGGCCCTAAACAGTGCAACAGTGCGTCTCTAGCAATCTACGTGGTGCAACAATCTGGATAATTTTATGCGGTGTAATACCTCTACGACCACCCTTCGGGTGACAAGGAGGTTCGGGGGGGAGGAACCAACGTCTCACTCGATCGGTCTCACTATCGATCTCAATATCGATATCACAATCGGTTTCGCTCGATCGATCGCACTCGATCGATCTCACAATCGATCTCACTCGATCTATTTCATTCGATCGATCTCACAATCGATCTGACTATCGATCTCACAATCGATCTCACTATCGATCTCATTATCGGTCTCACAATAGATCTTACATCCGGTCTCTCTGTCGATCTCACTACTGATACCAATCGATCTCACAATCAACGTCATCATCATCATCATCATCATCATCATCATCATCATCAACATCATCGTCACCAGCGTCATCAACATCATCACCATTATCATCAGCAGTGGGACACCATCATCATCATCACTTCATCACCAGCATCATCATCGTCAGCATCATAATCACCATCATCAGCATCATCATCTGGACACCATCATCGTCGCCATCATCATCATCAACAATATCATCATCATCATCGTCATCATCATCAGCGGGACACCATCATCATCACCATTGGAACACCAGCATCACCATCATCATCACCATCATCATCATCAACATCATCATCTCATCATCATCATGCACAACATCATCAACAGCATCAGCATCATAGGGATGCCACCATCACCAGCAACACAACACCAGCATCATCAACATCATCATCATCGGGATACCATCATCATCGTCATCATCATCAGCACCATCATCATCATCATCTTCGGGACACCATCATCATCAACATCAGCATCATCATCACCATCATCGGGCCACCATCATCAAAATCATCATCATCACCTCATCATCACCCGCATCATCAACATCAGCATCATCATCGGGACACCAGCATCGTCATCATCATCATCATCATCACCATCGGGACACCATCATCATCATCACTATCATCATCAACAGCATCATCATCAACCTTACCATCATCATCATCACCATCGGGACATCATCATCATCATCATCATCATCATCATCATCATCATCATCTCCACCATCATCATCTCATCATCCCATCTTCATCAGCATCATCAGGATCATCAACATCACCATCATCTTCGGCACACCATCATCATCCGCAACATCATCATCATCAACATCATCACCACCATCGGGACACCATCATCATCACCACCATCACCATCATCATCATCAACATCGTCTGGACACCATCATCATCATCACCTTCACCATCATCATCATCATGAACATCATCGACATCATCATCATCATCATCATCAGCAGCAGCATCATCATCATCACCATCGGGACACCGACGGGACACCATCGGCACACCGCGGGCCACCAGACGCCGGTCCAGAATCATTTGGTTTGGCCGCGCTTCAGCCGGAGGCGGGACACTCCGGCGGGACACCGCGGGCCACCGGACGCTGGTCCAGAATCATTTGGTCCGGCCGCGCCTCAGCCAGAGGCGGGACACCTGCGGGACACCGCGGGCCACCGGACGCTGGTCTGGAATCATTTGGTCAGGCCGCGCCTCAGCTACAGGAGACTTTCTTCACGCCCGCCCACGCAGCTTCGCCTCGCCCGCACGCACGGCACGCACGAACACGAAACCGAAATCGATTTCCCGGTAGGGGGGCTCTCCGTTCCATTTCGATCTCACCCCCTCACCTCCGATTTATTGAGCGATCTATTCGGTGCAAACTATGTTGAGCGCCCCACGTGGTGCAGCCCATTCGGTGCAATATATGTGGTGCAGGGTATGTTGTGCAATCTACGCGCTTGGAGCCAATGATTTGCAACGTATGTTGTGCAATCGATGTGGTGCAACTGATGTGTTGCATTCGATGTGTTGCAACATGCGTTGTGCACTATATGTCGTGCAATCTATGTTGTGCACCTTAGGTGGCGCAATCAATGTTGTGCAACTAATGTTGTGCAATTCGTGTTGTGCTATCTACGCGGTGGAATCCTATGCGGTGCAAGTGATTTCTGCAAACGAGTTGACACAGTCCATGCCCTTCCAAACATCCCACCACCCAAAGCACGCGCGCGCAGTGGCCAGCAAGTTTGGCGCGACCGACGCGGCCGCGGTGGCTGACCGCTGGGCACACCCCAACGGGCACTTCAGTGCGAATCGGCGATTTGGGCGGGCGCGGTATCATGGCAACGTCGGCGACGGTAGAGACGATGATGATAGTAGCGATGCCGGTGACGATGTTGACAACGACGACGGCGCGGCCAGTGACGGCGCCGATGCCGATCACGCTGGCGACGATGACAGCGTCCTCGCGTCGGAGATGAAGGACATGCGCGCGCGGCCGACGCGCGAGAGTGGCCCGCATGGTACTTTTGGACACGGAGCGTGCCCCCCCCCCAACACGCGCGCAAGGGATTGCGAATGATTTCGGCATGCGGCGCGAGAGGCCCGATTGGCAGAATTCCATGCGCATGTTGAAACACCTAATATATGTTTCGAAACCAGGTGTTTTTATATGCGTTTTGGACACTCGGTTTTGAAACCGTTACGAAACCGAAGATTTCTGAGGGATTCCGGCATGCGCGCGCGACGACGCGCGCGTGTGCATTTGATCACATGTTTTGCAAAGGATCTCGCGAAAGCCCGAGCGCAAGGACGTTCGAACGATTCTGACACGCGCGCGCGATCATGTAAACGTTGAAAATTTTCCGGTTTTAATGGTCCGTTCGCAAGAGCGCACGCGCAAGTTTTTTTCGATATTCCGTGTTGTGAAACCATTCATTCTTATATATTGTTTGGGGTACTCGATTGTAAAATTTTCCGACGCCGCAGACGCTTGAAGGATTGCGGAATGCGCGCGCGACGACGCGCGCGTGCGCACTTACTTTTATTTTCTTGCAATGGATCCTTGATAACTTTATGGTTTTTGATAAACGAGTGCGCGCGACTTGCATTTGTTGCAGAGGATGGCGGGCGGGGTCGATATCGGCTCGGCTGGGATGGTACGAGTTCATATTTCGGATGGACGGTGGGGCCGAAGTATATGTAAGTTGCATTACGAAAAGGGGTGCGGATGATCCCGGGGGGGTCGAATTTATTTCTTAAATGAAAAGAGAATCTATACTGCGCCAGCGCAGAGCAACGCAAAGCGATACAACACAGTACAAAGCCCAAAGCAACGCGAAGCAATGCGAATCAACGAATAGAAGGGCAGACCAATGCAACGCGATGCCATCAAGTGCAACGCAACGCGCAGCAACGCAACACAATGCAACACAATGTACCACAATGCAAAGCAATGGCACGTACAGCTTAACAGCGCAGACCAATCCACAACAATGTCATGACATTCAACGCAATGCGATTGCACATCAGTGCGATTGCAATGCCATGCAACGCAAGCAATGCAGCGCGATGCACAGCGATGCGCGTCAAGACAAGGCAATGAAACGCACGGCAAAGCAATGCAAAGCAATGCGCTCCCACGCAAATCAATACAACGCACGGCATAGCAATGCAACGCGCGGCATAGCAATGCAAAGTACGATAAAGCAATTCAAGGCAATGCCAAGCAATGCGGTTCCAGACGCCGTGCGGCGAGGCGGCGGCAGGACGAAGGCGGCGACGGCGATTACAGAGCCGCCAGGCTGCCATGCAGGCCCAGACGAAGGGCGGCGGCGAGGCGGCCACGGGTTGGCGACGGCGACCACGATACCGCCAGACGAGGCGACGACGGGGCGGCGACGGCGACCACGGAGCCGCCAGACCGCCACGCAGGCCCAGACGACGGGCGGCCTCGAGGCGGCGACGTGGCGGCGACGGCGACCACGGAGCCGCCAGACGGCCACGCAGGCCCCTTCCTCATGACACACACGAACCCCTCAGTACAAGCACTGTTCGGGGAATTGCGATGAGGAGGCGCTTGCCCGAGGGGGGCAGGGGGAGGGAACAGCTGGGGGGAGTTGAGATCTGGGTAAGGGGGGACGGGGAGAAGGTGTGATGAGGGGTGGGGGACGGGGACGGGGCGAGGCGGGGAATCGAAGAACAACAAACGGCATAAACATAATTCCTCGTCGTTCCGCGCGGATTTCTTGGGTGACGGCGAGCAGGAGGAGGATGACGCGGAAGAAGGAAAAGAAGAAGAACAATAAGAAACATGAGGAGATCAGCAGCGTGGATGACCTGGGGAATGTGGAGGAGGAACATTCGGGGCGGCAGCGACGAACAAGAATCAACCGGGCCTAGAACTGTGGCCCTCGCTGCGGGAGAACGCCATGCGGAATGAGAGGAGCGGAGCGCCGCCCCTGCAGTGAGGCAAACGCTGCAGTGGGAACAGACTTCTGGTCCGACCGAGAACGAGCTACGGACAGAGGCATCGGAGATATCGCATCCTGGTATCCTAGCGTGCGACAGCACTGCGTAGGCGAGGCGGGTGCAAAGCACAGTAGCAGCGGAGACAGGAGACCGGTACTGACTAGTAATTTCAGAGCGGGGGAGGTGGTGGACAGGGAGGAGGGAGGGGGGAAGGGATGAGGGAGGAGAGCCAGGAAGGACTTGTGGCGGGCAGTGGAGGGCTCAACGGGGCAGGGGTGCCTGCGGCATTGGGTGGGGGGGCCTCTGCACCGGCCGCAGGTTGAGACGGGGTGTGACGTCTGCAAGATGAGCGACGCGAATTTCCTCAGGACTCTGGAGTTGGGCATCCAGTTTGGGAAGTGGATCCTCTTGGAGAACATAGGCATCATCCTCCTTCTCTTCTTCTGGCTGAGTGTTCCTCCTTCCTTCGCTCCACATCACGCCTGGCAGGCGTTGGCCTTTGTCTCCAGGGTCTCCCCACCCTTGGTTTGACAACTTTGAGCAGCCTCAATCCTTCCCCGCAGCAGCCCGTGTAGGAATCTTACGTGAAGTTTGTCGAGGACCCTTGCTGCCCCGACACTGACTGTATTCTTCGGCGTCCAGATGGCCTCGGTTAGCCCAGGGATCGCGCGGGAATGGCATCGGATATCCTTTGAATCGCGGAGAGCCTCGGATTGCCATCTAACGGTCTCGGATAGTCTCGGTTTGCCTCGGATGTGGCGTAGATGGTGGGGCCAGGGGGGCAGAGAAAGTCCCTCCTATCGCAAGGCATCAACCTGGACCCCGCACTCGAGCCCGTCCTGCAGCAGCAGAAGGTGAAGGACGGGTCGGGCTTCGTGATCAAGTTGGGAGACAAGTCCGTCACGTACGCCGACACGTTCAAATTCTTCATGACGACCACCCTGCCAAACCCGCACTACTCGCCAGAGGTTTCTGTCAAGGTCACGCTGCTCAATTTCGCCATCACGCCGGTTGGACTGGAGGAACAGACGCTCCTTCTCTTCCGCCTTCGACGACGGCGACCCCTGACCTCCTACCTCTTATCAGGCGGTGCTTGGTAGGTGGGGAAGTGTTTGATGAATTGGGCGGTGTTCGATGGGTGGGGCAGTGTTTTATAAGTGCGGCGGTATTCGGTGGGTCGGGGGGGGCTCGGATGGGTGGGGCGATGTTTGTTGGCTACGGAGTTGCTTGCTGAGTGGGGCGGTGCTTGGTGGGTGGGGATCCCCCACGGCGTATGTCTTCTCCTGCTGCAGGACCAGATGCTGGGCATCGTGGTTGCCAAGGAGAGGCCAGACCTGGAGGAGCAGAAGAACCAGCTCGTGGTGCAGAACGCGAAGATGAACAAGCAGCTGAAAGAGATCGAGGACTGCCACGGCTTCGGTCTGCGCACGCGCGGCCTCCAGAGACATTGCAGTCCAGGCTGGCCCCAAGTTGGCAGCACCTCCGCGCCGCCTCCGCTGGCGCCCTCGGGGCATGGGGTGCCGATTCCACCCCAGATTTCGGCGGCGAGCCCGGAGGGGGAAGTGAGAAGGGGCGGGCCTTCTCAGAGGCTCGGAAGTCCCCGGGCCTTCCGAGGAGTTTTCGAAGCCTTCCAGGAGGACACAACAAAAAGAAACCTCTCAGAAATCGCGAGGGACTCTGAGAAGTCCCGCCGCCTTCTGAAAAGGCCTTCTCCTTCTCACTTCCCACCCTCGCTCGCCGCCGTAGACTTAAGTCGGACCTGTCCCCCTACTGGGGGATTTTCGGCGAGGAAAAAAATGCCCCCAAAATGCCCGGAGAAAGGCAACAAATATTCAGAAAGTAGTCCCCAGATTATTTTTGGATTATGGTTTGATTATTTTTGGGATATTTTTTATTTTTCGTCGAAAATCCCCCTGCAGGGGGACAGGCCCGACTTAACCGTAGACTGCCTTCGGGGCCAGGTGGGGCCAGCCTGGACCGCCCCGCTGGGGCCTGTGCGCGCAGCCCCGAGCCCTCTCTGGCTCGAGGATGAGATCCTGCACCTGCTCTCGACCAGCGAGGGCGACGTGCTCGAGGACGACACCCTCGTGGACAAGGTCTGTGTGGAAGTCGACTAATGGAGAGGAAGCGTGCTGCCAAATAAGTTCCCAGATGTCTAGAACATGTTTCAAACACGGTTTAAACATGTAAAACACCGGCTTGAAACATGTTGAGAATATTTTCTGGCATTTTAAACACATCTTTCAATTCAGTGATCGAACAGTTAGAGTGTTCATTGTCATGGCATCCACAAGACAAGGTCACGGCATCGAAGCAGGTCTCCCTGGACATCGCCGAGAAGCAGCAGGTGGCCCGCGAGACGGAGAAGGACATCGACGTGGCCCGCGAGTCCTACAGGCCGGTGGCCTACCGCACGTCCGTGCTGTTCTTCTGCATCGTGCAGCTCACGAACATCGACCCCATGTACCAGTACAGCCTGCAGTGGTTCCAGCAGCTCTTCGCCAACGCCGTGGAGCTCAGAGGAGGTACCCATACCTCTACCCTTCCCTCGTTTTCCCCTTTTTGGGCCTCCTCGGAGGCCCTTGTTGCCACCGCTGGATTCGCCTCGAAATTCTGGTCAGAAAGCATCTCGGGAGAGGTCCGGGAAGTAGCGGTATCGGTACCTTTTCGTTTCCCCAGGAGCAGTCGCCAAAGTCGGACGAGTTCGACGAGCGGCTGAGCATCCTCACCAACTACTTCACGGAGGCGCTGTACCAGAACATCTGCCGGGGGCTCTTCGAGAAGGACAAGACGCTGTTCTCCTTCGCCCTGTGCATCCGCATCATGATGGGCGACAACATGGTGAACGCGGAGGAGCTGAGGTACCTCCTCGTGGGGCCCACCAGCGACCTTGCCGAGGGTGGCCCGAAGGTGCCCGCGGATTGGGTGGGCAAGCAGCGCTGGAACGAGCTCCTGACACTGTCACAGCTCCCGGCGTTCAGGGGGTTCAGCGACTACTTCGAGTACGACTTGGCCAAGTTCAAGTGCATCTACGACTCCGTCGAGGCCGAGAAGGAGGAGCTCCCCGGGGAGTGGGAGCAGAGGCTCTCCCCGCTGGAGAAGCTCTGCTTCATCCGCGCCTTCCGCGTGGACTGCCTCAAGAGCGCGGTCATCTCCTTCATCACCCGCGAGATCGGCGAGAAGTTCGTGGAGCCGCCCACCTTCGACATCGCCAAGTCCTTTGCCGACTCGGTCGCCTGTTGGGGGAAGCTGGAGAATGCCGCTCGACTGCAGCCGCCCTTCTCGTGCTCACAGCAACGATGGGGGAGGGGGCGGGCGGGGCGGCGGTGGCGCTCCTCCGCGTTGCTCCCTCGCTGCTCCTCCCCTCCGCCCGTGCGCATGTCTGGCAGGGTCGGGGCCTCGAAGCGGTTGGGGCCTCTCTGGTGGCCCTTGGGCGTCGGGCACCTGCGGCAGTTGCGTCGGTCAGAGGTCGGGAGCGGAAAAGAGGGGGGTGATGACTAGGGGGGGGGTGGATACCATGGCGGGGGGCATGATATTTCCCCAGATTTCATGGCGCCTCTTCTTATTTCATTACGTCCCTGGCCCCCCCGCTGGGCCGCGCACATGCCGTCGGGCATGATTTGCACCCCCCCCTCTTGGACACCCCCCTCTTGGCCGCTCCCGATGAGGGCATGTTGGTCCCGGGTTGCTGGGGATGGGCCCGGTCTTCCCGGATAGCTCCTCGTGAGAGCCGAAAGGGTCGTTCTCGGGGGCCCCCGAGCGGGGCGGTGACCACACCGTGTGGTGAGTCACGTGGGGATTCGGGGTCACCGCACGGTTTTGGGACTCGGGTCGTTCTCCGAGGACGTCTCGGGCGACTGGGGCATCCGAGGTCCCAAAGCCGTGCGCTGACGGACGGTATGTCACCGCACCGCTTCGGGACTGCAAATGTTAGAGAAGAATCCTGCAGGGAGGGCTTCGCCAGCTCCCTCGCCACGGCTCCCGGGCAGGCATCCCCGCAGCGGCTCCTGCGAAGCTGCAGCGTGCCCTGGAAGCGTTTTCCAACTCATTCCGAGCTAAGACTTGGTATCGCTCGGACGTGTGCACTATTTCTCGGAGGGGATTCTGAAGGAGCATCATGGATCATCCTGCGAAAAAAAAAAAACACGCACGAAACCGAACAAAGCACAGGGATTGGACGTCCGAGCGATGGCCAGAAGAGGGTTGCAGAGTAGAAGCTTGCAGCGCAGGGTAGCCCAGAATGCTTTTCCGGCGCTGGCCAGGGCGCCTCGCAGCGACTTGTGTGAGCTCGCAGCGTGCACTGGCAAGCGAGTGCCTGTTCGTTCCAGGCACGTGTGCGGGAAGCCTTTCCGCAGCTCCTTCGGAGCTCCCTGGGAGCTCCTTCGAAGCCCTTTCCTTTTCTCGAGCTTGCAAGCCCTCCAGTCAATTCAAGCGCCCGCGCGAGCGCTTCCCAGAGGCGCTTCACACGTCACACGCCTGCGTCGCTACCCGGGCTTCGGACGCCACGTGTCCGAGGGCGGGAAGCATCAGTATTCAAGGGAGGAAGAACCACCCGGACCCGACAATTGACGTTTACTAAACGATTTTGGGCGTTTATTAAACAGCGCTGCCCTGTTTGATTCCTTTCCTGGGTGCGTTTACTACACGGCTGCACTTGTCGGGGTGTTTATTATGGGGGTGGTTGTTCTGCTCTCTCTCTCTCTCTCTTTCTCTCTTTTTTTCCTCTCTCTCTATATATATACGCGTGGCCTCGCAGTGTAGACTGCTGGTCCGCAACCCCACGGACACGTGGCGGCTTTGCGAGGACCCCCCCCCGCGCGGAAATCCCTGCCGGGATCGTGCATCCCTGGCATCGCGCTTTGGTTTCTGGACCGCGAGGGCACGGGCACGGATATGGCCGTTTTCGTGAGGTACGCTTCTGTTGGGGTCTTTCGGCGAGGACCATCGAGGAGCATCCTTGATCATTTGGCGAAAAAACCACGCACGAACCCGAAAAAAACACAGGGAATGGACGTCCGAGCGATGGCCAGGAGTGTGCCCAGGAGGCTGCAGCTCCTGGAGGATTCCTCATCTGATGAGGGCGGCGGTGATGTCCATGGCCGATCCACGATTGGAGGTCCACCCGCCTCCAGACCCTGGGCTCCTTCTCCAGGGGCTCCTTCTCCAATGCCACCACCGTGCTGCGCATGGGACGAAAGCCACGACATCTCAGGTGCGGGCTTGCAGTCGTCCCTGGTATTCGTGCCCGGCCTGTCCTGGTTCCCGTCCGGCTCGGCACGGCCTGGTCCGACCTACTGCAGTCGGGCGTCATGCATTGCTCCGAAGAAGGAAAGCGGCATAAGCATAAACTTTCGACGCACCGCGCGGATCTTTTGGGTCCGCGCGGGCCCCCCTTGGCGGCGCCTCCGACGCCGCCCATGGCGCGCGCCGCGCGACAGGGAGGGGCGCCCAGCGCCGATCTGGGGAACCCGCGCAGATCTCCAGAAGTTTCTGCTTATGCCGTTCTTTGTTCCTCTATAAATCTGGCCGGGCGGTGCACGAAGTCCTCCCAGGCGTTGCCACCCTAACCTCGTCCCCGCAACTCCTCGAGGTGAACACCACCCCGCTCATCTTCATCCTGTCGCCGGGCACCGACCCGGTGGCCGACGTGCTCCGTTTCGCGGACAAGATGGGCATGGCCAAGCGCTTTGAGTCGATCTCGCTCGGCCAGGGCCAGGGGCCCAAGGCCCCCGGCGTCCTCCCTGCTTCTCGTGCCTCGAGCGGCCGTCCTGGGGATTCTGGGGCCCAGGGTGAAGTCGGGCCCGTCCCTCTAGAGGAGGAATGAACAAAACCAGAAAAAATAGTCGGGGGATTATGTTTTGAGTATTTTGGGGCATTTCTTGGCGATTGTTCATTGTTCATTGAATTCGTCTGTAGGAGGACACGCCCGACTTCAGCCCAGGGGCAGACAAGCAGGGCCTGGCCGAGGCGCATGGGCGGGCCGGGGCAGGGATGGGGCGGGGAGGAAGATCCCTTCTTGTCGTCGTCTTCGTTGTTGGGCGAGCTTGGGCCGAGGCGGGCGGAGGTAAAGAGGGGAGACAGAAAGAGGGTGGGAGGGAGGGAGGGTGGGCCACGGGAGGGTCCAAACTGAGAACACAACGCCGCAGGAGTGGTCGAGCCGTGCGGTTTGCCAACCTGGCCAGCGCCTTCTCAGGAGTGGCCCCGGGCTGCGGGCTCCAAGGGGCGTCCGAGGGATCCCCGCCCCGAGGCGACGAAGCTCATCGAGTCCGCGCAGAACATGGGCGGGTGGGTCCTCTTGTCCAACTGCCACCTCATGGAGTCGTGGATGTCTTCGCTGGAAGCCCTCGTGGAGCAGCTGAACCCCGAGAACATGTCGAACAACTTCCGGCTGTGGCTGACGTCCATGCCCGCCAAGTCTTTCCCCGTGCAGGTCGGCCGCGTGCGATTGAGCGAAAGGGAGGGGCTGGCCGCTCCGTCTACACGCCCGTCGTTGAAGGCTTGCTTTGTTTGGATATCCAGATCCCGAATCTACTTCAAGCGCCTTCCTATCAATCATATACTTGTTGTTTTTGTTGCCGTTATTATGAAGGCCTTACGGCCGGTGCCGCCGACCCTGAAGAAGACGACGACGACGACGACGACGACGACGACGACCACCACGACGACGACGACGACGACGACCACGACGACGACGACGACGACGACGACGACGACGACGACGACGACGACGACGACGACGACGCCAACGACGACACCAACGACGACGCCAACGACGAGGATGACGGCGACGGCGACGGCGGGCATAACGCCGACGGGGTTAGTTTTGGGGCTTCGTGGGAGCGTCTTGGGGGCCTGTTGGGGAGCTTTGGGGGGCCTCTCGGGGCCTCCTTTGGGCCTCTTGGTTGCCTCTTGGGGCCTCTCGGGGGCCTCTTGGCGCCTCTAGGGCGCCTCTAGGGGCCTCCTGGGTGCGTCTTCAGGCGGAAGGCTCGAATTTTCCGTTCGCGGTCCATCTCTGGAGCCCCTCGTGGGGCCGTTTTGGAGTCCCCTTGGGCAGTCTTGGGCGGCTCTTGGGCTGTCTTGGGGCCCTCTTGGGCCGTATTGGGGCCCTCTTGGGGCCCGCTTGAGCCGTCTTGGGGCGATCTTGGGGTGCCTCGTGGGCCGTCTTGGAGCGTCGGAAAGCCGAAAAGGCGGAAACGCAAGCCGGTCTGGTGCTCTTCCGGGCCCCAGGACCCCCCGGGGAAAAAGCGTATTCGGGTGGCGACCCCCCGTGGGATGCCCCCAGGACCCCTCTCCCCAGGACCCCCCCCCCCGGCGCGGGGAAGGGATCAAAGGGAAGGAGCTTCCCTTCGCCCTTCGAGTCCACTCCTAGGTTGTTCAACTTTGCTGTGGACGGCGCGCATGAGGAAGAGGGCCCATGAAAATGGAACAGAGGAGGACGGAGACGACGACTCCAACGAAAGAACCCGACTCGAACGGAAAAGCCCTTCACACTCGCCGACAGGGCCGGCAGATTTGAGCGGGCCCGAACCCAATCTACTTGATCCGCCTTCCTACTTCATATTTCCACCTACTTCTTCCGACTGGCGGGTACACCCTCACTGTTGCGAAAAGAGCGAGTGAGGGGATGGGGGGTGCGCGGGGTCGCTGCACGCAGGTCGCGGGCTGACCCCGTGGCGGGTCGCGAGTTGGTCGCGGGGCGACGAAAACAATTAGATTACACTCGTGCTCAATGCTTCCAAATTCCCCATCGTTTTGCCTTGCCCTCTTCGTGGGGACAGTTCTATGCACACGTGGGTACGATAGTCCGGTGCCCAGATTTCCCGCCCAACACGTATTCCGTCTTTTGATTAGATGATACGCATAAGCGTCACAATCACTTTGCCCTGCTGCTGCTGCTCCTCCTCCTCCTCCTCCTTCTCATCCGCCTCTCCTCCACCTGCTATTCCTGAACCCTTACTCACCCGACCTCCCAGCACGCGATCCGCATCTTCAGTGTCCACAAGTTTGACACCAACGAGGCAGCATTCGTTGAATTGAATCGCCACTGGCTGGCTAGCTGTGACTGGGCAGACTCGGCGCCGCTTTCATGCACACGTATTGCTCTCGGCGATTTCAACTTCCCGGGCGCCCCTCCCCTGAGCCACACCGCCCCTCTACAGCCATCCGCCTGCACCCGGACACCCGTGCCCACGCAGCACCCGCCAGGGGGCGCCCGCTCTTCGGCCGCATGATCGAGGTCTGCAGCACTTGGCTCACTCGTTGCGATGCGCACGCCCACACACCAACGGCCATCGATCGAGGGTTCACCACAGGACCCGCTCGCGCCCCACCCAACCTCCACACCACTCTGCAAACGGTTACCGACGCGTCCACCCTGTCGGACCAAGGCATCAGCGATCAAGGCATAGTGGCGTTCGCAGTCTCAGCACTTCCCTCTCGCCGCACGTCCCCTGCAAACCAATATCCGACAGACGACCCGCTCTGTCTACCGCCTCTGCCACACTATGTGTTAGACCACCCCTCCCTTCCCCGAGCTGCAACAGCAACTTCCCGACAACAGCAATTACACGAATGCCACAGCCGCTCAGCGCCTCCGCATCACCAAGCGATGCATGCACCTCGCCGCGGGCATGGTCCTCCGGGAGATCGCGTCTGCTGACGTTCTCAGGGACAGGACGAATGCGTTTCTGGATGCTTGTGAAGCAGCAGGGTGGCAGGAATACATGACGCCGAAGTTCCACTGGCTGGTCCATTTCCCAAGGCACCTGATCAAGTACGGATGCCATCTGTCGTGTTTCGCACACAAGTGAAAGCACAGAGTGCCCAAGTGGTTCTGCAATGATATTCGCCAGCTGGAAGCCTCTGAAAGGAGCGTGCTGTCTGAGGTGACGCCTGCATTTTGCGAATTTGCGCAGCACCAACGCGTTCAACTTCTCGCCGCACTTGGTGCGCCCCAGGGCGACACCTAAGAAGATGCACGCCTTCCTTGAGGACAAGTTCGGCCAGCGCCTCCGCGGGGACAGCACGTCCACGGCTCTGGGGGCTCCGGTGTCCACGTTGTCGACGTGCCAGTCCCGCGATATCGCGCTGCTTTCCGTTGCCAATGGTGGCAAGGCGTGTGGAGAGGTTTGGTTTCACGCTGCTGCAAACGGAACGATGGTGTCGCTGGTTTCGATATGGGACTTCCTTCGCTACGATGATCGATTCGGAGTGCTGACTGTGAGGCCAACCGGCGACGACTTGCAGCTGGTGCACGCGACCGACATCATCACTGCCATGGCGTGGCGTCTGCCAAGTTTCCAGACCACCACCACCACTATACGGGCGTGCCGTCTGCAGGATACTGTCCGCTTTGCACGCGTGCAGTTGTGATAAATTCATGGTCGAAATTTGCGATGGGTTGGGCGTCCGTTGTGGTTGGTTGGAAAAGGTTCGAAGACTTGCAAGGCAAGCAGGCGCCATGGAGGCGGGTCAGTCGCGATCGTGCCTCCCATGTTCAAGTGGTGAGACATCGCGCGAGCTGCTACAGCGTTCTTCTGCGCAGCAGCGCAACAAACTGTGCATTCGAATGTATGGGTGTCGCTCGCCTTGCGCCTCGCGCGTACAAAATCAACAATTCGGGACCTAAAAATGCAGTGGCTTCACGTCAACCTGCAAGCACTTACAACTAATCGCGTTCAGTTAGCGCAACTTGTAAGTTTCCGAAACCAGCTTGCTAAGTCTGCTAAGTCTTGAACAACCCGGGCTCACCACATCACAGCAGCTCTAGCAACAGCAGCGACCAACGATCCGCGCTCCAGCAGCTGCAGCCACTCCAGCCGCAGCAACGACCCACGACCGCAGTAGCAGCAGCAACAGCAGCAGCAACAACAGCCGCTCCAGCAGCAGCAGCACGTCCGCCGCGGCACCAGTGCTCGACGACGCCCTTTCGCTCGTCTAGGTGAGGCCATGGGTTGCCGCCGGAGACCGCGTGCCCCGCGCCGGCGGGAAAGGCCGCTCGACAGCGCCCAGGGCAGCAGCCTTGCAGCAGGAACTCGTCGGCACCCGGCTGGCGCGGCCCCGCCGTCACAACGCGCGCGCCACCTCGGCGAGGCCTGCGACAAGCAGCGCAGAAGTGCGCCGAGCGGAGCCTCCCCCTCCTCGTGCCCGCCCGCACGAGGAGGTCCGCGCCGAGATCGTGGCCGAGCAGCAGGCTGCCGCGCCTCAGTGCGCCGTGGCGGGCGAGGATACATATCCACTCCTCGCCCAGCGGCGCGTCCAGTGCCGGCCGACGCTGTCCCGGGCCCGCGCAACACCGGCGCGCCCCCGCGGCGGCATCCGCGCAGTGCGGCGGCCGCGTCGTTCCCCGTTCCAGCCGCTGCGCCCCCTCGGAGCGGCGTCGCGCCCCGACGCCTCGGCAGCGCCGCTGGGCCCGCCGCGCAGCACAGCGCGTCTGCCGCCACCTCCAACCTCCGCCGCCAGCTCCGCCTCCGCGGACCCCCGAGCAGCGCTCCACCGAGCGCGCGCCGCCGCCCCTGCGCCGCCAGAGCAGGATTCAAGCCACCCGCGATCCTCGCCCGCAGCCCCGCGGGGAAACCGCGCAGCCCACGGGGGTGGCCCCGGCGGCATTCGGTTGTCGCACCGCAAAGGAGCAGCAATCTCAGCTTCTCAGGCAGCGACTCCCTTTCTCGGTCTGCTTCGCCCCCCGGGCCCATTGCCATGGCGGCGACGGTGACCCCCCACTTCGCCATCGCACTGGCACCGATCCATCTGACCTGTCCCAGCGTTGGTATGTCGTCCACACTGCTTCTTCTCCATCTTTTCCTCCTTTGCACCCGACTCCGCGCCCGCGCGACGGCATTACTCGCGCTGCCAGACCGCCCCAGGCGCCCCACCTACCCTCGCCGCCCCACAAGGTCTCAGCCGCGCGGCGCCCGCAACCAACCAGCAGCACGCACATCAATCAGCACGATCTCCAGCACCCAGCATCCGACTATCCACGTCCACCTCCACCTATCGACCTCCAACCTGCGCGTTCCAGCCTCCAGCACCCAGCATCCGACTTTCCACTTCCACTTCCACCTATCGACCTCCAGTTTCCACCTGTTGACCTCCAGCTTCCACCACCTCAGCGTTCCGATCTGCTAAATCCAGCATCTGACTTTCTACTTCCAGCTCCACCTATCGACATCCAGCTTCCGCCACCGCAGCGTTCCGACCCAGCACCCAGCATCCGACTTTCTACTTCCACCTCCACTTAGCGACGTCCAGCTTTCGCCCAACGACCCAAGCCTGACCGGACTCCGAGAGTCGCTCCAGCAGCAGCGGCGGCGGCAACAACAATTGCAGCAGCCCCTGGGGCTCTGGGAGATGTGCATGTCACCGCGGCCAGGCCTCCCACCCGACCAGAGCACCCCCGTCTGGGTCTGGTTCCCTGAACCTCCACCGCGCCACGGCGAGATGCAGTTGGACAAGGACGCCCAGGCCTGGGACCAGCAGCACAACGCCCACGACCATCACGACATTAAGACCAGCCATCCCGACAACGTCAACGGCAACATCGCCGTCACCGCGGCCAGCCTTCATACTTCCACCTCCAGACTGCGCCAGCAGCAACTCCACGGGACGAGCCAAGGGCGGTTGACTACAATTTAGCCCGCGTCGGGAGGGCACACAGTCGAAAGCACGATGCACATGCCGCCCGTGCCACAGGAGGCTGTGGCGCCAGCAGTGCCGGCGGAAATCGGGACACAGCCGCGCAGACAGCTCCAGCCACCTCAGCGCTCCGACCTCCAGCATCCAACATGCGCCTCTCCACTCTCACCTCCAGCTATCGACCTCCAGCTTCCACCACCTCAGCGCCCCAGACTCCTGCATCCGACATTCAACTCCCACCACCACCTCGCGGCCTCCAGCCACAGCGCTCCGACCTCCAGCACCCAGCATCCGACCTTCCACTTCCAGCTCCACCAGTCGACCGCCATCTTCCACCACCTCAGCGCTCCGACCTCCCGCGCCCAGCATCCAACCTTCCACTCCCGCCTCCACCTATCGACCTCCAGCTCCTGCCGTTTCAATGCTCCGACCTCCAGCGTCCAGCATCCAACTTTCAATGTCAGCCTCCGCCCATCGACCTCCAGCTTCCGCCACCGCAGCGCTCCGACCTCCAGGACCCAGTGTCCGACCTTCCACCTCCACCTCCGCCCATCGACCTCCAGCCTTCGCCCAACGACCCAAGCCTGACCGGACCCTGCGAGTCGCTCCAGCAGCTGCAGCAGCAACAGCAACAGCAACAACAACAGCAACAGCAACAGCAGCAGCAACAGCAACAGCAGCAGCAGCAACAGCAGCAGCAATTGCAGCAGCCCCCTGGGGCTCTGCATGGGAGCTTTGCCCGCTACCGCGGCCAGGCCTCCCGCCCGACCAGAGCGCCCCCGTCTGGGTCTGGCTCCCTCCGGGTCATCCGGGGACCACCCCCAGCAGTGCCCGCAAACTCAGGAGGGAAACAAAAAACACAGACACAATTAATCGTCGATCCCCAGGAAGATATGAGAAAATATGGGAAGTGGGGGGGAAGACAAAAACCCAGAAAATATAAGAAAATATAGGGAATAGTTTTGTTTGTGTGTATTTATTTGTGTGTCCCAGGGCCCCTTCACAAACCTCCATCGCGCTGCCCCGGCGCACGGGGCTCCATACCTCGAGCACTCCCCGACGGCGACGGCTCGCCCCACCCTCGGTGAGCCGGCGGCCCCGCCCTCGCGCCCGCAGTCCCGCCGCGGACTATAGGGGCACCATTTTTACTCGTTGCCTCCTCCTTCTCTTCTTCTTCGGCAGGCTAAGCCTCCTCCTCCTCCTCCTCCTCCTCCTCCTCGTCCTCCTTGAAGCGTTTTCACAGCGGTACTGTTTCTTGTCATATGCGGGTGTTGTTGGGGCGGGGGGTCTGGTGGGGCCCTGCCCTGACGCTTCTGGGAAGGGCGTCAATTGGAGAAACCTCAGGGCCTTAGGGAGAGGCTGAAATCATCCGCACCGTGGATACTTGCCCACGTCACCCACACTCTGTCCTAAAGTGGGCGAGTGACGCTATTGCAGTGAACAGGTTAGGCGGGCCACGTTTAGCGTCAATTCCGCCTGGCGTAGCAGGCGGGTGGACAAAGCAGGGCGAGTCGTGTGCAGACAATTTGGCGATGGCCGCGCTTAGCGAGCACAGTCGGTAAAAACAGCACGGCCGTGGCACGTCAGCCACACATACACACCCAGAGATTGTGTGAGACAGTTCGGCCCCTTCACTCCGTCTGTCTTCCCTCGTCCCTCGACGCTTCCAAAGCCGTCCACCTCCACTTGTATCTCGTTTTACTTTAAGGTCTTGTCTCCGAGGAGGCAGCTGCCACGGGCTCTAAGAAAAGGGTCCAGACTCTTGGAGTCAGGGCCCAACATGGCTGCACGTCCCGGTGCTCATTCATTCAGGGTTGGCCAGACTTCGGGGGCCAGACTCGTTCCTTTCCATTGGTTCCATGTCTAGCCTTTTGCAGCCATCCTGGGGGCAGGCGCAGTCAGAGGTCAGCAGTGCCAGCCGAGAGACGAGTGCAGAACCTGTTGCCCATCGGGCCAAGGAGAGAGCCCTCCCTGGACTTGGACCCGATCTCGAGCGGCTCCTTGTTCTCTCGTGCACGCACCCGGGCCTCCGCTCGCCGCCGCCCAGGTTCTGCAGAACGGCGTCAAGATGACGAACGAGCCTCCCTCTGGGCTGCGGGCGAATCTGCTGCGCTCCTACTCCCTGGTCACGGACATCGGATGTCGTCAGAACCCCCCGCCCCGCCAAATCGACCAGCGAATTGCCCTTGCTCGGCTCTCAGGATTGCGTTGTGGCCCCACGTTTTTATCGGGCCTGCGAACGCAAGGTCTGGTCTTGGGCCGTTTTCGCTGAGGGGTGTTTTCCAATGGGGGGGTTATTGCTACCGCCGAGGACAAGTTGTTCGAGGAGTCGGAGAAGCCAGAGGTTTTCAAGCCAATGCTCTTCGGTTTCTGTTTCTTCCACGCCGTCGTGCAGGACCGCAGGAAGTTCGGGCCCATCGGCTGGAACATTCCGTACGGCTTCACGCCAGAGGACTTGGCCGTGTGCCGCCAGCAGCTTATGCTCTTCATCAATCAGTACGAGGAAGTTCCTTACAAGGTCCTTAACTTCCTCGGCGCCAGCATCAACTACGGTGGGCGCGTCACAGACGACAAGGACAAGTTGCTTATATCCACCATCCTGCAGACCTTCATTTGCCCCGAGGCAGTCCAGCAGAAAGAGGAGTATAAGTACTCGACCAGCGGGTACTACTACGCCCCGCAGGCTAGGTCCGTCAAGCGCGTGCATCCAAGCCTACGCTTGTGCACGTCAACTTTAAACTTGGAACCACAATCGTCACGTTGCAGTCGGGATCGAATTCGAAAAACCTTGTTTCTTGAATTCGAACTCGCGCTCGAACGTTGATGCCCGGTGAGGCTGACACCGTGGAGCAGTTTGTGGAGTACATCCGTGGCTTGCCGCTGTTCCCGATGCCGGAGGCGTTCGGTCTGCACGACAATTGCAACATCACGTGTGCACAGGACGAGGCTCTGAAGTTGCTCGTCGGAATGACCAGCATGGTCTCTGCGGGGGGATCGGGTGAAGGGGGCAAGTCCGCGGACGACGTGATGGACGAGACGGCCGCTGGAATTCAGGAACGCATGCCTAACCCGTTCCCGTTGGACCTGTGCGAGGTGCGGTTCCCGACTAGATACGATGAGTCAATGAACACAGTGGTGAAGCAGGAGTGCCTGCGGTACAACAAGCTGCTCTGGGAGATGGACGCATCTTTGAAGGCTTTCCGCAAGGCTATCAAGGGATTGATCGTCATGACTTTCGATCTCGAGCAGGTGGGCAAATCGATGTTTGTGAACGAGGTCCCTGAGCTGTGGTCGAAGAAGGGTCCCCTGTCCTTGAAGCCGCTGAGCAGCTGGTACCTAGACATCATTGCACGCTGCGGCTTCTTCCAGATGTGGTACGATCTCGGCAAGACGCCTCCGTGCCATTGGATTAGCGGTATCTTCTTCCCGCAGGCTTTCTTCACGGGGGCTATGCAGAATTACGCTCGCAAGTATGGGGAAGAGATCGACCTTTTATCGTACAGCCAGAAAACTTTGGACGATATCGTGGAGCCGAAGCATGAGCTCAAGGAGGCTCCCGAGGACGGCGTCTACATATACGGCTTGTTCCTCGAGGGGTGCCGCTGGGACCGATCGTCCCACCAGCTGGAGGACTCTAAGCCCAAGGAGCTGTTCACCGAGATTCCCGCCCTGTGGTTCCTGCCGGTCGGAGTTTCTCCGCTCTGCTCGCCAATCCGATTACACCGCCCTTCCCCTCCCCAGCAGTCTTTGTGGGCTGATCATGGGCGTGTAGAGAATCTGGGGGGGCCCAGGAGGGGGAGGATGGAGGACAAGGTCGGGGCCCTCCCAGGTCAAGAACCGGGTCCCCAACCCGCTGGACTACCGCTGTCCGACGTACAAGGTGCTGTCTCGCAAGGGCGTGCTCCTCACGACGGGCCACAGTACGAACTTTGTGCTTTACTTGGAGCTGCCCACAGACCAGCCCGTGAGCAAGTGGATCAAAGCGGGTGTGGCAGCCTTCTTGGCCCTCAAACACTGAGCGGTCTCAGCTCTGTATGCGTGCACGCCCCGACATCTGGCGTTGCAAGTAACGGCGCGACAGAGTGAACGGAGTAGCCGAAGGGAAGTCTCGACCCAGCCCGTCTGCGGGTCTCCTCGGGCTGGATCGATCCGTGAGGACCACACGGCCCGAGGCGGGGGGGGGGGGGCAAACGTCTGGCGCGTTTCTTTATTTTTGTTTGTTGTTCTTATTATTGTTCTCCTTCGTCTTCTTCTTCTTATTATTATTATTATTATTATGATTATTCTTCTTATTATTCTTCTTCTTATTCTTCTTCTGCATGGCACCAAATGTCAGGGTATGTAGAGCCCAGGCGCGGAAGGCGCGCCAGGGTTCATCGTGAGGGAGTGGCGCCGCGCAGTGGAGACAGGAGGTGGCGCTGCCGCCCTTCGCGTTTGCCGGGGGCGGCGCGCGCGCCTCTCGGGTGGCGGGGACTGTGAGACTTGCAGGCGTCGCGTCAGCAGCGCTGAAAAGCATGCGGTCAGTGGGAGACGAGGAGGAAGACGAGGAGGGGGAGGGGGAGGAGGAGGAGGAGGAGGAGGAGGAGGAGGAGGAGGAGGGGGAGGAGGGGGAGGAGGAGGAGGAGGAGGGGGAGGAGGAGGAGGAGGAGGAGGAGGAGGAGGAGGAGGAGGAGGAGGAGCAGGAGAAGAAGATGGCGGAGGAGGAGGAGGAGGCATGTTTCTTCGAGTCGCCGGCGTCGTTCATCCAAGGTCGGGCAGGCAACGAGAAGGGGTGAGTGTGCAAGGGTATGTACCCAGACCTCAGAGGTTGTTGTTTACTCGAGTTCTCGACCGCTTCCCCATAAGCCCCAGAGGCCGAACCGGTTACCACGAGTGGCAAAGTTTATCCGATGGAGGTCTGGGCTGGAAGAGCAGTAGAGGAGTAGGATGAGGAGGAGAGGGAACTGAGGAGGTGGAAGACCAGGAGGAGGAGGAGGAGGAGGAGGAGGAGGTGGTGGACGAGGATAGTGAGGGCTCGGGTGAGTGGGAGGAGAGGAGAAGGGATCAGGGGCGGCAGAAGGAGAGGATTGGAGGAGGAGCATGTGGGGAGGAGGAGGCCAGTCAGCCAGGTCGGACCAGTCAGCGGGCCCCGCCGAGTCGCACCCTCCCTCCCACAATTGCCATATATGAAGAGAAAGTGGCGCAGCCTGTCGGATAATGGGGGATCGAGAGACAAGACGCAGGTACGTACACGCTGGTCGTTGGAAGTAGGTATTTTTGGATGTGCAGATCCCAGTCTACTTCAAGCGCCTTCCTACTTCAAGAATCGGCACGCTTTTGCTGTGTTTTGTTATTCTCTGGGGGGGCCTGGACCCAATCAACTTAATCCGCCTTCCTACTTCATGTTTTTACCTACTTCTTCCGACCGACGTGTACTTGGTGCCCTTGGGGCTGGAGCCAAGCTGCAGCCGGTGCCTGGTCTTGTTGTGCTGGCGGCGGTCCGCAGGCGGCCCTGCCCAAAGTAGCTTTGGCGCCGAGTGCGCCACCAGGCCAGGGTCAGGTCGGGCCTGTCCCTCTGCAGGAGGAAGATTCCCAAATAGTCAAAGATTCGTGCGTGGACGATGTTTTACTGCACGTGGCCATTTCCGAGTTTCATGTTTGGGGTATGTTCCGTCGTTCGCCCAAAGAGCGCCTGCAGAGGGACAGGCCCGACGTGAGGCTAGGGGCCGCGGGGTCGCGTCCCCGCTGGGCCGCGTGCCTGCCGGTCGTCCGCAGGGCGCCGCCTCAGGCGCTGCTGCGTCGCCGGGGCTCTCGCTGCCCCTGCCGTGCCGCGTCCCTGCCCTGCCGCAGTTGCCGGGGCGCCGCTCCGGAAGCGCGGGGCGCCGCGGGTCGACACGGACCTGCTGCTGAGAGGAGGAATCACCACCTGCCAAACCACCCAAACCCAACCCGAAGGCCTCAATCTGCCCTCCATTTTCCAGTGGGGGGGGGGTCGGGGAACATAGAAAAAACACGCATGGAACCCATGAGCCCCCCCCCCCGACCCGAAATTCGGGCCTTCGGGTTGGGTTGGGGTGGTCTGGTAGGTAACTCAAGGAAGGAGGTACCCACACCTCTGCCCTTGCCTCGTTTTCCCCCTGCTGGGTCTCCTGGGCGGCCCTCGTCGCCACCGCTGGGCTCGCCTCGGAAAACCCTGGTCAGAGCGCACCCCGTGAGAGGTCCGGGGAGCAGCGGCCGCGGTACCTTCTGGTCTCCCCGGCTGCGGCGCGGCCCGAGCCCTGCCGCTGCGCGGCAGGGCTCCGGACGCGGCGCGGAGGGATCGCTTCCCCGCCCGCTCGCCCTCGCCGTGCGGGGTCGTGCGCGAGAGGATGCTGCGCGAGAGGTCGGCGTCGGCCTGCGCGCGGCTGCCACCTCGGGGCCCCGCTGTCCCGAGGCAGGCCTGCCGGCACAGGAGTGCTGGGGAGGTGCTCCGCGGAGTCGTCTCCCCGCGGCTCCTCCTCGGGCGGGCTGGGTTATGCGAGTGCGGGCAACAGTTATATCCACATCCAGTGCGTCTTGGAGCTTTGGGCTCTCTTCCACAGAAACTGGAGGCGCACTGGATATCGATAAAAATCTTGCCCCAGAATGTTAGATTGTTTTTCATATCCAGTGTGCCTCGGCCTTGCGGCACCCCTTCCCAACAAGTGCACGACGCTCTGGATATGGATATAAGTGCCCGCAGCGAGGCCCCCTGATGTTGGGGGTCAGGCATCTGCGAGGGCGCCGGATGATGGGACTCAATGGTTGCACCGCTTGGTCTTGGGACTGGCACGCCCATGTATAGGGGAGACCCGTGTATGGCACTGCAGAAAGTCCTTGCGCGGCGATGTCCCGAGATCGCCCTTCGGCCTTCTTTGCTCGAGCGGTCAAATTCCCGATGGGCACGGAAGGCACGACGCATGCGCCGCGCCGAGACAGCAGAGCAGCACTTCAGAAAGTCCGCCATGCGGCGGGATCGCCCATCGGCCGGCCTTTTTTTGCTCGAACGGCCAAATTCCCGACGGGCACGGCGGACACGAAGCATGCGCCGCGCCGAGACAGCAGAGCAGCATTCCAGAAAGCCCTTGCGCGGCGATGCGGCGAGATCGCCCTTCGGCCTTTTTTGTTCGAACGGCCAAATTCCCGATGGACACGTCGAGCGCGACGCACGCGCCGCGCCGAGGCAGCGGAGCAGCACTTCAGAAAGTCCTTGCGCGGCGACGCGGCGGGATCGCCCCTCGGCCTTTTTTGCCCGAGCGGCTAAATCCCCGGCGGGCACGGCGAGCGCGACGCATGCGCCTCCCCCAGACAGCAGAGCAGCATTTCAGACAGTCCTTGCGCGGCGATGCGGCACGATCGCCCTTACGTTTTTTGTTTGCTCGAGCGGCCAAATTTCCGATGGTCGCGGCGAGCACGACGCATGCGCCGCGCCGAGACAGCAGAGCAGTATTTCAGAAAGTCCTTGCGCGGCGATGCGGCCCTTGCGCGGCGATGCGGCGAGATCGCCCTTCGGCCTTTTTTGCTCGAGCGGCCAAATTCCCGACGGGCGCGGCGAGCGCGGCGCATGCGCCGCGCCGAGACAGCAGAGCAGCACTTCAGAAAGTCCTTGCGCGGCGATGCGGCGAGATCGCCCTTCGGCCTTTTTTGCTCGAGCGGCCAAATTCCCGACGGGCGCGGCGAGCGCGGCGCATGCGCCGCGCCGAGACAGCAGAGCAGCACTTCAGAAAGTCCTTGCGCGGCGATGCGGCGAGATCGCCCTTCGGCCTTTTTTGCTCGAGCGGCCAAATTCCCGACGGGCGCGGCGAGCGCGGCGCATGCGCCGCGCCGAGGCAGCGGAGCAGCACTTCAGGAAGGCCGCCGGATTTCCGACGGTCGCGGCGGGCGCGGCGCATGCGCCGCGCCGAGACAGCAGAGCAGCACTCCAGAAAGTCCTTGCGCGGCGATTCGGCGAGATCGCCCGTCGGCCCTTTTTTTTTCGCTCGAGCAGCCAAATTCCCGACGGGCGTGGCGGGAGCGACGCGTGCGCCGCGCCGAGACAGCAGCGCCGCTTGCACGCGCAGGCTGCGCGCACAAGCGCCTGCGCGAGGACAGCAGCGCCAGGCAGCAGCCCCTGCGCGAGGGCAGCCGCTCGCCCGCCCTCCCGCGGCTCCGCTGCCGCTGCCGCGCTCCTGCGCTGCGGCCCCCCGCGAGAGGGGCGCCGCGCCCACACGCGGAAGCAGCGCGTCCGGGCGACATGTGCGCGGAGATCTTGGGCGAGGGGGCGGCCAGGCGCCCGCTCGCTCCGGAGCCTGCCCCCCGACGGCCCCGCGACTGAAGCAGGTGTGTTGCGCCGAGGCGGAGCGGGTGGAGGAGGGGGTTTGGAGAAGGGAGAGGACGTGGACGAGGAGCGAGGCAAAAAAGGGGAGGGGAGGGTGAGGTGGAGGAGGACGAGGAGGAGGACGAGGAGGAGGATGAGGAGGAGGAGGAGGAGGAGGACGAGGAGGAGGAGGAGTAGGGGCATGATCAAGTAAGCCAGCTCGAGCGAGTCAAGCATGGCATGCCCATTCCCACCCGCCCTCCCACAACAGAACAAACAGTGCTGACGCATCCGGGGGCCAAAATCAGATCGGCAAGGTGGTTTGGCACAGCTGATGCAGCCGCGATGGCGTTTACCGATGGGAAATTCCTGGCGCGTCTCAAAAGCTGCGCTGGCATTTTAGCACGAGCCGAGGACGCCCCAGGAGGCCCCAGGAAATTTCAGGAGGCCCCAGGAAGCCTCAGGAGGCCCCAGAAGATTGCAGGAAACCCCAGCGAACCCCAGGCGGCCTTAGGATGTCCCCTGAGGCTTAAGGAAGCTCTAGGAGGTGCCAGGAAGCCCTGGGGAATCCTAGGAGGCATCCGGAGGCCCCAGGAGGATCCACGAGACCTTTGGGAGGCCCCGGGAAACCCGACGACTTGGCGAGCTGGAGGCCCCAGGAAGCCTCAGGAGGTCCCAGGAGAATCCACGAGGCCCTGGGCTGACCCCAGGAGGCACTATCATGCCGCAGGATGTTCCAGGAGGCCCTGGGAGGCCCCGGGCGCCAAACGAATTGGAGAGCGAAACATGTGCGCTGCGCCTGTGCGGGAGCGCAACCTTCAGAAAACATGCGCGCTGCGCAAAGGCGAGAGCGACACTTCGTCCTGTGACGAACTGGCGAGCTGGAGGCTTCAGGAAGCCTCAGGAGGCCCCAACAAAACCCACGAGGCCCTGGGAGTCCCTGGGCGCCCAACGAATTGGCGAGCGAACGTGTGCGCTGCGCCTGTGCGGGAGCGCAACTTTCAGAAAACATGCGCGCGCCGCCAAGGCGAGAGCGACATTTGGTCCTGTCGCGCGAGACTGCGCCGCGCCCCATCCTTGCCACGCGTTTCGCAACGCCGACGACAAGAAAATCCACGTTGAGAAGAGACAGGTCGACATTGCATTTTTGGGGGACTGGTCGGATGGCCCGTCCCGCTTGGGGTTGCCCCAGACGTCCGCGCGAGGTGTGCGCCGCGTCCCGCTCTTGCCACGCATTTCGCACCGTCGACGACAAGATAGGCCAAGCTGAGAGCAACAACGACTCTGTATTGATTTGTTTCAGTTCGGGTGGGAGGGCTGAGATTGACGGCCGCGCGCAATGTACGCCGCGTCCCACTCTTGTTATTCATTTCGCATCGTCGACGACAAGACAGGCCATGCTGAGAGAAACAGCAACGACTCTGTATTGTTTTTTTTTGAATTCGGATGGGAGGGCCCCGATTGACGGCCGCGCGCGATGTGCGCCGCGTCCTAGCTACGCATTCCGCATCGTCGACGACAAGAAAAGCCACGTTGAGAGAAACAGCGGCGACTTTGTATTGACTGTTTACAGTTAGGATGGGAGGGCCCGGATGGAACCGCGATCGGCTGGCCACAGGGGGGAGTACGAATATATTCCACTAAGGAATAAGGATAGGGAGGAGGAGGAGGAGGAGGAGGAGGAGGAGGAGGAGGAGGAAGAGTTGAGGAAGAGTTTAGGAGGAGGGGGGTGGTAGGGAGGAGGAGTAGGAGGAGGAGGAGTTGAGGAGAGGAGAAGGAGAAGGAGGAGGAGAGGAGGAGGAGGAGGAGGAGGAAGAGGCAGAGGAGAGGAGGAGGAGGAACAGGGAGGAGGAGGAGGAGGAGGAGAGGAGGAGGAGGAGGAGGAGGTGCAGGAGGAGGGGGAGGAGGAGGAGGAGGAGGAGGAGGAGGAGGAGGAGGAGGAGGAGGAGGAGGAGGAGGTGCAGGAGGAGGAGGTGCAGGAGGAGGAAGAGGGCATTTTTCTCCTGCCTTTACCCCTCCGCGGCCATTTCGGCTCAAGCGCGCTGTCGGGGGAGCTGGGGCACCTTGGTGACGGGGCCACGGGTGAGCGCTGCCTGGGGCGGCCGCTTCCCGCAGCGGCTGAGCCCAGGTCGCCCTCCTGACGATCGGCGCCGAGGGCCTCGGCGTGCATGAGAACGAGTGCCTTGTGACATGCGCGCCTGCGAGTCCATCGGCGCTGGGGGTCCCGACGCCACCATGCACGAGTACCTCCTGACGATCGGCGCCGGGGGCCTCAGCGTGCACAGGCTCGCGCGCGAGGAGCTGCGGAGCGTCGTCGGCGCGCAGCGCGTGGAGGACAGCGGCGTGGGCGGCCAGGCGAGGCGTATCTTCTTCTGGGCGCTGCCGCAGCCGTCGCAGTTTTGCGAGCTGAAGGAGCTCACAGAAGGGCGCTCTAGAAAGGGGCCTCGCCTCCGAGGAACGTGTGGGGTTCGCCGCTCCTTCTGCGCGGAAGGCGGCGGACGCAAGCAGAACGGGGGCAGGACCGCTGGCGGAAGCAAGAGGGGCCACCAAGAGATGCCAGTCTGTGCGGGGGCGATCCGGGGGTTCTGGAGCGGGCCGCCTCAAGAGCATTGGGTCCTGCAGGACAGGGCTTCTGCCCCTCCCCAGTCGCTGGGACCGTCACAGAAGGCCTGGCCTCACGGGCCCCTATGAGGGCGGAAGAGGAGCGAGGGGGGGGGACTGTCCGCCACAGCGGAACCCCTCCACGAGGGCTTCAGGAGGCGTGGGGAGGTGGCCGCCAGTGCGGCGCCCCCCCAGAGAGGCAGAGGAGGAGGAGGAGGAGGAGGAGGAGGAGGAGGAGGAGAAGGAGGAGGAGACCCTGACGAGGCCTGCCTGCACGGGCGGCCGCGCCTGCGCGAGCGAGTCTTGTGATTCTCGACTCCCCCGCCATGCTCGGAGGGCGAGGGCGATGGCCCCACGGGCCTGGGCCCTGCTCTCCTCCGGTCTACCCCTCTCGCGCCCGAGGTGCCCGAGAAGGTGTACGCCGTGGTCCTGCGCGTGCCCACCCGCGACCTGGGGCTGCCGGAGGGGGAGGCCGAGGCCGAGGCCGCGCTGGCCGCCGCCGTCGTCTCCAGCGGCGGCTGGGCGCCCGCGCTGGAGATCGTGGGCAGCGTGGCGGGAGGATCGGCTCAGGGGGGGGGGCGCGCCGACCCCCGACGGCTCACCGATTGCCGACAGGGGCCGGAGTGCCCCATGCGCCCATGGCGGTGCGCAGTCGCCATCGGGGGCGCATCGCCGATCTGTCGGTGATGTATCGCGGGTCGCCGATCTGTCGGTGACGTATCGCCGGTTCAGGCTCCATGTTTCTCCCCCCTGAGCTGGTCGCCCCCGAACGTTGCCCCTCAGAAGGGAGGCTGGGGGAGAGATGGGGGGCAAGGCAGGTGCGCTCGCGCCATCTCCGACGTCCTAAGTACACTCCCACCCATGCCTCACCGTTACGCTCATCTTTCTTTGTCCTGCCGACGAGTGTATTGGCGGACATGGACATCCCCAAAATAGCCCTCCCGTGTCACTGTTAGGAGAAACTAGCGAGGGGGGCTGTGCTCATCACCGCCACCCTTATCATATTATGGGGAGGAGGAGGAGCAGGAGGAGGAGAAGGAGGAGGAGGAGGAGGAGGAGGAGGAGGCGGAGGCGTAGGCGGAGGCGGAGGCGGAGGCGGAGGAGGAGGGGGAGGAGGCCGAGGAGGAGGCGGCGGAGGCGGAGGCGGAGGCGGGGGCGGAGGCGGAGGCGGAGGCGGAGGCGGAGGCGGAGGCGGAGCGGAGGCGGAGGCGGAGGCGGAGGCGGAGGCGGAGGCGGAGGCGGAGGAGGAGGAGGAAGAGGAGGAGGGAGGAGGAGGGAGGAAGAGGGAGGAGGAGGGAGGAGGAGGGAGGAGGAGGGAGGAGGAGGGAGGAGGAGGGAGGAGGAGGCGTAGAAGGAGGAGGAGGAGGCGGAGGAGGAGGCGGAGGAGCCTACCGCTGCCCCCGAGGAGAGCTGGAGGGCCTTCGCTGGCGCGGGCGGCGGCGAGGCGGCAGGCGCGGGCGTGGCGCGAGGGCCCCGCAGCTTCCGCGTCTCGGGCTACCGCGCCGGGCGGCTCGCGGCGCAGCTCTCTTCCAACGGCATATCCGAGGCAGTCGGCGAGGCCCTCGCGGAGGCGCGAGGCTGGCAGGCGAGCGGCGACGCGAAACGGGGCCTCTGCGGCTCGTCGTCGTCGTCGTCGTCGTCGTCGTCGTCGTCGTCGTCGTTGTTGTCGTCATCGTCGTCGGTGTCGTCGTCGTCGTCGTCGTCGTCGTCGTCGTCGTCGTCGTCGTCGTCGTCGGTGTCGTCGTCGTCGTCGTCGTCGTCGTCGTCGTCGTCGTCGTCGTCGTCGTCATCGTCGTCGGTGTCGTCGTCGTCGTCGTCGTCGTCGTCGTCGTCGTCGTCGTCGTCGTCGTCGTCGTCGTCGTCGTCGTCGTCGTCGTCGTCTCGCGGGATGACTGCTTGAGGGGAACGAGCAATGACATAAGCATAATTCGGAGGTGCGCGCGGATTCCTCGGACCGGCGCTGCAGCCCCTGGCGGCGCCTTTGGCGCCGCCCCTGGCGCGCTCCGCGCACCAGGGAGGGGTGTCCAGCTCCGATCCGAGGAATCCGCACGGACCTCCGAGTTGTTATGTTTAATCATGTCATTGTTTGTTCGCCTATGCTAGGGCACTGTCGCGAGAGCTGCCCGCATGTTCTTCGCCTATGTTGGGCACCCTCTTCTGTCACTGTTTGTTCGCCTATGTTGGGCACCCTCTTCTCCACGCGCTGCGCCGCGTCAGCGGCCGCGTGAGCCACCGCGCTGGGTCGCCACGTCCTCTTGGGCCCGTCGCTCAGGTGGACCTGAAGGGCTTCGAGCTCGAGGCGGTGATGGACATCTCTAAGACCGAAGCCAAAACACAGAGACACAAACGCTCCGAGACTCTCCGAGATGCAAGGATCGAGGAACCCAAGTCATCTGGCGCCTCGGACGGATCGAGGCTGCCGATGTGTTGTCGAGTTTGATATGTAGCACGGCTCTGGGCCTCGGGGCCGTCAAACATGACTCTGAATTTTTTCCCTCCCCCCCCAAAAAAAGTTGAGAGGTCCAGCCCACACATCGATAAAACACCAGTCGGACGTCCGCGCGGACGCTCCGAGACTCGGCGCCGCACGCCTGCTATCCCTGCCGCCCGGGGCTGCGATGCCGGCGCCGCCCTTCGGAGCTCTCCGCGCGCTCGGGGAAGGAGGCCTTATTCATGGCTTTTTGAAATCAAGAGAAAAAAATGTCTGAATGGAAGAACCAGTTTTGTTGAGTTCAAACAGCCAGTTTTGTTGACTTCCAAAAACCAGCAATCCCCGAGGTGAGGGGGGGAGGGCCAGGGCCGACTCGAGAAATCCGCGCGGCCCTCTGACAGCGCATGACAGTTGCATGCAGAGCGCACCACCACCACATCCATGCCTCCGTGCCCGGCGATCTTGGGCCCCAGGACGGTGAGCACCCTCCTGACCTCGGCCGCGAGGGCAGGTGCACGATGCCAGGGCCCAGAGGAGGGGGGGGGAGGGGGAGGAGGGGGAGGAGGGTGCACGGGCGCCATCCGCGCACACTGCTCTGCGGGGCCGCCGATCTGCGTGCCCCCCTTGCCAGCGCGGCGGGCCCGCCGCGCGGCCGCGCGGCAGCACCGCGGCGGGCCTGCCGCGCTCGCAAGGAGGAGGAGGAGGCGGAGGAGGAGGAGGGGGAGGAGGAGGAGGAGGAGGAGGGGAGGAGGAGGAGGAGGAGAGGAGGCGGAGGAGGGAGGAGGAGGAGGAGGAGGGGGGGCGAGGAGGACGGGCGAGGAGGAGGAGGAGGAGGAGGAGGGAGGAGGAGGAGGAGGAGGAGGAGGAGGAGGAGGAGGAGGAGGAGGAGGAGGAGGAGGAGGAGGAGGAGGAGGAGGGAGGAGGAGGAGGAGGAGGAGGAGGAGGAGGAGGAGGAGGAGGAGGAGGAGGAGGAGGAGGATGAGGAGGAGGAGGAGGAGGAGGAGGAGGAGGAGGAGGAGGAGGAGGAGGAGGAGGAGGAGGAGGAGGAGGAGGAGGAGGGAGGAAGGAGGAAGGGGAGAGAAGGGGGGGAGGAGGAGAGGAGGAGGAGGAGGCGGCGGAGGAGGAGGAGGAGAGGAGGAGGAGGAGGAGGAGGGGAGGAGGAGGGGGAGGGGAGGAGGAGGAGGAGGGAGGAGGGAGGAGGAGCAGGAGCAGGAGGAGGAGGAGGAGGAGGAGGAGGAGGAGGAGGAGGAGGAGGAGGAGGAGGAGGAGGAGGAGGAGAGAGGAGGAGGAGGAGGGGAGGAGGAGAGAGGAGGAGGAGAGGAGGAGGAGGAGGAGGAGGGGGGGCGAGGAGGAGGGGCGAGGAGGAGGAGGAGGAAGGGGAGGAGGAGGAGGAGGAGGAGGAGGAGGAGGAGGAGGAGGAGGAGAAGCGAGGAGAAGCGAGGAGGAGGGGGAGGAGGAGAGCCGCCTCCGCCGCAGCGCGGCGGCGACGGGGCGCCGCCGCGCTGCGGCGGCGCCGCGCCCTCACGGGCCGCAGCACGCGCGGCGGAGTGGCCTCGCTCGGCGGCCCCCGGGGCGCGTCTCTGGAGCCCCCTGGCGATGACGTGGGTTACGCGCGGGTGGGGGGGGGGCGGGGGGAAGGTCGAGGCAACGTGTCGGGCGGGTGGTAATGGGGGGGTGGCCCAACTGAGGGGCGAATAATAATAATTTCCATAATACTAATAATAAGAATAATAATAATAATGGTTATAATAGTTATAATAGTATTATTATTAATGATAATCATACTTATAGTAGTAATTTTATTATTACTATTAATAATAATACTAATAATAATAATCATAATGATAATAATAATAATATCAATAATAATAATACTAGTATTAATAATCATAATAATAATAACAATAACAATAATAATAACAACAAACAGAAGACCCTTCTAAACCTTCAGGGCCCGTTTTAGGCACCAACCTGCTGAGGGGGGGAGCACCCACTCTCACACGGATCACCGAGAGGTGCCAGATTGCCCCATCCGCCCAGGAGCGCGCAGAGTCGGCATCGGGTGTCTATCGCCGATCTGTCGGATATGCATCGCCGATTCAAGCTCGGTATTACACCCATGAGCTGGTCGCCTCCTGGCGTTGCTACTCAGGATGGAGGTGCGGGGAGAGAGGGGGCAAGACAGGTGCGCTTGCGCAGCATCCGGCTTCCTTGCCATTACGCTTATACGACTCTGCCTGCTGGCTGGTGTCGTAGCGGTCCTGGCGCCCTCCTAATAGCCCTTTCTGTGTCATTGCTGCGAGAAGTCGGCACGGGGAGTTGTGCTCACCACCACCATCCTCCGATGAGGAAGAGGAGGAGGACGAGGAGGAGCAGGGGGAGGAGGCGGAGGAGAAGTAGTAGGAGGTGGAGGATGAGCAGGAGGATGGGCGTGGGGAAGAGGAGGATGAAGCAGAAGGCGGCGGATGAGGAGCATGAGCAGCAGCTGCAGAAGCTGTAGCAGGAGCAGGAGGAGCCGGAGGAGGGAGGGAGGCGCAGCGGAAGGCGGGGGCGGGGAGAGGACGGGGGCGACAACGACGAGGGAGCACTCGGATCCAGAAAAGCGTGGCCCGCGCCGGGGCGCGAGCGCTACTCCTTGAACGACGGAGGGCAGAGTGATGATCCTGAATTGAGGCCAGCGCTGTCGCGAGAGCACCAGTTGGCATTTGCTGACAAACCTTCGGGTTTGCCGGCGTGGACCCCAGACAGTGAGTCATCGCACTTTCGAAGTGTAGGCGAGCCGTGTGGCGCGGTGGCAACGAAGAGCCCGTACGTACAATCACTGTTTGGGGAGCAAGGTTCGACATCCGACGCGCTGAAAGATAGCCTGCGACATGCGCTGAAAGATAGCCTCGCACAGGATTGCGAGCACGTAGTACTGGTAGAAAAGCGGGCGGGCGGCGGAAGAAGGGGGCTCAGGGGGCCGGTGACGGCACGATGTGCGCCAGCGCCCTCTCGGAAGCAGGTGCTCGACGGCGCCGGCGCGAATCGTGACGTCACCGGGGGGACGGGGCCAGGGTGGGCGCCCCCTTTTGCAGCGGGCGCCGTCTTGAATCGTCAGTCAGCCACGCGCAGAGGGGGGTGAGGGGATGGGGGAGGGCTTCTTAGAAGCACCCCTGCTTCTTGGAAGGCGCGGGCCTTATCCATAGATGTAAGGCCGGCGCCTTCTAAGAAGCAGCCTCCTTCTAAGAAGCCCTCCCCCCTCCACCCCACCCCCTTGTGCGCGCCGCCAAGTCAGTGCACGTCAGCGAGGTGGTGGTGCACATCAACGACGACATGCTGCTCGTGACGGTCCCGCTCCTGGAGCGCCGCGCCGCCCCGCAGGCCAACTTCGCCCTGCCCGGCCTGGCGCAGCCCGTGGCGTGGGCGGTGGCCAGGAGCGCCAACATCGCCCCGGGCGAGCTGGTCGTCGATCCGATGTGCGGCTCCTTCGCGGATCCGAACCGTTCTTCGCAACGCTTGACGCTCCGCGTGCCCCCCCCAGTTTCCGCCCGGCGGCTCCCCCCCCAGTCGACGGCGCCCTCCTTCTGAGCGGCTGCGAGGCCCGCCTCCTGTTTGTTCCTCCCTCCGCTGTCCTCTCTTTTCCTCCCTCCCCCGTCCTGGTGCGCAATTCGCTCGTAGCCCGCTTGCTGCGACCTTTGGACGGCGTCCGGCGTCTCCCGGTGCGCTTGCGATCGAAAAAGTGCCCCCACCAGTCCAGCCAAAAACAATCACCAGGCGAGTTGCCCTGATCAGAGATGCGTAGTGGCATGCGGTCAGACTCTGGGAGCCTCTTGGAGGCTTCTTGGGGTCACCATGGGGCTATATTGGGACTCTGTTGGAGCCCTCCGAGGTGCGCCTCACCGACAGATCCGAACAGTTTGAGCAATTTGGGTCGGCATTTGGGGGCCGTTTTCGGACCCGGGCTTTTCCAAACGCCAGGCCCGGGCGAAAGTTGGCCACGATGGGTCCCAGGGGGTCCTGGAGGGGTCTGGGGGGTGCCCCGGGATGAACTGTTGCAAAACATACGAGTACCACCACAGCTGGCGCGAGGGTTAAGGGTTAAGACTAATCGCAGCTTTGTAGAGATACCCCCATGTGTTTCGCCGTTGGGTTCTCCACCTCGGAATGCTCTCCGTTTGGATGTCTCCATTTGGCCTTGGCCTTGGACTCCCAGCGAAGGGACCCATGTTCTTGATCCACGCTCTTGTGACCTTGTTTCGGCTGTACCGCTTCCTGTTTTCTGAGGGGGGGGGCCCGCCGCCGCGGCTGGATTCGCGTTGGAGCCTTGGTCAGGCAGCACAAAGGGAGAGGTCCAATGATTGTCTTGACCAGGATTCCGACGCGATCCCCCCCTTTTCCCCCCTTGAGATTGAATTGCGCTCCTTAGTCAGACGCGGTGTTCCCTTTGCAGCAGGAGGAGGAGAAGGAGGACGAGGAGGAGGAGGAGGAGGAGGAGGAGAAGGAAGAGGAGGAGGAGGAGGAGGAGGAGTTGTTTTTTTTTTTTTGCAAAGTCGGGACATTCCCGGGCTTTCTGCGTGGAAGTGTTATTTGGAGAGCTTCGCCCTCTGCACCGACTGCTTGCGTGCTTACGCTTGTTCGCTTGCTTAGTCTGCTTGTCGGTTGGCTGCCTGGCATCCAGGCTGGTTGGCCCGCTGCCTAAGAAGATCCTTTCTAGGCCTCTCATATGGGGTCCGAGTAGATGAGGTCGAAGGATCGCGCCGCATCGCCGATGCACCGGCGATGCGGGTCGATGAGGAGCCCGAGTTTCTCCACGCCGACGTCGCCGCTGCATCACCGAGGTTGCCAGTGCATCGCCGTTGCATCGCCGATACACCGCTTATGCATCGGCCATGCAGCGCGATCCTCCGACCACATCCACTCCGGTTCCATCTAGGAGGCCTCTACCAAGGAGATCGCTGGTAGTTGGCATTGGCTGGTTGGTTGCGTGTATCCGTGGCAGCTGATGGGGAGCGCTGGCGACCTCGGGAGCGCACTTCTGGTGTGACCTGCCGGGGTTCGCAGCCTCGGGAGCGCGCCCCCCGCCCCTTGCTATTCTCGAGGCGTCGTGGCTTCGGGTCCGATGCCGACTTTTCAGGAAGCGGCGGGGGAGCCGACAGAGCACCCCCCGAACGCGCATCCCAATGCAGAGAGTCGTGTGCAGTTCCGTTGCTCTGGACAGGGCGGCTTTGGGCAGACCCCGCGGGGTGGGTTCGTGGCCTCGGGAGCGCGACGTCTCAAAGTGCTTGCATGGGGTACTGAGGGGTTGTGGCCTCGGGCGCGCGAATCTGCCGGGAGGGAGCGCGAGCGCGCTGTGACGTATGAGGGGGTTTGCTCCGTCGACCCCACTCGGCACCGGGCCCGCGGCCGCCCCAGCCCTGGACCTGTTGTTGATCTGTCGAGGGTTCTGACCGCACGTCCATCTCGCTGTGTCGACCACAACTGGTTTGGCATCCACGGTCTTCTCTTGAGGGCCCCAAGGCGAAGCATCCGAGTGCAAGCGCAGCGCGTGATAAGGTCACGCGTCTGCTGGCAGTCCGTAAGGGCACCCAGAGGCGTCCAGAGGCCGACACGGCAGCGCGAAGTCGAATGATCCTCCAACTTTGAACGGGGGAAGTCTGGCTCCCCTCTCCAAGTCTCCGGCGCCGTGATTGCTTCAATACCCGGGCCTTGGATCTCTCGGCTCTTTTCTTTGGAAGACGCTGGGTGAGGGAGGCGCATGGTCTGGGGGGCCACCACGCTTTTGAAATGCTTCGCCATTCCATTTCAACCTTGCGGCTGGTCACCTTCACAATGTCTCACCCACTAATGTCACCCAAGCCCGTCTGCTTCGAACTTCTATTCGGACATCTGTCCCTTTCGGAGATACGCTCGGTGGTTCCATTTTTTTCGAACTCTTACACTCAGTCACCACAAAGTGTCAGGGGACCAGAAAAGGATTCCTATTCTAAAGCCGCCACAGGGGAGAGTCCGTTGTAAGGCGTCCACAAGCGGACTTCTTTTTAAGGCGGGCACGAAATTGAATTCTTTTCCAATGACGCCAGACAAATCCTCGCATAATGCGCCACTGAGGGGTCCTTTTGTAAGGTCGCCACAAAGAGAACCCTCTTATAAGGCCGCCGCAAACAAAAAAACAAGGGAATCTGTTGCGGTGCGGCCAAGCTATGTCGACAGGCAGCCACGGAAAACAAGGAAAACATTGGAAAGCAAGGGACGTAAGGACATCACATCGAAGCACAAGGAGCACTTGAACAAGCCTTAGTGTTCATTGTGTTTCCACAGGGTTTCATCGCATTGCAGTTCGTTGTTACGTAATCGTAGGTCTCCCACGGTTTGGATTGTCGATCTTGCTTTTCCATGCTATTGTTGTCTGTCTCTGTCTCTCTCCCTCTCTCTCTATAAATACGTATTATATCTTTCGCGCTCAGTGTGTTTTCATAGCTTGTACTGCTTTTCATTGTTCCCGTTTTCTGCACAGGGATGGCAGACACTTGGCCAGGCACGACAAACACAAGTTTCTTTGTGCAAGGCCGCCACAGAACTCATCTTTTTTTTCGTAGGGTTCCCACCGGAAGAACTACGTTGCGAGGCCGCCACACACGGAATTATTTGTTTTGGGTTGCCACACAAGAAATATTTCTGGAACGACATCACAAACGGATTCTTTTGCAAGGCTGCCACACAAGGAATACCTTTGCAAGGCAGCCAGGCGATTCTCGACATTCAGAAACAAGGAACACACAGCGAAACACACGGAGCAGCGGAAAACGCAGTGTGTTTTAGTCTGTACCTTCTGGTGTGCATTGTTTGTTGTATGTGTCTTCAGTTTTCATGTTTTCGAATTTGTTGTTGCTTGCGTGTTCCTATGTTTGCTCAGGTTTTCATTGTTTTCACTGCGTCATCACAGTTGTTATGTAGTGCGTGTTGCTTTGTGGGATATCCACAACTGTTGCACAGTTCTCCTTGTTGTTCGTTGTGTTCTTATTGGTTGTTTGGTTTTCTTTTTCTCCCAGAAGACATAGGGAACTTTGCCAGGGCATTACTTAAGGATGTTTTCAGTAAGGCCGCCACATATGGGATTTTGTTCTAAGGCCTCCACCAAACGAATTCTGTTACAAGGGCACCACGCAAGGAATTATTTCGCACGGCCGCCAGGAGAATAACCATCTCGAAAGCCCGCCACGAAAGGATGCTTCCGAAGGCCGCCACACAATGCATATTTCTGGAAGGGCGCCGCACAAGGAATCCCTTTGCAGGGTAGCTCAGCTATTTTCGGCAGTCAGCTGCGGAAAACAATAAAATCGATGAATTCACAACGAAGGGCAATGCTACACATACATAGTGTTGTGTTTTCGCAGGTGTCCTTGGTGTTCATTGTTGTTTGGTGTCCTGTTCAGGTTCTCATTGCCCTTGTTTGTTTCTTATTGTGGTTTCATATTTGTTATGTGGTTTCGATTGTCTTTATTAAGTTCCCACCGTAGTTTTATGCTGTCCTTGCTTTTCGTTGTGTATTCCCTTGTCTGTCTTTTTGGTCTGTGCTGTCCTTGTCTGCTGGAGGGGTGACTGAACCTCGCCAGGACACCAGTAAAGGTTTTGTCTCGCACGACCGCCGCAAACGGAGTCTTGCCCCAAGGCATCCGCAAAAGAGCCTCTTTCGCAATGCCGCCACGAAGGGAACTCTTTTGTAATGCCGGCACAAAAAAAGGAGTCCTTGTGCAAATCCATCACAAACGGGCGTGGCTTCCGAGGGCTTCCTATACCACGGTCTGTGTGTGCGCCCGCCACAGCCCATGTGTGCGCGGCAGCACGTGTGTGCAACGCAACGTCAACAGTGCCTGTGTGCCCCACACATCTGGCATGCGCCACCATGCCTGCGTGCCTCACAGTGCACGTGTTGATCACAGCACTTGTGCATTCAATTCGCAGCGCCATGCGGGGCTTGCACTCGGCTGTGCCGCTCGCTCTGCAATGCCAATGTGGTTTCGCGCCAGTTCCAATGGTATTCTGTTTGCGGCCACGAGTGATGTCGCCTGCGATGGTATGCACCGCGTGTTCTGCATCGAAAGCCGATGTACATTGAGCGACGTACTACTTGATTACCAATTGCATTGCGCGGTGCCCGATGTTTTCGCAATGAGGCATACGAGCACGTTGATAATGAGGGTGCGGACGGGAAAGTTGAGGTGATAATAGAGACGATGGGGAGGATGACAATCTAGAGAGTGAAGGATAACGATCTGGATGAAGGTGTGGAATAAAAGTGGTCCCCGCCTGACAGCATGGTCAACAAGAGGTATATACGACAGAACGCCGGTCCGTCGTCGTCCCGCTTTGAATGGGGAGGGTGGAGGGCGGAGGGCTGGTCAACTGCTGTGCAATGCTGCAGGTCTCGATGGTGTATCCAGGCACTGCGGCGCACAGAATTTGAGTGCCCCACGATGCGCG